CTTCATACGAGAGAGATCAGACATAAGGCGTCTGGATCTGGTACAGGTGGTGAGGCATCGGGTTTGGCTGTTACAGGTGGAAAGGGAAAGAAGAAATCTGGTAAAGGGAATTCGAACAAGAATTCCAAGGGTCCCGGTCCACAGCAGGTGATGCTTGTCACAACTGTAAGGAAGTGGGGCATTGGAAGTACAACTATCCCAAGAGAAGAGGGCAACAGAAGAAACAAGGTTCAGTTGCCGTGGCAGAAGTGGACAACAGTTCTGAAGACGATCTCGCCTTGGCTGTAGATGAGAAGGCACATCGTGGGGATGCGTGGTTTTTGGATACTGCAGCCTCATACCATATGTCTCCGAACAGGGATTGCTTCACAACCTACGAGCAGATAGATGGTGGTAACGTGGTCATGGCAAATGGAGCTGTCTGCAAGGTTGTTGGAATCGGGTGCATAAAGGTTTGGACACATGATGGTTCGTTCTGTACCGTGAATGATGTCAGGCATGTTCCACGAATGACAAAGAACCTGATCTCCTTGAGTCTACTCGACAGCAAGGGTTTCAGTTTCAAAGGAAAAGGTGGAGTTGTGTATGTCTGCAAAGGTTCAAGGAAGGTGCTGAAGGGCGTGAAGCGTGGGACCTTGTATGCATTACAAGGGTCTGTGTTGTCTGGTTCTGCTGCCGTTGCATCGTCTCAGGTTCATCAGGAAGATATGACCACTCTCTGGCACATGAGACTGGGGCATATGAGTGAACGGGGGATGCAAGTTCTGTCGAAGAGGGATCTTCTTTGCGGGCACAGGATGCAGAATTTGGAATTCTGCGAGCATTGTGTGTTTGGGAAGCTACAACGCAGCAAGTTTCCCAAGAAGGGTATCCACCGGACGAAGGGGATACTGGATTACCTCCACTCCGACTGTTGGGGTCCTTCACGAGTTGAATCCATTGGAGGCAGCAGGTATTTTCTGTCTATTATTGATGATTATTCGAGATTTACTTGGATTTTCATGATGAAGCAGAAAAGTGAGGCTTTGGCGAAGTTCAAGCAGTGGAAGACATTGGTGGAGAATCAGACCGATAAGAAGATCAAGAAGCTGCGAACGGACAATGGTCTGGAGTTCTGTAATTCTGAGTTCAACGAATTCTGCAAGGATGAAGGGATTGCCCGTCATCGGACTGTGAGAGATACACCCAAGCAGAATGGCATTGCAGAAAGGATGAACCATACGTTGTTGGAGAGAGCACGGTGCATGCTCTCTAATGCTGGACTAGAGAGAAGATTCTGGGCAGAAGCAGTGAACATGGCGTGCTTCCTGATCAACCGTGGACCTCACACAAGTATCGAGTTGAAGACTCCTTATGAGGTATGGTATGGTAAGCCTGCGGATTACTCTTCACTGAAAGTTTTTGGGTGTCCTGTTTATTATCATGTGGATGAGGGTAAACTGAACCCAAGGGCAAAGAAGGGTGTATTTGTGGGTTACGGAGATGGAGTTAAAGGATTTCGAGTCTGGTCACCTTCTGAGCATCGAGTTATACTTAGTATAAATGTGATATTTGATGAGAAGTCTATGTTTAACCCCATGTTGAAGGTTACTGTTGTTGAAGGTAGCAGGAATGTTGATAAGCAGGTGGAGCTGCAAACTCTCAATGAGAGTGAGTTTGAGCGCCAAGGTGGAGAAGATCAACATGATGAGGATGTCTCTGCAGAGCCAGAAATTTCAGAGTCCAGTGCACGAGCTCAACAGTCTATTGCTTCCGGTAGACCGAAGAGAGCGACTGCAGGAGTACCTCCACAGAGGTATGGCTTCGAGGACATGGTGGCGTATTCATTTCAGGTTGCTGAAGAAGTGGATGCAGGAGAGCCACAGTCCTATAGAGAAGCAGTTTCGGGTGGTGAAGCTGATTAGTGGCTTGCCGCAATGGGAGATGAGATGGAATCCCATGACAGGAATCAGACTTGGGAGCTAGTCAAACGACCACAGGGAAGGAAGATTGTTACAAACAAGTGGATCTACAAGAAGAAGGAAGGAATCACTTCTAAAGAGGGCATGAAATTTAAAGCTCGGGTGGTTGCACGAGGCTTCTCGCAGAGGGAAGGAGTTTACTACAATGAGATTTTCTCACCAGTGGTCAGACATACTTCGATCAGAGTGCTACTAGCAATAGTGGCACATTATGACTTGGAGCTCGAGCAGCTAGACGTGAAGACAGCTTTCCTACATGGAGAGTTGGAGGAAGAAATTTACATGACTCAGCCAGAAGGATTCGAGGTTCCTGGAAAAGAAGACTATGTTTGTAAGCTGAAGAAATCCTTGTATGGACTTAAGCAGTCTCCGAGGCAGTGGTACAAGAGATTTGACAGTTACATGCTTGAGCTGGGCTATAGCAGAAGTCCATATGATTGTTGTGTGTATCACAACAAGGTGGAGGATGGTTCGATGATCTATCTTGTTCTGTATGTGGATGATATGCTCATAGCTGCGAGGTCGAAGTCTGATATCCAGAAGTTAAAGGGGCTTCTCAGTGCTGAGTTTGAGATGAAAGATTTGGGAGCTGCTCAGAAGATCTTGGGTATGGAGATTTACAGGGACATGTCGAAGAAGAAGCTTTTCTTGTCACAGAAGAGCTACATCCAGAAGATACTGTCGAGGTTTGGCATGTCTTCAGCAAAGCCCTTAAATACACCTAGTGCTTCAAATGTTCATTTATCCTCAGCTTATGCACCGCAGTCAGAGGCTGAGAAGGAGTACATGTCGAGAGTCCCATATGCTAGTGCAGTAGGTAGCTTGATGTACGCTATGGTATGCACTAGACCTAATCTTGCACATGCTGTTAGTGTTCTCAGCAGGTTTATGATACAACCTGGGAAGGAGCATTGGCAGGCTGTGAAGAGGATCTTCCGGTACCTTAAGGGTACACCTGATGTGGGGATTAGCTTCGGAAGTGATACAGAGTGCTTGGTGTCTGGGTATTCTGACTCGGACTATGCTGGAGATGTTGACACGAGGAGATCGATGACCGGTTATGTATTCACTCTTGGGAGTTCTCTAGTGAGCTGGAAGGCAACTTTGCAGTCGACGGTGACATTGTCTACTACTGAGGCAGAGTATATGGCGTTGACAGAAGCTGCTAAGGAGGGAATATGGTTGAAGGGACTGGTTGGTGATCTTGGTCTACATCATGATCAGGCAGTGGTGTATTGCGACAGTTTGAGTGCAATATGCTTGGCCAAGGATCAAGTCCACCATGAGAGGACTAAGCACATCGATGTGAGGTATCATTTCTTGAGGACAGAGAAGAGGATTAAGGTGAAGAAGGTTGGGACCGCGGATAATCCTGCTGACAACACTAACAACATGTGCATCAAGTCAAGGTAATTTCAGAGTACATCAGAGATTTCAGAGGAAGAGGATTCAAGTCAAGGTGGAGATTTGTTGATATGACTTGAATAGGATTATCAACTGCTGCAACCGGTAATCGGGGGTCTCACTGCCCGAGTCAGCGAGTGGGGTCCAGAGGCAACGCCCCGTTGGGGGTGCGGGGGCAACGCCCCCGACCCACGGTGTATGGGCTCAATGTTATTTGGGTTCGGGTTCTGGGCCTGGTCTGTAACCGTTTCCTTTGCCAGATTGGATTAGGTTTAGACCCACATGGAGAAGTACTATAAATACTTCTCATACTCCTCTGTAATCTGTAATCTCCTTGATATAGTGAAACTGGCTCTCTCTCGCCCGTGGACGTAGCTAACACACATCGTGTTAGTGAACCACGTAAATCGTGTGTCGTGTTTTCGATTCTCGCTTTCGTATTCTTGCTTTGTCGATTCCTGCGATTTCCCGATCCGTAGCAGCGTGTTTCTAACAGAAGGTAACCAGGGAACGAAGCATGGCGCAATAGAGAGTGCACTGGACTCTAATGTCACTATATCAAAGTCGGTGGCCATCATCACACCCACTCCTAAAACTGAGGGAAAGAAGGTTGGTGGTGAAGGATGGTGAAGTGTAGCACACTCGTTGACGTTGTGCAAACTGGAGGTAAAACGTTGTAACACCCTAACCCGGAAGGGTACTGCTTTTACTAAAATGACCTTAATAAATAAAATACTCAAATCTTAAATTGCAGCGGAAAATTTTTCATAAATAAAATACTGAAAACACACACTTGTAGCTCGGATCAAAGCCCTAACACGTGGACAAATTAAACTCAAACTTTAAAATCTCAATCTGATCTCCAGTCTATACTCATAATCATAAATATAAATAACTAATAATCTCTAATGTTGTTGCTACTGAAACCTTGACTAAGCATCCACTGTGATGCTTATACTGCCCTCCTCTAGCTGGTTGCTCTCGAACTTTTCCTCTCGAACTCGCTGCTCTCGAACTGCTCCTCTAGCTAGCTGCTATCGATCTGGTTCTCGCTCATTCCCTTACTAAGGCCTGGTGAGTGAGTTGGGGTCAGTCTACGCCCTTACGTTTTAATAATTCTATTACTTGAGTACTTTACCTAAACACTTAACTTTGACTAGTGGAAGTTGTTTGTACTTCTAATCTTAAAAATCTTAACTCTTAAACTTTGAGGGAGTTGAAGTTCCTCTCCTCTCTTACAAATCTCGTCCCCCAAATCATGTTCCCGTATTCTCTCCATGCAATTAATTTCCAATTTAAATTATTAGAATTAACCTTGTGCTTACTAAAAACCCCTTCTTGTGATCCTGGCCGCTAGATGAAGAAGGGGAACGGACGGCAACAAGATTGACAACCCCTTAGGGGTGTTCAAATGGTTACCGTGGTAATAAACAAACCAATTAAGCCTAAATTTCATTAACCATGGAATAAAATGTCTTAACCAAACCATCCAAATTAACACGAAAACCAAATTAACCAAACTAAAATTTAATTGGTTTGGTTAATCGGATAATTGGATTAACCAAATACATAACATTACATGAAAACAAACACAAACTATCATTTTATATAGGCAATAATAATAAGACTAACCATCCGGAATTATCATCATTATTGGAGTTAATACATCATTCATCATCTCTACATCTAATATAGGTAGCTTACAACAAACCCCTTAACATAAATACATACCAATATCACTCATCAGGAAGTTAAAGTTCTCCTACAAAACACTTAAACGATACATAGTTTGAGGTGGTTGTCATGGTATTGTACGTAATCCTAAAGTCTAGTAGTTGTCCAAAATGCTTTGGTTTAGTAAAGATAGACGGACCCATTTAATTTTTTATCCATAATGTTTTGGTTTGTTGTATACATGGAAATAAAATAGGCAATCGTGAAAGTTTGGTTTGGTTGGTTGGAAGTATAAATAATTTTGTATATTAGGTGTATCTTTAACTGGTTAATTGGTTTCATTGGTTAGCAGTGTTGAAACCAAACTAAACCACATAAACCAAATAAACTAAATTATTTAACCACACCAAACCAATTATCCAATTAGCCAAACCAAATTAACCGAATGCTACTGGTAACCAATCCGTTTGAACACCAGAAAAAAAAGAAAAAGAAATTGAGGTGATACGCGGGCAATAAGCAACGAAACTATTTTACTCAGTCAACTCAAAACTGCAAAGCTAGAGCGAAAAGGGACTCGCCGCACCATAATCAACGAGACAACGACACTCGGTCCTCTGCCGCTCTCGCTTCTTCTACTTTCTCCAGTGAACGGAAGTAGCCGACGTGGAAGCCAGAGCAAAACGGCGGGGAAATGAGGTAAGAAACTAAAACCATGAACGGAAGAGCTCCCCGCGTCCCCTTCGCCACCTCCATCGCCGTCGCCGTGCTACTTGTCGCCGGTCTCCGCACCGTCTGTGGCGCCGAGTTCGATGGAGACTACTCCAAACTGTCGGGAATCATAATCCCCGGCTTCGCATCCACTCAGCTCCGAGCCTGGTCCCTGCTCGACTGTCCTTACTCTCCTCTCGATTTCAACCCTCTCGACTTGGTCTGGCTCGACACCACCAAGGTAGTAATTGCTTCCCTGCATGCTTCGTCTGTGTGCTTTGTGATCGTCTTCTAGTTCCGCATTCTGAGATTTCCCAATCGACTTTCTCTTATTGGATAGCGATTGATTCATATGGTTATCGCTCCCGCTCCATGTCGAATTACTGCGCCCGAGCTGTTGAGAGATTCTTGTGGAGGAATTGATGTCAGCTTACCTTTTGTTGTTGTGCAGCTTCTTTCTGCGGTGAATTGTTGGCTCAAATGCATGATGCTTGATCCTTACAACCAAACAGATAACGCTGAGTGCAAGTCGAGACCTGATAGTGGTCTCTCTGCGATTACTGAACTTGATCCAGGTTACATTACAGGTTTGTGCCTTTTCTTTCTTTCTACCCATCTGTGTTCCTTGTCGTTTTTGCAGAGTTTTTCTCCCCCAAAATGTTGAGTTTCAATTAGCATCAAGGAGTTAAATGATTGATATCTTTCTTCAGGTCCTCTGTCTTCTATATGGAAAGAGTGGATTAAGTGGTGCATTCAATTTGGTATCGAGGCAAATGCAATAATTGCTGTTCCTTACGATTGGAGGTTGTCTCCATCGATGCTTGAGGAGCGAGACCTCTATTTCCATAACCTCAAGTATGTTTGTTTCTACGGAGATTATCATATATATATTTTTTTTACAGCAATGGTATGGTTCTCTGAATTGATCAGTAATTGTCTGCTAAAGCATTCATTCCATAGCGATCAATGGTGTTCTTACCATTTAAGGGTTCTGTTGGACAGCATTACCTATCTAAAAATCCTATGAACTGGCAGATAAATTTATTGTTAGCTATTGACAGCATCAGATATCTTTAAATGGAAGCATTTTTTCACATATCGTCAGCTGTTGCTATTCCTGCACTAATCTGGATTGCTCAATCTAGTACGTAAGGATTAACCAATGGCTTTCAGATACCACTATCTTATGACTGAATCATTCTTCCATTTAATCTTTCGCCTTCTTTGCAGATTGACCTTTGAAACTGCCCTCAAACTTCGTGGTGGACCTTCTTTAGTATTTGGCCACTCATTGGGTAACCTGGTATTCCGTTACTTTCTGGAGTGGCTTAAGCTAGAAATTGCTCCGAAACATTACAATCAATGGCTGGATGACCACATCCATGCCTACTTTGCTGTTGGTATGACTAATTGGCACCAAACCCTATCTTACAAGTTTAGTTGCTGGTGGTTAAATCTGTGCACTTGTTTGATCTACTGTCATATCTGATCCAGGAGCTCCTCTTCTTGGCTCACCCGAGACAGTGAAAGCTACTCTTTTTGGAAACACATTTGGGCTTCCTGTTTCTGAGGTGACCGATTTCCTCTTTCATTTCTGAAAATCATTCCGTCATTGGTGCACTGGCTAGTAATATATGTTATTCACAGGCTCTCATTAGTTTGCATCAATCTGAATTCTTCCTATACTCAGTTACAACAGATCGTAGTACAACTTCTCTCATTTTTCTCCAATTTATAGTAGTTTTAAGTATCTGTGCTACCTTTTGTTAATGTCTCTCAAATATTTTTCTAACCCATGTTTATGATTTGGCAAGGTCCCAGGGGACAGCTCGATTAATGTTCAATTCTTTTTCTTCTTCATTGTGGATGATGCCACAGTCAAAGTATTGTACATCCGATAATCCATATTGGAAACATTTTTCTGGAGGATTCAGAAAGAAAAATCAAACCTATCACTGCGAGGAGCAAGAATATCGAACAAACTACTCTGGATGGCCAACCAACTTGGTCAACATAGAAATCCCTTCTATTCCTGGTAGGAGTTTGATATTGATTTGGCTGGCAATATTACTCAACTGCTCATGTTACTGTATCTATGTGCATATTCATAGGGTTTGATGCCTATCCATCACTCCAAGATATGCTCGAAACAAACTTCTCGGCCTTGGAATGTGGACTCCCTACTCAGTTATCTTTCTCAGCTCGTGAAGTTGCAGATGGAACACTTTTCAGAGCCATAGAGGACTATGATTCTGACACAAAGAGGCTATTGTACCAGTTACAGAAGTATGTTTACTCTTCATCAATGCTGGTTCTGCTCACAACACCTTTACTTTGGAGTCCAAAAAGGGCTTATTTATAAGAGTAACTTCGTACTGGCCTTTACCATCCAATATTATATTCTTTCAACTCAAGTCTCAGTACGGTAGAGGTATGGTTTCACTCAACTTGGTGCACTCTATCCCATCATATTGCGCGATTTTGCTAATCAGGTCCACGGCAGCATTACCTTTCTGTACGACTATATGTGTTGTTATTGGAGCACCCCAGTGCATATCATTCAGTTTTCATTCAAGAGGTTGACGAACTAACTCGTTTAGCCTTCCTTTTCCCGTCTTTGTAAATTGAGCTATGCCAAGGTTTTCAAACCATGTCTCCACCTAAGGGATTTACCTAAGCATATCTTGAAACCATTGCGGTCAAGCTAGGTGGCAGACCTGCTTAGACTCGAATTACTGTATTGTGATTATCCATGGTGCATGCGGATACTGAATCTCTTCTAGTATACTGCATGCATTCATTTCATAATGGTGGTGAATCATCAGTTGAACTTGTGCAATCATTGGAATTGCTTCAAAATGCAACTTTTTCAACTAAGTGTTAGATTAGTCTTTCTTCTGTGGTGCATGAGCGTAGAGTAATTGTATCTGTTTGAACATTTATTGGTCTCCAAAAGAAGAAGAAAATAAACACCCTTCGGCAACCGATAAGTGGAAGCCATGTGCATGCAGTTCCGGTTTCAGGGGATGTAATCTTCAAAATTGTATTTTTCAGGTCATACCATGGTGATCCTGTTGTTAATCCACTTACACCCTGGGATAGACCTCCTATTAAAAATATTTTCTGCATCTATGGAATAGATTTGAAGACGGAGGTATACCTAAGTCCTCTCAAACCCTCCTGGTTTAAAAATGTGTTTTGTGTCGACTGCATGTTCTTTCTGTTTTAGGATGATAAAATGCAGTCACTCCTTGCTTCCGCTGGATATTTACTTATCTGACCATTAGATGCCCTTTTTAGCTCTGAATACACATACTAAAAGAATTCTATATCTTTTTAGCCACCAAGATTAGGGAGGATTTTGCTTTGTTTGCCAGTTTCATGCTTGAAAATAAGGGTCCAGTTGTGTATAAAGATGTGTGTTTCAGTCTATTTTCCCTGCATATTTATGGCAATGGAATCTGCAATGTGTTAGCTCTTTGATATATATATATATATATATATATATTTTTTTTATGAAGTAGCTCTTAGATATTGACTAGGGTGAAATACATTCTTAAGCGGATGACTGCAGATATTTTGTGCTGTTAGTATTTTTGTCAGACAGCTTATCAGAATTTGTGTAAATTGTGTTTTTTCTTTGGACGAATAACAGCTGACCAGTTATTATTCGCTTGGAGTTCAATTTTATGAAATGCTGATGATAATTTTTGTGTTGGGAAATGTCGGAGCAGGTTGGTTACTATTTTGCACCGAGTGGCAAACCTTATCCAGATAATTGGATCATAACTGATGTTATTTACGAGATTGAAGGATCCCTCTACACAAGGCGAGTATTTTTACTGTTGTTCCGTTATAAGTATATGAGTATGCCATATGATCTGCCAGTAGTTCCACTTACAAAGGAGGAGTCGCATGTTTGCTATATGGTGAACATTGGTGCACCCCAACTAACTGAACTCCCCCACTTGGAAAAATACCAACAAAGGCACGGTCGACAACTGAAAAGTACTGCATTAGGATGGTTTAGTTCACTGGCCATTGATTTTACAACTCCCTATACCAGATTGTCATCCCTACCCTGTTTGTCAACAATTTGCAGTGGGAGGCAAACACATATAGCCTGTTTAGATTGGAGGTAGTGGATCCCATAAAAAAATTATTAATATCTTTTCGTTCAACATTTCCACTGTTTTCTCTCTTTTCACATTTCTTTTCCCAGATACACAAATATATTGAAGTATTATTTTATTATTAATAAAACAATGCATTTCCATACTTTTGGAAGCACAAGAACTCGAAATGAAATTTTGGGAAAAGAAGAATTAGAAATGAATTTCCAATTTTGTTTCCGTATAATTGTATCCAAACAGAGTAATAGTAGCTTAGCTGACAGCCTGATGCCATAACCAGTCCTGTGGCAATGCACAAGTGTTGTTGCAAACTCGTCTGTGCCCCCTTATCAGGTTAAATTTGTTAATTGTGATGATAGTCATGCCTTCTGGTTGAACGGGCATTGTTTCATCGGTTGTGCATATCTCAGTTCGCTCTTTCTAACATGTTTATCCTTGACCTTCTAGGTCTGGGAATCTGGTTGAAGGGAATCCAGGAGCTACAAGTGGGGATGAGACAGTAAGCTCATGCAACAATGCGTGCATTTTTATTTTACAAGAATACCTGATCCACAGATCCTTGAACTGTTGAACACCCTAATATTGATTCTTGGAACTGCATCCATGTGTTTTATCTGGAGTGAATATGCTGTATGTTTCAGGTACCATACAATTCCTTATCACTATGCAAGAGTTGGCTTGGATCAAAAGTGAACATAACAAGGGCTCCTCAGGTATTCTCAGCCGATGAGTTATGACCTTGGATGTGCTTGAGTTATCTGCTTCTGACATATGAGATGAAGTAATTTATACTTCCTCATATATATTATTATAATACACCTTGCCTTGTGTGTGAAAAATTAATATTTCGACCTCTGGGAATAACTATGTGATGCAGGAATGGTAGTTTAATATTTGTATCTGAAGGTTATTTTGATTTTCTGCATTATGTTCATGCGAATTGCAGGCCGAGCATGATGGATCTGATGTACAAGTAGAACTGAATGTTGACCATCTCCCTGAAGAAGATATAATTCCCAACATGACACGGTCTTCAAGGGTAAAATATATTACATATTATGAAGATTCCGAAAGCATACCAGGAAAGAGGACAGCAGTTTGGGAACTTGATAAAGGTCGGTTTATGGCTTCTGTTCACTTCGGCTTGGAATATGAGGGTATTTCATTTTATAATATGGAACCCGGAAAAGGACAAGGAAAGAATAACGGAACCATATTATGCTCAAACCAGTAATTCATGACATGTCAAGTACTGATTAATAACTCAAACTATCATTCTGTAGCAAATCATAGGAACATCGTTAGATCTCCGGTTTTAATGCGGGAGCTGTGGCTTCAGATGTGGCATGACATCCGTCCTGATACGACATCGAAATTCGTTACAAAAGGTTTGTCTTTTCATTCAGTACACTCTTCTCTCGTCAACCGTCTTGGATACTTCTTCACTAACATGTAATACATAACAGCAAAACGAGGTCCTCTAAGAGATGATGACTGCTACTGGGATTATGGGAAAGCTAGATGCGCTTGGGCGGATTACTGTGAATATAGGTTGGTTGGTCACGGTGCCCTCAATTGTGTATTGTCGTGTTGATTCTACTGTCTGCCCTTATGATAGTTTTGCAAGTGCAGATACATTTTTGGTGATGTTCACCTGGGACAGAGCTGTAGATTGAAGAATTCGTCAGCCGAGACACTCTTGAATTACCTTTAAGGCTATATGGATTTATTAGGTACATGTTCCTTCTCTTCAGCTCACGTCCATTTTAACTCGAAAGATTTTGAAGAAAAATGAATATGATTAGATAATTACATCTAGAAGTCGAGTTTTATTATCTGTAAAACATTTTCACCTTGGCCTTCTTGGTGAATTACACCACGCTTTCCTCTATGGTAGAAGCTAGTTATTTAGACTAGACAACTCTACATTTGCTTGCGTCAACTTATCTGAATCATTATTTCAATTATCTACTCGCCAGCCTCACAGAGTTGACATGTATCAAGCAACTTTAACAGCAACAGCTCAATTACAAAGTAAAATCTTGAAACAAAGTACAAATGACTTTCTCAAGTGTTCTCAGTAAAGCTTTCAACATAAGGGTTGCATGGTACTTTTGAGTAATCCCTACAATATGTTTCATTCCTCAGTCGCTTCCATGTTTTTTGCAGCATATTAATCCCCACCGATCATTGTACACAATTGTACAATCAGCAGCCCTCTCGCTGGAGGAGCAGGTGGGTAATTGGGTTGTGCGGAAGTTCCAAAATAAAGTACATTGCTCTTCAACACAAGCCTTCCAACAACACTTGGCATCACAAACGCCGAGGTTTTGATGCTCGTTTTCCCCTGTATCCACACAGATGTGAAATTCAATCCAGACTTGGACCTGCTGTTGCTTCAACTGAAATATCTAGGATTCGAAGCCGGTCCAGGTCAGAGAACTCAACATCAACCTTATGAGATAGCACTGGAGCATTTTTTTTTTTACCGTCTTCGAAAAGCAATTTCTTGGCTACTTAACAAAAAAACAAGTAACTTTGGGTAAAGATCTGTAACCGTCAAATGTGAACATTGAGCATCTGCGACAAGCTGAAGTGTGAGTTTAGATTTGTGGTAGTTTTCTTCTAATAGGCCGCCTGTAGGGCTGGATACTTGTTCTTTATGCCGAACAGTTTGAATAGTAAGCCTAATTTGGGATCAGAACAATGTGGTAGCCAGTCATTGATCATCCTTCAACAATCCTGCTTCGACCTCTGATGATCGCTCTGTAATATTGGCTCCTTTAATGTAACATTAGATTACAACACATGCAGACGAAGATGGAAGCAGAGACTGTTCCCAAGAAAAACCAAGAAGCTACAACTGCTGCAATCCGTTCAATGGAGTGATGGACAATCACATTCATGCCTAATCGCAACACAACAGCATATGGCCAGAGAAAAAGGGTTGCATTGCGGCGGAGGAAGGGGCTATGTTAGAGGGTCTTTTTGATCTGGAAGCAGTACTTGAGCTCCAGGTGACATCTTTTGTCATCGTCTTCAAACTGCCGGAAACAACAAAAAGGTAAACAACATCATGATCCATGATTAAGATTATGACTCCAGTTGCTTAATCAAGTTCTGATCATTCGACTTCAATTCGTTGGTAAGTTGGACTGTACTCGTTGTACGCAAGATGGATGCATTTCGGGACTGACCTTAAGCTTAGCGGAGTAAGTCCCGCGAGCTAGAATACCAGACGGAGTGGTCTCCTCCTCCAAAGTATGCACGTATGGCTCACGTTGAGGAGCAAAAGTACCCAGCATTCCTTTGTTCTGATCAACTGCATTTTTCCACCTTCATGTTAGTTCAAAATAATCGTGTCAATCGATTTACTTTGAGCGCAAAGAAACCAGACCCGAGATGGAAAGAGGGAGAGAGATGGGCTGTGTTGTTGTGCACCTTGAATCCCTGACTTCCACACTGTATTTGAGTAGGTCAAACCGGAGACAATGTTGTGAAGAACAGTAAAGGTGAACTTGAGTTGATACTGAGACCCTTCTCTGAGAGTGAAAAGCAGGCGACTTGAGCGGCTCTCATTCTCATTGGCAACGATAGGCAACGGTGTAGTTACTTCCCCAAAGTCGCTGCACATTATGCCTATGGAATGGAACCTAACTTCCGCCTCTGTTTCGCCTGGCAAACCGAAATAGCAGTATATATCCGAGTGAACGATATGGCAACTGGAATGCCTGAAGAGCAGATATGCAAAGACAAAGCAAGCTAAAGGCTCCTGTTAGGTCGAAATTGTTACCATTCAATTCGCCACTGATGGAGCCTAGCAGCTTCTCTTTCCACCTTCTCAAGCTGTCGTCATCCTGCGTGCGGAGTTAAGTCACACAAGGGGAAAACAGGGGAAGGGGGGAAAACAAGGAGAAGAAGAAGAAGAAGGAAGCAGAGACCTTGTCCTTGTCAATCTGTTCCTTGAGGGAGAGCAGAGGCCCAGGGACGAACCCACTGCTACTGGTAGTTGTAACAAGAGGAGGAGGAATGTGACGATGATCAGCACCGTCGCCATTATTAGCATCCTCCAATCTGTCCTCTAAGTCGTCGTTGTCATCATCAGGAACAGGAGGTGGTTCTTCTTCTTCTTCTCCATTTGATGGCTTGACAGCGGCATCTGCATCCGACAACACATTATTGATCTCCTTTCCTTGGTTCCGCTCTTCAACGGCGCCACTACAAGTACTAGTACTGCTTCCACCTGCTGCTGCTGCTGCTGCTGTTGAACAAGGAACAGCTTCTGGTGCTGTCTTCTTCTCACTCTCCATTTCCCCTGCCTTTACTTCCTTTTTCTTTTTCCCTACCTCTGAAAGAAGCAACAAAAGAAAGAGTAAGAACCTGGGTACGGAGCATAAAAAGATGGGAACTTTTCTGGGGGGAAAGGAAGAACTATTAGGACTGTTCAAATTTTTGGGAACCCCAGAACAGAGGGAAAGAGAAAGGTCACGAGAGGAAATAAATGGTGGGAAAGGGAAAGGGAAAGGGAAAGGGAAAGAGAGAGAGCGAGAGTTTTCAGTTACCCTGCTGCCCGCAGTTCACCGTTTCCTGCCTCCTTTTGCTGCTACTGCTAGGAAAGGAAAGGGCACAGGACAAGTACGAGAGGGAAGGGAGTGAAAACCAAGGTTTTCAAACCGGTTTATACTATTGCGTCGGTTTAGTAAGTGGAATGCTACTACTAATGCTGCTATAATTGGTTTGTGTCGGTTTATGCCGACTTAATGAAATATGACATTTCATATAAAATAACAAATACTCATATTTAAATGTATTTAACGTCAATATGTAAATGCTTATACTTGAATCCAACAAATTACATTAATTTTTAACTTTTATATTCATAAAATATATAATAATTTTTTTATTAATAAAATTTAATAAAACGATCTCGTTTTGCTTATATTCGTAAATCAATCATACCGGTGGTGTTTATACAAGTTTTATGATTGACAACGGTTAAATCAGGTTCAACCGGCCGACATGCAAATGTCATAATAACCATGATGAAAACTGAAAACAACAATCGGGTTGAAGTGTGTGTTTGTCTGTCTCTATCTTGATGTCTATATCCGTGTTCTTCTCCCTCTCCTCTTTTTCTTTCCTTTTTGTTTAGAAAAAGAAGTTTTTTAGAGAGCCAAATAGGAGTTATGGCCAGCAATAATCTAGACAAGGCGGCAAAGGGACGACCTAATCAGGGCAAAAAGTCTCTGATTAGGTTAGTTTAAGGTTATAGATATAATATGCTTATCTACTATATAGTTTATCAAACATGCCCATTTACTATTTTTTACATTAAACATGCCCTTATACTTTGAAAAAATTATCAAACATGTCCTTATGTTAAAATTTCCATTAAAAATGGTCAACCACGGTTGAACCGAGATTCACACGACACGACATCGAAAAAATTGGGGGTGAAATGTCAGTTTTTCCTCCTCATTTATTTCTCCATGTCTCGTTAAAGTGAAATTATCATAGGTATTTGGCTATACAAAAGAAACAAAACAATTCTAAAGTTATTATGTAAATATTGATGTATGGATGACCAATGACCTACCACATTAGATGCTCACTTGGGAGTTACATGTAACCCCTATTTCTACATTATTATCTCTCATTCATATGCATTGATATAAGGATGTAGTGGTTACCAAAGTGTGCCTATAAATATAGCACACCATTGTATCAAAAGTGAAGAATGAATAAGAAGAACTCTTCACCTCTCTTCTCTTGTGTCTTTTCCTCTATAATCTTCTCTTGTAGTTGTTTATATTTTTATTAGTTTTATAACACGCTATCAGCACGAAGCTCTGCCAAAATTATCATTGCTCAAGCCTCAATGACTCTCAACATAATCTAAGATATTGGAGTAAGATCACAATATGATCAAGATATGTAAATCTTAGATCCTTTCTTATCTTATTGTCTTATTTGTGTTGAGATGATCTCATTCCAATATATCAAGATGAGTGCTACTTCTCATATCCATTAATATCTTATCACGTCGATCTATTTGGATTAACAAGAAAAGTAATATAAGTGATGAGTTAATTTCTCAGTTCTCCGTGTTATCCTGTTCTTATCAATCATACATTGATATGTAGAAAATGCAAGTTCCAAGAGCCCACAAATTCCCCAGAAGTGGAAATTGAAGAATCCAAAGGGATAGAAAGAAGTGGACACGGTAACAAGAATATTTGTTCTGTATGTTACCATTGTAATGGAAAAGTGTGCTTGTCTCGTACCCGTTGTACGCAAAAGACTTTATTCTACCAAGAATCAAAGGGAAGAGCAAATTCATATACGCTCCTGCAATATCAATATTATGGAACATATTTTTTGTATTATAAGTTGGTATATTCTCCATTAAAGATGAAAATGATATTGCACTTGAGGCATTTTCATTCCCAGAAGTGAATGAAACAATCTATTCCCCGAAGTGAATGGAGCTATAAACATGATTATATATATGCTAAATGTATTGTTTGGATCTTTTCACCAGAAGTGAGAAAAGGAGAACTATAAATAAGGATGACACCACAATTGCATTATCAAAGTCATGATAACATAATGTACCTGTTGTGCATTATAATGTATAATGAAACGCATATATAAATTTAAAATCACCTAGTTAGTGATGGTATTGTTCCAAATAAATCTTATTTATTTTTCACAATTATAGTATTATGATTCTTATTTTCTATTATGTTTTATTGTGCCATTATTTTCATGCATAATTTAACTTGATAACTTTTATCTAGAACGATTAACTTGATAAGTTCATCATTTTTGTCTTAAGTTTGAACTATTCTCATTTATTATTTTTAGTATGTTTTTGTAAAGTATGATTGTTAGAAAAATTCCATATAAACTATATGGTAGAGTACATAAATGAGAAAAGCTTCCGAAGAGCTTATGTTTAGTTACTTGAAGTAACTAATTATGTACTCGTGAGAACAATTTGTGATTATATTCACTATGAATTTGTGTTTACTAAGAATGCATCAAATCATAAATCCCCGGAAGGGCGAAATATGGTACAAAATATGGTAAAGCTCTAAAAGAGCTAATGTTTTGTGGCCCGAAGGACCCAAACTACCTAGTGATGATGCATTGCCCAATTAAAAGTATGTTCATAAAATGAGTATCTTATCAAGAAAATAGTAAAACTAATATTTGCATCACAAATATGTACTACATGTATATTAGTACTATCAGTACACATAAAAGTGTAAACCAGAAGTTTACAAGATTTGATAATTTGATAATTGGTTGGTCCGGTTAGACCATCCCGGATCTTGATGTGAAAAAAGTTCTTTGAGAATTCATGAGAACATCATATGAGAAGTCAAAGAACTCTTCAACTAAAAGAGTTATTATGCCATGTTTGTTCTCAAGGAGAATAGAACAATTGATCAGAGCTTGTATAAGAGTTGGAAAATCTCTTGAGATTTTATATGATCACTTTTATTTTATCTAATCGCAACCCGATGTTTGCGAGATTGATTGTCTCACTATGGATACATTTTTATGATGATCCAATCAAACATCACTTTGCTTAAGAGAACAAACTAAGCCTTCTGATCTCTTGTCGAGGACATGCTAGCTGGCAAGTGATAGTATTGATTCACATATAACCAACAAGTTATCATAAGTTCCCCCCTTTTACAAATGATTTTGGTAAAAAACCTAACATTTCTCATATGAGAATACCAGGGTGTGCCGCATAAGTTGATTCTCGTTGGAAATTGAGAATTTGTGTTGGGTATGAATCCCGAATGGGAAATTTGTTTACGAAATTATTGTTCTGATGGATTACTTTTCCAACATTAAGGGGGAAAGGAAAAAAAAACAGCTAGACAAAGAGATGAGTTGGAATGAGTTATCATTATCTAGTTTTGATCCTCAAACATGAACCTGAAGTTCATAAGATGAATTATCATTACCAACTATCAAATGTCTTTACTGACCATACAAAGTATCCAAGTCATATATACTAGCTGTGAATGCTCCAACTAAATTTGATATCCTTGTTGGATACTCTAATATAAAAAATGTGTCTAAAAGAGCGCATGAAGCGTGATAGACCAATCGGTTCCAACGATAAACATCCTCGAGAAAAAGAAGGAGTTGTGATTAGAATGGTCAACTCGAGGACATGAAAACTCAAGAAGAGTAACCAAGAATTAAGTATAATTTTAGTTCCAGAAGAACACATGTCTCTGAAAGCTGTGAAAGCGAAGAGATCTCAAAACATATTGGACTACAATACTGGAACCGTAATGAAGTCATTGTCGACGAAAATTGTTATACTTCAGTACTGAATATGATATATACAAGTGAGGATCAAGAGTAAAACTCTATTGATGCATGCAAATGATGATGTTATTGGCCAATATAGAAAGAAATCATGAAACTTGCTCAAGGATCATTAAGTTTAAGGACCAGAAGTCCTTGCACCTAAAAAAGGGCAAAACTAGCAGGATACAAACAAATTTTTGTGCTACTGGAAAGTATGAAATTGTGCGACATATCGCACAATGTTTTGCAATGGGTTTCTCGAAAAGACCTATCATTGTTAAGAGGAGTTATACTCCCCTGTGGTGGGTGCAACTACTTTTTCAAATCAATGTTTGAAAATTGTTGTGATAGCCTATTTGTTTGAATTCCCTGAAGATGTTATATATATTTGAAACTCCCAGAAGGATTAATTACTCCTAGAAGGATTAATTTACCTGAAGTAAACAAGTAAAGTTCTCGAGAACATATATCGATAGACTAAGAATATTCCCTGCATGGGTTGAGAAAATATAGATGAATGTGAAATACTCGTCTAAGTGAACACCTACAACAGTGGGGTGAATGGACCTTAAAAGGTTAAATCCGGATAGAGTACATTAGAGCATTTGCATTGTGCATATATAGTTGTGTTGTTTGTATATGCTTCAAGGATTTTGAAATATTGGTTTATGAGTTGTGTTTTACTTTAAAGTATGAGTAGTGTTTTATGAGTGTGCTTTGTCTAGTTCATATGTTTCTATGATGTGTGGTTTGTTAATATCTTTCGTGATATGAAAGAATTGCTTGCTTCAATTTGTTTTAGTCAAGTTTTTTTGTGACGATCTCATATTATGTTGATGATATGTCTATTATTGGAGCTCCTGAAGAGCTTCCTAAAGCAGTTGATTGCTTAGAGACATACGTTAAATTGAAGGATTTAAGATCCTTTTTATGGGCAAGGAAGGTAATGTTGAAAAAGTGGGAAAGTAATTTTGCATGAACGAATTGTGTTCATCAAATAACATTAGGATCCTAAGATCACTAGAAGTGACCAAAGATCCATTTAGAAATCAAGAAAGAAGTGAAACATTAGGTCCTGAAGTACCATATGTTGATGCATTAGAGCACCAATGCACCTTGCTAGCCAAGCACCATATAAAATATCATTTTGGTGTTGATAATATTGGCAAGATACAATGTTTTCCTCATTAGAACGTTGGAAAATACTTTGTTACCTCCAGGAACAATATATGCGATTGTTCTATTATAGTATTATCAAAGAGAGATTTGGTAAACTATATATCCAAATCCTATATATCATTTGATCCTTATATTGGTTGATCGGAGACGAGCTATCTCTTACATATGGTGATATAAATGTTTCATAAAGAAACAAAACAAACTATAATGGGAAAGACCCGAATGTCTTTCGTTACACTTTGTGATCCACCATATCTCAAGTACTTGTGGTTGTGGACTATTTTCAAATGAAATAATCCTGACGATCATGTATGAAGAAAATCTAAAGATCATGCATCAAATTGACAATCTAGAAGATTGTTCACTAACTCACTCCCGACAACAATCTTTCTAAAAGTTGTTCGTGAAATTTGAGTTCAACGACTCAATAATCTGAAGTGATGTGGTCATGAGGGGGAGCATATACGCACTGCACTCTTTTTCCCAATGGGTTTTCCTGGTAAGGTTTTTAATGAGGCAGTATGATATAGCGTAATGCAATCTAGTGGTCATCCAAGGGGGAGTATTATGTAAATATTGATGTATGGATGACCAATGACCTACCACATTAGATGCTCACTTGGGAGTTACATGTAACCCCTATTTCTACATTATTATCTCTCATTCATATGCATTGATATAAGGATGTAGTGGTTACCAAAGTGTGCCTATAAATATAGCACACCATTGTATCAAAAGTGAAGAATGAATAAGAAGAACTCTTCACCTCTCTTCTCTTGTGTCTTTTCCTCTATAATCTTCTCTTGTAGTTGTTTATATTTTCATTAGTTTTATAACAAAAGTAAAATTATTAGGAATATTTTAGGCATAGGTGTCGCCCAAACTAAGGTTCGACCATGGTTGATGGTTTTAAATGCAAATTTTAACAGAAGGGCATGTTTGATCGTTTTTACAAAGTATAGGGGCATGTTTGATAAAACTGCATAGTAGAGGGACATATTATACCTATAACCCGTTAGTTTAATATTTTCATATAGGCTTTGGTTGTTCTTAATGAATTCATGGACATTATGGGTTGCGTGGATGTATGAGTATAAGTGTAGACAACGGGATCTTTGGTATTTGAGAGTGCAAAATAGTAGCTCATGGGCTTGGAGGAAACTTCTCAAACTGCGGGCTGTGATTCCCCATGGATGCAAGAGCATAATGGCACTGTTTTTTGGGATTCAAAGGCGATGGATGTTTACTCGGTTCGTCTGAGGAATAGGGCTCCTAAAGTTTTGTGGTATAAGCTTGTCTGGGACAGGAACTGTCCTCCCCGCTTCAGCTTGATTGTCTGGCTTATAATGAGAAAAGCTATCGTTACAAGAGACAAATTGCTGAAGTGGGGTAAAACCAGGGATGCATCATGCCCACTCTGTGGTTTGGCAGTCGAGAATAGAGATCATCTCTTTGTTCAATGCTTGTTTTCGCGTCGTCTAGCTGCTGCTATGAAATGCAACCTTCTGCTGCATACGGACTGGGATACCATGGTGAACTCAATGATCATAGTTGGCAATACTCGAGCTGGAGAGTGGCATGCTCTTGTTTGGTGTATGTTGCTGACGTTTATTTGGAAGGAAAGGTGTGGTGTGACTCACGGGTCGCCCTGTCGCACCCCTGAGCAGGTTGCATAATTGATCAGAATGGATTTGCTATTTATTTCATGTGTAAACATAGGGGTCCGGGATGCTTTAGCTGGGTTGGGATACTTATAGGCATCTTTTCTGTTTGTTTGCTCCTATAGTATACATATTCTCATATAGAAGTGGGGACTAGTATGTACCTCTCGAGATTGTAGTCTCGACTCGTTATATCAGTTTCTTATTGGAATAAAAACAACTGATTCAACGGGAAAAAAATATTTTCATATTGTTCCAACTTTATCTTTTTGATCAATTTTTCATTAATTAATTAATATACTGGCTTATGCTATCACTTAAAACGATTGATTGACTTAAATTAAGTATTGACAATTATGTTGGACGGTCAAATTTATTGACTAACGATCGATCTGTCCTGCCATCACCTAATTAGCATAAACAAACTTTAAAATTTCAAAAAAACCACATGATATCCATTTTCCGATTTTCCCCCAAAATTGAACATAAGAAAAAAAATTACTCATTCTTCTTTGACGAAATTTTAAGTTTGTTTATGCTGTTTTTTTGTTTTTGTTTTTTTTCGTTAGTAACAGTTTTGACCGTCCAATATAACGGTTAACACTTGTTTGGGCCAATCAGACATTTTGGTGATAGTATAGATCATGATATTAATTTGTGAAAATATTGACCAAGATACTAAAGAAGAAGGTTAAAGTTCGGGCTATATAAAAATATTATGTTAAACATGAGTTGTTAATATATGGTTAACCATATCCTTCTCCTCATCTCATTCTCTATAATTATCATCAATAAGGATTATATTGGTAAAGTAGTAGTTTAACGTTAAAATTTCATTGATGCTAAAGTTAGGATGAGTAAAATTTAAATAGGAGCAATATAATTCTCAATTCTTTGAAGCTGATGTTTTGTGATAGAGATTTCTAGCATCATATTGGATGTTTTTTTGACGAGTGACTTTGCAGGGGTATCCTAGTATTATAAAGGTAAATCAACGCAGTGCAATCGATTTTGTTGGTCTATTAGGTGATGGTTCGATCTTATTTGCTTTTAGGAAATTTTATGATGATATCTCGAATGCGCTTATTGTTGATTTACTTCCTTACTGACACCGGCGGATCTAGGGGGTGGCCACCCCAGGCCCCGACCCAGCCCTCCTCTGGATCCGGTGTTAGTATAGTCTTTATGAATTTTTCGATTTTAGACATTTGACCCCGTGTTATTTTATAATAAGATTGGATATAATTAGAAAAATGATTCAGATAAAAAAAATCTAGATTTAGCCTAGAGATTTTAGCCCTAAAGATTATTCGTATAAAAAACCAATGAAACCTACAAGTCTAAAACGTAAAAGACTAAAAGATATATGAAGTTTATTTCCTTGAAAATTTAGTAATTTACTAGAGCAGCTAGTGGATATAGGGATGGACACACAATGCAAATTGATTAGTTGATTGATTTGTTTAGTGTTGACGCCGCTAGTTCCAACAGCTACTACAGAGAGAACCTTTTCAACAATGAAACATGTGAAAACTGATTTGCGCGATAAAATAAGCAGTGAATTTCTCGCCGATTGCTCAAGTATTTTATTTGAAACAGTGTATACTATTGGTATGGATGTGGACTCCATTATTGATGCATATGCTAAATTAAAATACCGTTGTGTACAATTTACATTGTACAAAAAAACTATAGTCATTACATTTTTTTACGGTTCTAATTTTCTAATGAAATACGGCCCAGTGCTCTTCTGTATTCTGGATCCGCCGCTGCTTACTGATATGTTATGTAATGGTGTCTAATGCTTTAGTTTTCGGTTGTGACATTTGGGGGCGATTTGCAACTAGTCATCAGACATGCTTCGTTAAAGAAATCTACACACTCGCTGACCTAGACTACCTTGGAGGAGAGTTATTTTCGTTATATGAACATTGCATCTCTATTGTGTTTTTTCCCTCATTATTTGAGTTAGTGAATGCGTTTGATCGCATTCCGTCTTGTAGTTGAGTCTCTATTCTATACCCTATGAGCTTGCTTTGTAAAATTTTTAAAAGAAATTTTGAACGACTAATCATGTAGCAAGTAGTAAGCATATCAAGACAAAGAATATCAACCATTCTCACCCCACACTTTAAAATGGACAAAAAACATAGTGAGTCTTGGTAAGGTTGGAAAGACTTACCTTGATTGTTGTTCAAAAATTCGAACTCATAGTTCATTAGTTCTTCATGATTTTTTGAAATCTCGAAATGTTCAAACCAAAGAGAACAAAGATAGCTTCCTAAATTTCTCGATCCCTAATTGGTAAGTCGTCCTGGTGGTGGTCCACTATCAGGGTAGAGGCTACGAAATGACCTGCTGAAGTCCTCCATCCATGAATGGCTCCATCTCTGTTCTGCCTCTTGTCTCTCTCACCAAGCTTGAGTCTCCTCAAGCTCCATCTGTGTCTTCTTCTCAAAGGCATCCCGGTGTTGCTCGTTCAAGTCCATGCAGGTAATCAAGCTCTCCTCCTACCTCTCCATGACCGATCTCAACTATGCCAGCTCCATATCCATGCTCGTGTATCCTCTCTAGGTGCACTGTTGGTCTACCTGCCTCCGTACATGCAGAGAAACATGAGCAAACATTGTTGGTGAGGTCTACTCAATTGCTTGTCACCATGTCTACTCCAAAGGTGTAAGTTGGCTACCTATGAATTGGTCATTCCCGCGTTAGAGTATCCCACAAAGCAAATATGATCCTCTATATGCTCATCTCTGTGTTGGGATATAGTCAGAATATAGTCTCCTCTTAGAAGTCCTCGTAGAGAAGTGACGAATGTGTACCTCAACATGTTGTAAACCACCAACCATACTGGATGAAGCCACCAATTGTTCAACAAAGCATGATACAAGATCATGATACAACACTGAGCTCTTCCATAGATTATTCTTTATCAATCAATCAATCAATCGGGAATACCACATAAAACTCATGTGTCATCCCTTTGAAAAAACCCATGAATTATTCTTGATAATTCAATCGATCGAGTATACCATGTAAAATTCATGTGTCATCCCATGGATTATTCTTGATCAATCAATTGATCAGGGATACCACACAAAAGTCATGTGTCATCCCTTTGCATGGTCTCAGAGCATCGATCTTAGCAACTTACTTTTTTAACTGTCAAGAACTTCCTCATGAATGATTTCGATGAAGAAAGAGTAAGGTTTTAGATCAAGATCTAGAAATCCTTTATGACAGAGTAAATTTTCATGATTCATATTATTCATAAGTTGTTAACCTGAGTAACAATATGTTCGTCATTGTTTTTAGATAGTAGCTATTTAATATTACATTTTAACAATACTCAAGTTCAAAAAGGGTGGCTCAATTAGAGAGCGGATCCCATGACTAAAGGGGGCCCTTAGTCACTTTATTAAACCCCTCTTAAGTCTTAACCCTTAGATTTGGACGCCAAAATCTGACGGTTAAAAAATGGGATGATATTTTTAATGAGTGACATGGGTAATTTGGGTATTATGCAGGGTTCAAGAAGGCGCGCCTAGGCGCACGCCTAGGCTCAATTAGGCGCTAGGCGGTGTAGGATCGCCTTGACTTGGCCATAGGAGTTGTAAAAGGCGCAGGTAGCGCTTAGTAGGTAGGAATAGCGCTTAGTTTGCGCCTATTGGAGAGAAGGCGTGTCTGGGCGTTCCTGGGCTAGCTTAGGCGGTTAAACCCAATACTCTTCGTTTGTCCTAGAAAATCAGAAACTTGCCTCTTGCCCTAGAAAATCAGAAACACGGGAAGTCACATCTGTTGCCGCCTGCCTCCCTAGCTCTCGCCCCATCTGCTACCGCCTGCCGCCCTAGCTCTCGCCCCATTTCCTGCTCTCTGCCGCCGCAAGAGAAAGTCATCGATCACTCTTCTCGCCTTCACGCCGCTCCGCTGCTATAGTGGGAAATAAAGTCAAAATTCGTCAATTGCTGCTCCTTCCTTCTCCTCGGTACGTAGCACAAGCTTTTTGCCTCTATAAGCACCTATTAGCAGATGATTGGTCACTATTTGCTTGTTATTTGTTATGTTAAGTGTTTACTGTTAAGAACTAGGCATTGCTAATTTTATATGCACTTGGATTATATGAATTATTCCAGAAAACAGGAAATATTTGAGAATTTTTCCATTTATGCTCTGAACGCCTAGGCGCGCCTAGGCTATGCCTAATCACGCAAGGCGCAAGTCAGGAGCCGAGCGCCTGCCTTACGCCTAGCGCCTTTTAGAACCTTGGTATTATGAAAAATCACGAAGTATACAAACCAGACTTACAAACAGTTCAAATCATAAAAACATACAAACAACACAAACTAGAGCGACAAAACATACAAACTTGTGCATGGCGGTTGGTTACGGTTTCCTGCCCTTTTCTTTTTCTTCTTTGGGAGAGTTGGATACAGATGTCGTGGCTTTGCTCAAACAGATCCATAAGTTCTTCGTGTCTTAGAATACAGGGGCTCAGGCGGCCGCGTACATTTTTACTAGACTTGATTTTGCTATAGCTAAGGGAGTGAGGGCTCGGATTGTATCTTGGCTTCTCACTAATTTTTTGTAGAGCTTTCGTTGTACTGCTTCCACACATAGTATATAATTCATTTTAATAGAGAAATTTATACAATAGGAAAAAGGAATACAAAACATACGAACTATATAAACAATACAAACTAGACTGACAAACAATATAAACCATAAAATATGGAGAAAAAAAAAACAACCAGGTTGACTTTGGATTTTGGAGACTCCATCCCTATGTAGAGGGGTACTGTCCCAAAGCCAACCTGATTGTTTTTTAAGACAAACAAACATTACAAACATAGTGGACAAAAATAACAAACTAGATCGACAAACCATACAAAATGTAAAAATAGTCTGGTTGACTTTGGAGTCTCCATCTCCATATAGAGGAGTTACATCCAAAAGTCAACCTGGGTGTTTTTTGTACATAAAAACATTACAAACATAATGGACAAACATGATGGACAAAAATGACAAAGCTTACAAACATTAAAAAGGAAACCGACAAACAATACAAAAATAACAAAATTTACAAACATTACAAAAGAAACCGAAAAACTGTACAAAGCATACTAACTATTCAGAATACCACTACTTATAATACAAACAGTGGCGTAGCTAGGATTTCGTATAATGTGGGTCCACCTAGAAAAAATACATATGATGAAATAGTTTTTGTTAATATAATCTTAAATTGAATTTTTTTGGTAAATTAAAATGCATTAGTAGTAAAAAAAATATCAAGAATATCATTCTGCGTACCAAACAATTATTGATTTAGTTAATCGTACACTCGTACTGTTTCAAATGTTGTTCTTTGTCAAGAACCGTTAGTATCAATAAATCGAGTTGTTGATAGAGGTTTAATAATAAATCCTACACTATTCAATAATTCATGATTTAGATTTCGGATAATGTTCTTTGTAAAAAAACATTTAGTATCAACAAATCGAGTTGTTGGAAGAGATTCAATAATATTATGATACCATTTACTAGCATGCTCCCTCATAAGAAAATTGACTTATACGAAATTGAAGTTTGCACAAATATGTATACCGTATTAGATTCAAACACAAAACTACTATTATCAATTAAATGTGACCTAATTTCGATATCAATTAATTATTGTACCTAATTTAACATTTTCCTCCCAAACCAGGGTGGGTCTCGGACCCACCCTGTTACCCTCTCCCTCCGCCACTGAATACAAATAGGTAAGCTTGTACAAACCAATAAATACAAATCATAACATAAAGTAAAAAAAATTATAAACATAAAATGAGTTGATACAAAATCAACAGTATAATTTATAGCTGAAAAGTAAAACTGCACCCCCCATTCAAAATTTCCTGCCCATAGAGTGATTTTAGGAAGCTGATGTGGCAGAGTGTTAAGCGGAAAAAAAAAGAGTCCCGCCTGATTTCAGAACCAAAAAACTGTCCACTACCCACCTTTTTCTCCTTCCAGGCCCACGTTCTCATTTAATTTGTATTTATTTGCAAAACAACAAAATCCAGCGGCAAAGCTCCTTCCTCTTCCCCTTTGCAATAGTTCCTTTGTTTTTTTCGTCGGCAAAGGAAACTCTGGTATCAGGCGACGAAAGGGGAAGATCTAGGTTTCTGAGTTGCGACGGCCAGAGGTGGGATTCCAATTTTGGTTCGTCGGTGAGCAAATTCAAAATCTCTTTTGTGTGACCTCGCCTATTGGGGCCTTCTCTACTCGGATTCTCCAGTTCCCGTTCTGGATTGCTCCCTGTTGATGGATATAGTCGACGATGCTATTCTCCAAGACTGAGTGAATGGCAACCGAGCAACATCAAAAGGGGAACCAGCTAGAGGGCCACGCGCTCGATTTTGACGTCGAATAGTTCGCAATTCTGGTTGGAGAGGAACAAAGGACAAAGGAGGCTCGCTAACCAGTCACAACTTCAATTCTCCATGTTTGAATTACAGGCATGTCGCACTAATGTTACCCTTTGGAAACCCCACATTCGATGTTCTCCTACTATTCTCTCTGCCCCTGTTTTCGGGAGACCGGGTTGCCCCTCTTCGTCCCAGGATCCCACCACCCCTATTTTCGCTTTTGAGTTTTCTAATCAAGCTTTCGGCTTTAGCCATCGTCGGATTTGCTGGTGCCACTTGCACTGTCTCCCTCCGTCGTGGCGTGCAAGTTGGTACTTTGCTCTTTCCTTCAGCTTTCAATTTGGAAGGTGTCATGACTGGCGCAGACTGTGACATTAGCAGTGGTGGGATAAGCCTTACCATGCTTTACATATTTTCATGAGATGTGCTTTTTTAGTTTGTATTGGTGAGTGGCAGCAGGATAAGTTGTCTCACAAAATAAACATGTGTTTTCTTTTGGTGTTCTTTTTAAATGAGAATGCCCAAAGTTTCCTGCTTCAGTTTTGGGATACCATGGGTTGGCTCACTCTCTGTGAGATACCTTCATTTTTATTGTTCATGACAAAAACTTAGGATTTGCTAGAAATGATAAGGGTTTAGCATTAGTATTCATAAGACAATTAGTGAAAAATTAGAATCTACAATGTTTAGTTTAAAGTTTTGTGTTCTCATTTGAAATTCAGCCTGTTGTTCTCGGAGTTGATAGGCCTAAGTTATGTCTCAAACATAGATCTGATGCATTCATCTTATCATATCATTATGTAGAGTATTCTGTTCCACATCTGATTTCTCCTCCGGGCCTTTTTTGTTTGTTATGTTCTTGGAAACTAATAAATTTCTAGGGAAATTAAAAGCTGGCCACCAACAAAGGATGAATGCCTTTTGTAGATTCTGTCATGGTGTTTTATTTTGCTGTGTCTATTCTTGATTTGAAGTTTCTCATAGCTTCCCTACATAAGTTTAGGTACGGAAAAGTAGTACTCAATTAGCTATATAGGTACTTTTATTATTATAATAGAATTAGACAGTGTTGGGGGTATGAGTTTTGGTAAAGTTGTTAAGTTATTATTATCTCTACATCTTTGTAGTTTTGCCAAACTTTGTGGCGTTCAAAAGTTGAGTTATGTGGGTTTAGTATTGTCACTGCATTGTATATGTGTTTCCTGAATCTCCATGGCTTAATGAGCTACATATATTTCGTGTTTTTTAATGGATAGGGTGGTTGTGTGGGTGTATCAATAAGCTTTGCTCGATACTAAAAATATTAATGCCTAAAGCTCCCATAATATTAGTAGTGAACATGAAGTTGGTGACCTTGATGCTGCCAAATGCACCAAAATTGATCAAGCGAACCATGATATTATATTGCAACACCTTTAGTCGAGTCACTAAAGAGGAAGGTCCATGTGAATTCAGAAAGTGATGCACAGATGATCGAGTTTTTGAATGTTTATTCTCATGAATGTTCAATTAGGTTTATCGATGACTTTATACGCATTATAGCTGAGTGGATTGTGTGTTTCTCTATACCTACACGTTTTATTTTGCTAAGTCACTTTGTATGAATACTTCACCAAGTTTGTGACTCCATTTCTTTTTATGCATGGAGCATCATGCAAATCATCATGCCTTCTAACAATAACTATATATATACACTATCTCTTCCCGTCTTTTATCTATGGCTCTATCTTCTAATCAAGTTGCAACACTACTACATTACGCTACATATTTCCTAGCTCCTAGAATCAGTGGCGGATTCAGAAAATTTTCACAGGGGTGTCTTCTTCAAAAATTAAATTTAATTATATAATAAATTAAATAATTCGTATATTAAAAATATCATACTTGTATAATTTTTATAAAATTTTTATTAAATAATAAATTAAAATTCATATTTTGAAAAAATAATATAAATAAACTCTGTGCCTGCACTGTTCAAAAAATCTACATATCCTACTAGACAATACTTCACGAACTTATCACATATTCGATTTCTAACATTGTTCTTAATGTAGCTCAAAGTAGAAAAGACTCTTTCAACACTTGCCATGTAACCATAAAATCAATTCAAAATTAAGGGTAGCGTGTACGTAGTTTAATTATTAGGTATTGAAAATAGTTGGGGATAAAGAAATAGCGTTTTACTGTTGCATGATGTTTAAAATAGAATAACAAATGAGTAGCAACATAATTGGAATATGTTTGATAATAGTAGTGTCCTAGGTTGGAATAACACGTACTACCACTTATATTTTATTAATCATAAGCAAACTATTATCGAGGGTAGGATAATCATTTTTTCAAATGTTAGGGTGTCCCGGATTACCAATTATATTTTGTATACACATACGAAATTACTACCGGAGGTTGGATAATCGTTTCCCCAAATTTTAGGGGTGTCCCGGGACACCCCTAGAGGCCATGTATCCGCCCCTGCCTAGAATGCTTAACTTACATAGCAATGTTAGTTGTATATGATGATGTACTGTGGGATCCCTTATTATTTCAGGTATAGTTGGATGGACTTAAATTATTTTTACACTTGACTATTTTCAAATTTAGGATGGTAGAGTTTTGCACCTGTTTCTCAAATTTGCCATGAGTGAATGTCTAACCAGTGGTTCTGATTAAATTGTTGTAGGGGGATTTGTGTACTTTAGTAGGAACTCTACCTAAAATTTGCAATAGGTAATGGGTTTAGTAAAATGTTGGGTGATAAGGATAACAATGATTGTCAGAAAGGCTAGGGATTGATACATTAGTCGTCTACCACTGTTGGCCTAAATGTTTTGTAGAGGGCCCTTCCTCCGCTCCCTTCATCTCTATCGTCGTTCTCCGTCCTCTCCTTTCATTGGGAAGCCAGATCAAACGGTTGTTTTGCATGTCAGTGGTTGGACGACGTCCAAGTGGATGTCAGTGGGCAAATTCAGTGTCGAATAGGGATTGTGTCGGAGGTAGCTAGATCCACCCATATCCTCATGCTCTCCATGTCTGAGATTCGACGTCGGCAGCTGTAATGTTCTAACGAAGAAATTGGGGTGTTAAAGTGCTTCCTCTAGAAATGCCACTATCAACTTCTCTCTGTCGAGGTAATTTCAGCTACCAACCCAAGCTCGATTCACGCCAGCAAACGAAATCACCTTCTGCGTTATGCGTATAAAAGGCAGCTTAAATCACACAGACCCAGGAAAGCGTTTCAGCGAAAACTCCACTAGCAGCTTCTCTCTGTCAAGGTAATTCTCAGCCATCAACCAGCCAGCTTTTGATATTTGTTTCTATCGGTCTGCCATTTCGCTTCTTTATTTTAGCTATATGCTTCCCTCCTATTATGTTCGTGAAAAGTTTTTGATTTGTGTCTGATGGAGCACGATTGGAAATCTTAAGATGATCAATTTTATGCTTGTGTAGCAATAAGTTAATCCCTTGAAGAAATTCTAATTACTATTTTAATTTAATGCATAATTGTTTTAGTTTTATTTGTATCTAATAGTAAACCAAGTTAATAATACCAATATAAAGAAATAATTTTAAGCAATTTATGATACAATAAATAGGGCAAATTCTTTTAATACGAAACATGTATAGGCCGTAGTGAGTTAGGATAATATTATTAACAAAAATACATATGAACTAATTGTTATCAATGTCACAATTATCAAGTAGTGCAAAGATCACTTTCGATTATTATGAAGTAATGAAAAATAAGATGAAATCATCCGACCAACGGGTCGGGTAAAAGCTAGTTATAAACCAGAGGGAAATTCTCTCTCCCTCGTACCCACCAAATCTCCACGGCGGAGGAAATTTCCCTAGACCGGGGACGCGTGGAAGGGAGAAGGTAGGTCACTTTTTTTTTCAATTAATAAATTAAATATTAATGAAATTACTACATTGACCTTCATTAAATTAGATTAATTCGAGTAATTGAATTTTAATGAGGTGAAAGGGTGAGATTCACATAGCCATGTTACTAAGGGACTTAAGGGTCGTTTGGTTTCGGTGATAGTCAAACTGATGCATTGTTATCAATTTTCAATGATATTTTTGTATAAAAAATAAATTTTAGGTATCCAAATGTAAAATATAAAAAAGTATGATACTAAATAGTAATTTGCCATTTAGATCCATAGATCAATCCATGAATCTACCAATCTAATTGGATTTGGATCAAATGGATTGAATTTATATGGATTGGGTTAGTTGGATATTTAAGTGGATGAATTGGATTGGGAATTGCCACCTCTATGCCAAAAGTGAGTCAGGTTAAATAGGAGATTATGTAATCGTAAATAAGGTTGGTGCGTAACCTATATTTTCTCCATAGTTTTCTTAATTGGCTATTATCTTCTTTTTTGTAATTTGGATTTTAATTTTTTTTTGCACCGATTGAACGAGTTTGTTGTGATCTACAAAATAAGATCCATTTTCAATATTTTTTTAGAAAAAAAATTCATACCTCTCTTTACCAACTCCATACCATATGGTACCACCTTCGTTTTTAAGTTGTTTTTGAAATTTTTTGCATAAAAGGAAAGAGTTTATCATGATCTATTGGATCTATAAATTTCGGGGAGAAAAAATACAAACCAAAAAATACACCCCATACCACCCTGGTATAGGGTGGTAATTGGTGGTAAACAATGTTAAATATAGCAAATGACAGTTAGTATATTCCTAATACCATGTATTCAACCATCCTATAGTCTGGTATGTTCATACCACCATGGTACACTGTGTATGCTCTTATATAATACCAATCAATACCATATGGTATAGACTGGTAATAAATGTCACAATTATTTGTTTTTTACAAAAATATATCAAAGTGAATATCATTGTGATTAGTCCTAGCAGAGAGTATCATAATTTAAAGGCTCTTCTTTGTTCTTAGAATTATGAGAATAAATTGATTAGCAGACATTACATATGATGTTTAACGAATTCCATAAAATTTCTTGGAGAGTTTTTGTATTTCCTATTAAAATTTTGCGAGTTGTCTTTCTTGTTAAATTATTCTTTTTCTTAATTAATCATCCTTAAATATAATCGATGACTTTGAACAATTTAAAATTTGGATTTGTTCTCGAATCTTATCTCACTTGAAAAAATTCAATTTGAAAATCGATAGTGTATATCTAGTCCTCTTTATTACTGTATCACTTGATATGAGTTGTGGATCAATACCACCACGGAAAGAGTAGAAAGAGTACCAAAACAAGTAGAGCATACCACATAAACTAAATTATCGTTGTAGGTAAATATGAATCTACTCAACCTTAGCATTCTCTCTTAAATGGACTTCTTGGCATGGGTTGTTCAACAAAGCTTAAACTTGAAAAAATAACATTAAAAACTCATTTCTAAATATAAATATTAAGAAAAGTAAGAATAAACAGTTTTTGTAATTGAAAGGGTAATCTAGTAAAATCAATAATAATGGCAATCTCGTAATGAAGTAAAGAGAACAAGACTTATTTTATAATACAATCTATATATATATGGAAGACTCGTTCCCTTTCTCCATTGTCCATTCCCTTTTGCTTCTTTCTCCCTCCTTTCTCTGAACCTCACCTTTCCAATTCTCTCTCTCTTTTTTTCCTTTCTTTCCAATTTTCTGTTCTTCCCTTGAGCTCTAATTCTGTGTTAATGGCTTCTCTTCCACCATACAAACATTTGTCAATAAGTCTAAAGTTCTTTAGATTCCGATACTCAGATCTCTATTTCTAAATAATTTCTTTTCTGTCCTTTTTCTCCTTTTCCACTTTTTTTTTTCTTTTTCTCCTTCTTCATTGATAGTTAAATCTTATCTTGTACTCTGATTAATTAATTTTTAACCCTCACTCTACTATTTTACTGAATTGAAAAGGGGCAAAGTTTGGAAATTCAATTTGTTTTTTCTTTCCTTTTTTCCCCATTTACATTTCTTCCACACAAAAAAAATTCTCCGTTGGGGGTAAATTCAGTTGTAATCGTGTGGCTGATGTGTCACACATGGAAGCGTCAAAGAAAAATACCAAAACGATGCGTCTCCCTCCTCGACGCATCTTGGCTTCAAATAAGCGGAAGGATAAAGAAGATACAACCTGTGATTCTTCCAAATCGTCGGCACCATCATTGTCGTCGTTGGTAGCAACAATGGAGCCGGTGGTCAAACCGACTACTGCTGTTGTTGGTTACGATGAATTTACCGAGCCGGTTGGGTCTAATAATCAACTCCTGGCTGGCTACTTGGCCCACGAGTTCCTCTCAAAGGGAACCCTTTTTGGTGAACCCATGAGTCAGGCAGAGAATTGTCCCTCGCCCATCTATGTCAAGGCAAAGAAGATTAAACCTAGCATGGAAAGGGAAACCAAAGCTGCAGCAATGGTGAAATCAGAGCAGAATATTGGAAAGAGGAGTGAGAGATATTTAGAGGTTTCAAAATTGCTGAAAATGGAAGGAGCCCACTTGCCTGGTATCATTAACCCTACCCAGCTTGCTCAGTTCTTACAAATGTGAAAGTCATAAACGAGAGTGGTAGATCATGTAAGAAAAAAAACGACATCCTCTCGTTTTGGGCTACGTAGATGACTAATCATGTAAAAATTCCACGTCATAACTTTTATTCTCTTTCTATGTTTTTTTTTTGTAGATTTTATTTATTTTTAGCTGTGTATAAGGAAAGAAAAAAAAAACTTCTCATGAAATCTTAGATAAAGAATTTGTCAGATTTCCCATCAAATTCTTATATTTGATCATGAATTCCTTAAATGAAATTGGAAATATACAAAAATATAACTTATTTCATTCGTAGTTTTCTTGGTCGACAAGAAATTTTTGACGAACTAGGTTTTTCAGTAAACTCGTTTTAGTCCCGACACAAAAAGTGAATCCTTGGACATATCTTATTAGGTCCCTGTACCACACACAAGAAGATGACCTCAATTAAGATTTCAAGAGAAAAGAGTAAGAGGATCCAAAATTTACACAAAAGAAAAGCTAAAAAGGTTATGTATGAATTGTACAAGTGCACGGAGAGGATGCACCAAAACCACCATAGCTAATTGGGTTGCTAGATCATGTGCAAAAAATCAATTGCCATCACAATAGCTTCAGATTCTTGATGTGGTTGCTTCCCTTTTGTAATGTTCGGCTTTTGCTACAATCAATGGAAATTCGATGTCCTTTGTCAAAAAAAAAAAAAAACCCACCATAGCTTATATAGGTTATAAGCACTATCAAAGCAATTGGTCCATGACTTCTGACTCAACGATACATTTGGGGCAGAGTGATGAGGATCGAATAATTCGTAGCTTTGATATATTTCACATTATTATGTTTTACTATGTTTTGTTGATTATTTTGACTTCTAGTAGCAATAGGTACTTTTTGGAAATTCTTGGGAGTACAATTGAGTCAAATAATTTATTTAGTACGGTCATCATCACTCAAGTCTGTGCAGATTTTTGTCAATGGTTAGCATCTATCCACAACTAACCCATCCTAAACCAAGTTTAACCTAAGATGACATTGTCATATAGTGGCAATCAAGGTCGTATTTTACTCAAGTCCTAGTAACCTAGCCTACTTCCCACCTCGTTGTTATTTAGTTGATCGATTTTGGAGGTTTTGAGTGGAGGATTTGAGGGAACTACTAGTTTAGAGATTGAATAAAGCTCAAAGCAGGTACTTCGGGGAACTATCCCTCACCCTAGTCTAGGGCTACTATGAATGTCTAGATACTTAGGGTTATCAAATCTAGTGAGTGAGTGAGCTCGTTTTTGTGGGCTTTCGTGGTTATCCACACACCTCCGAGTATGCCTCCCTAGACCCATATGAAGGCACCACGATCTAGGTTATCGTACCTAGGGCACTATGCTCGTAGCTCATTTCAATGGATACTATCCACTGTCCACACCGAGGTTTTATCCCAGGTTCTATCTAGGAATGCTACCCATAGCAGGGGTTCGGTCGCCTCGACCACCATAGGTCCCTATTAATACATCTACCTCAATTTGCTTGATGGCGCATACCCGTCTAACCCAAGAACTCCATACCCAGCGTAGAAGCATAAAGTAGGCTAATAGAGAAGATTATCGCGACTTACCCAAACACTATCAAGGATAGAATAGCAAGAGAATCGACTAGATAAACACATTCATTCATTCAAACCCTAAAATATCCATACATACATAGTAAACCCTAAAACTAGGGTTTGAAGTTTAGAACCCCTAGTAACTTAGAGGAATACTCCATAAAAGAGGGAAGAAGATACATTGAAAAAATTAAAGAAGACTTGAGGTTGAGGAAGATGTCTCCTATCTTCTAGCTAATTCTCCTTCCTTCAGCTTCTCTCTTTTCTCTCTCTCTAAAACTAGAAATTCTTCTCAAAATCAGCTCTCCTAGAAGGGGGAAATGGGTCTTCTATTTATGGGCAATCAGAGGACGGCGAAGTTCACGGCCAGTGAGGCAGAGATTGCGGGCGGGATCTTGGTCGCGATCTTGAAATGCAGTCGTATAGGCTTCCGGAATCTGAATTCCTATTTAATGCCCTAACTTTTAAAATTTTCGCCCTATATTAACCAAACATATGATATTACCCCCAATTCCTAAAACGGTCGCCCCCAACCATCGCCCTAATCCCTAATTTGCTATGCACGTCGCCGACGGAAGGAAAATCTGAGACATGAAATTCACCGGCGTTGACCAATCTTGCGCAGCTGCTCTGCTGCTCGGTTGACGGAAACCTTTGTCGGCTGGCTATTCCTTCTTCTGGACCCAACCCGAACAATTATTTCAACTTCACCAGGCGAGTTGTTCCTTCTTCCTCCTCCATGCTGCTCAGTTGATGTGGGCCTTTGTCAATCTCGCGGACTCAGAGATCCACAAAGCTGCAGACGTAGAAGCTATCGCCAATATCATCTTCTAGGTTTTCCTCTCTGAGACCAACTTCTCCTGCAGCTTCAACGCCATCGTTCCCATCTTCCACCAACAGCTCACTGCGGCATTTCGTCGAACAATGACCTGGCAAGTGTCTTCTCCGGGAGCGGGAATCAAAATTGCGGCAAACTAATAACAAATGAAAAAGTACGACTAATTTTTCATATTCCCGGAATCAGTGGCGTCGACAGGGCGGACCGAGCAGCGGAGCAGCCGCCGCGAGGATTTCCAGGCGAGCGACAATGACGGGCGAGGAATTCTAGGCAAACGGCGACGACGAGCGACGACTTTCAAGCGAACAGCCGCGATGAGCTACGACTTCCACGGCGAACGGAGGCGACAGGTGAGGACTTGTTTGCCGATGATGGGGATCCTAGGGCGACGACTGACATTTATGGCGATTCTGTGTTTTTGGGAATCGTTTTTTTTTTAATTTGGTTAGAGATTGATAATATTTTAAGGGTAAAAATGTCAACTTATTTAAGTTAGGGCGATAAATTTTACAATTTAGGCGTTAATTAGTAACTCTCTTCGGAATTGAAGAGATCGTAGGCTGACTTCACGGTTGCTATCCACGAGTCGCGGCCGCAATCTTCCTCGCGGTCAAAATGCTCTATGTCCGTGATTCAACTGGGGAAACTCTACGTTTCTCATTGGCTCGTTCTTCGCGAAGTTCACGACCCGAGCCCGCCAATTAGCGAACCTTTATCATAAAAAAGATATAATTGATTGTATCTGATTGTCGGTGAAATTCCGCCGCTTTCTTCTCCGAAGATCTGGTTGCCATCACGGTGGAGGAAAATCGCTTGCATGCAGCGGCTGTATCTCCAGGTGATTATTGTGGTGAAAAGTAGATGGAAGAGGCCAAGAGGGGGTTTCTAGCTCGTGGATCTGGGTTTGACAAGAGAGGTGGGATTTTTGGGAAAGAAAAGAGGGATCGAAGGTCATATTGATCGGAGAGGCAACGACGTGGGAGAGTGAGGTATTGGGCGCCAGCGACTCGTCTTCATCTCCATCCTTCTTCGTGTCCGATGGCTGAGCTTCAGCGGCGACGATTTCAATTAAAAGCCCCAAATCAGATGAAAGCCCCCTCTATTAGATCTCTTTCTTCCCCAGTGTAGATCTCCGATTTTGGATTTTGGTCACGGACAAGATGAAGCGAACAGGATGGCGCCGACGGTGAAGAGCAACGATTCCCGAATCGGAGGTTTTCGGCTGGTAAACCCACTGGTCAATGATTCCCGAGACATATCTATTGATTTGGGGACAGCTCCCTTGAGTTTCAGTCGTGAGGAAGAACAGAACATATCTACTAATTTGGGAGCTTGGGTAGCAGATCGAGAACCCTAAGGTTAGGGGGAAAATCTCTACTTTTGGATATCGGGTGTTGGATGCTTGCTTTTGTTTTTGCTGGGTTATTGCATATGACGGCGGGGGAGCTGCAAAAGACGCCGACGATGGTGTGAGAGGAGAGAGGACGAGAAAGTAATTTGTGATTTTTTATTTATTTTTAAAATTAACATATGAAATGGCATCTATGTGGCGAGTTGTTGATGATGTGTCCGATGAGTTGGCAGCCACGTAGGTGTTCTGTTAATTTGACTAACGGTGTCAATGACGCCGTAAAACTATGTAACGGAAATGGCTATTATTGTCATCAAACTTTCAAATTTTTGGCTATTTTTTGTATTTCCCCAAAAGTGGCTATTATTGTCACAAACGTCAAAATTTTGGCTATACAAATGAATTTTTCCCAAAAGAAAAGCTAAAAAGGTTATGTATGAATTGTACAAGTGCACGGAGAGGATGCACCAAAACCACCATAGCCTATATAGGCTATAAGCACTACCAAAGCAATTGGTCCATGACTTCTGACTCAACGATACATTTGGGGCAGAGTGATGAGGATCGAATAATTCGTAGCTTTGATATATTTCACATTATGATGTTTTACTATGTTTTGTTGATTATTTTGACTTCTAGTAGCAATAGGTACTTTTTGGAAATTATTGGGAGTACAACTGAGTCACAAAGTTGCAGACGTAGAAGCTATCGCCAATCTCATCTTCTGGGTTTTCCTCTCCGAGACTAACTTCTCCTGCAGCTTCAACGCCATCGTTCCCATCTTCCACCAACAGCTCACTGCGGCATTTCGTCGAACAATGACCTGGCAAGTGTCTTCTCCGGGAGCGGGAATCAAAATTGCGGCAAACTAATAACAAATGAAAAAGTACGACTAATTTTTCATATTCCCGGAATTGGTGGCGTCGACAGGGCGGACCGAGCAGCGGAGCAGTCACCGCGAGGATTTCCAGGCGAGCGACAATGACGGGCGAGGAATTCTAGGCAAACGGCGACGACGGGCGACGACTTTCAAGCGAACGGCAGCGACGGGCGACGACTTCCACGGCGAACGGAGGCGACAGGTGAGGACTTGTTTGCCGACGATGGGGATCCTAGGGCGACGACTGACATTTAGGGCGATTCTGTGTTTTTGGGAATGGTTTTTTTTATTTGGTTAGAGATTGAGAATATTTTGAGGGTAAAAATGTCAACTTATTTAAGTTAGGGCGATAAATTTTACAATTTAGGCGTTAATTAGTAACTCTCTTCGGAATTGAAGAGATCGCAGGCTGACTTCACGGTTGCGATCCATGAGTCGCGGCCGCAATCTTCCTCGCGGTCAAAATGCTCTATGTCCGTGATTGAACTGGGGAAACTCTACGTTTCTCATTGGCTCCTTCTTCGCAAAGTTCACGACCCGAGCCCGCCAATTAGCGGGCGCGATCTTGGGCTTTCATGCCACGATCTTCATCTTTACTTCACAGTCCATGTTCTCGGTCTTGATCATTCTCTTCAAAGCCACGATCTTTAGTCTCCTGCCCCTTTGCTACACTTGTGGCCTTGTTTTGTACCTAATTCGCATATATCGTCTAACACACCCTAAAATCACATCGAATTCAAATAGGAACGGAAAAGGGATGCAATTGACGATGTTCAAGGAATTATGCGCATGAATTGTCACGAAACAAACCTCAATATGAAGGATAAATAACACCAATTTAGGTGTTCTCAAACTCCCCACACTTTGGCTTTTGCTTGTCCTCAAGCAAATCTACCCAAACCTAATGCAACATGATAGACAAATCAATGGGGTAATGCACTTTAGTTCTTCATTGCATAAAGAAGAGTAGACGGAGATGAATTAACATTACTATCATCTTACTGTGTAAGCACAAACTCACGGGTGAGGACCATACCTACTACTTTAGGCTGAACATTCATGGTGTGCTCCGGGGATTCTCTAACAACAAATAAGCACAAGAATTCTCGAAGGTGCTTTTTATTCTCTCTTTAGACTTAGGAGTTGTCGTTTATTAGTCTCCTTTTTCTTGACATTGACGTGCATTGCACCAAACTTTTGCAATTCTTTTGCAAACAAGCATTTCTCCCTATGACCAAGAGCGGATGTATCATAGCCTTTCCTTTCAAGGTCACATGTGGGGAAGTTGATGGACGGGATTCGTCTTAACCTGAGCACCACTTCCCAGTCTGCACTCTACATTGGGTTGCCACACATGTCGGGTACAAACTAGAGCTATCTTGGTGAACATATTTCGAGGGATTCAAAAGATTGACTTTTGATGATAAAGTAAAGGCAATCTTGGTGAACATATTTGGAGGGATCATGAAATTTGATGTTATAGCTAGCGGAATTGTCAATGCTGCCAAACAGGTGAAGAACACCTAATTCTGCTTTTAGTGTCTCTCTTTAATAAATTTTACATATTCATATTTAGCGCAGCCCCTTGAATTCCCGAGCAATTAGGGATGGCAATGGGTCGGGTTTTGCCAAACTCAAACCCAAACCCATGGGTTTATTCGTGAAAAAAACTCGGGGTTAAACCCACTGGGTTTAAAAAACTCAAACCCAACCCAACCCGCTGGGTATCCGCGGGTTCATGGGTACTCACGGGTTTTTGTCGTAAAAAATTTATAATAATAAGTTCCTATCAAAATTAAAGTCAAATATCAATCTCTCAATACAAATTATCCATATATAAAACACCATTCTAGAAAATTCAAGCAAATCACAAATTAACTATACAAATTGTTCAACACCAATCTAGAAAACTCAAGAAAATTGAAGTAAATCACAAATTTTCCTTAAATAACATGATTAATTGAAAGCTTCTTCCTTTCAATTAAGTTTCTTCACTCTCCACTCGATAACATCAACTTCATTCTACTCAATTAGAAAGAAAAAATTAGACATTTCTCCACAAACATAAATAAGATTAGTTGTTTAGAATATTAAATATACCGAGAAAATTAATTATATGGGTGTGGGCGGGTACCCATGGGTAGGGTTTACCTAAACCCAAACCCAATCCAACCCGATGAATAGTGAACGGGTTTAAATCCAAACACGGTCCAAAACCTGTCAACACGGATTTTATCCGTGTTGACCGGGTTGAGTCGGGTGGGTACCCGTGGGTTCTGGTTTTGTTGCCATCCCTACGAGGAACAGCCTTGTTTTGTTCCTCTTTGTACATTTCCCTCTGAGAAATGAGGTTACTGAGAATCTAAATGCGTGCGGCCATTAAAACAGCTGAAGCAACTTCGGGTGACTTAATATGGTCATAAGGTTTTCAGCGGTTGAGAGGAGTTCCCTTTGTGTTATTTCTGCCTGGGATTGAGCTCTCTCGTGCTTTAACAGAGTCACTGGAACCAATATGTTTCTGTGATCATTCTGTATCAAGTTTTTGAAACAAATGTTTATGTATTCAAGATAGATGTACCTGGGGAACAATCAAGTCTCGTCTCCTGAAGGAATGGAGTAGGATTCAGCTATCTTGCTGGCAATGCAGTAGGCAGTGGACTGAATGGTGATCATGGGATTGACACCAATGGCACTGGGGAGCACACTTGCATCGCACACAAACAGACCTTTGGCCTCCCAGCTCTCACCACTCTCGTCGACGCCGCCGTCCTCCGCCGTGGCGCCCATCCTGCAGCTCCCCATCTGGTGAGCAGAGAAGAAGGTCGTCCAGTTGCCATCACCTGACTGCAACCCGCCGCCCACTTCAACTCCATCCAGAAACGCCTCCGTGATTTCCTCCTCGCCTTCCCCGCACGAAATCTTCTGCCCGTCGCTGCGGAACGTCCCCACCTCTGCCGCCCCGGCGGCGGCCAGAATCCTCAGCGCTCGCCTCAGCCCGGTCCTCAGATTCTCCTTGTCCACTCTGTCCAGCCGGTGGGAGATCCTTCCTTCCCGCTTCACTTCCCCTGACCCCCGGTCCCTCACCAGCGCGAACAGCAGCGCCGTTCTCGAGTACTTCACCATTTTGTCCTTCGCGTCCCGCCCTGATGTCCACGGAGACGATGCCGCGTACGACGCCGGCCCCGCCGCCGGGCATTCTATGATGGCGACGACTTCACCGGAGGGAGAGGAGTCCGCCACTCTGTGGATTGAGGTGATGATTCCTCCTTCGTACGATTTCTCGTCTTCCAGATCCAGATCCAGATTTGAATTTGATGATGGCGGAAAGTATCCCCAAGCCATCACGACAGGGTGGAGGTGGAGGTTTTCCCCAATGTTAGGGTTCTTCAATCCGCTGGCGATCATCAGAGGCGGCGTGAGGAGCGATCCAGCTGCCGAAACCGTCACTCGAGCTTCGATCTCCAGCTTCTTCTTCTCCAATTTCGAATTCAAACATCTCGCCGTCACTCCCGAGCATCTCTTCTTCTTGTTCTTATTCTTCCCTCCGCCGCCGTCGTTGGAGAAGACGAATTGCTCGGCTTTGCATCCTGAGATTACCACAGCGCCGTTGTTCTCCACTGCGTCGACGAGCCAGGTGGTGTCCGTGCCTTTCTTGTCTCCGATTCGGCAGCCGTAGCAGCAGGATCCACAGTAGTGATCCTCCGACGAGTTTCGCGACACCGATTCGACTTTCAGGCCGAGATTCTCGCATCCCTTTCTGAGGATTTTGTTCTGGAACCCTTCCCTTTTGCACCCGTCTGTAACCCCCAGCCTCTTCCACACGGCGTCCACGGCGTTCTGGTAAATCGAGCTTCCGAAGAGGGGAAGCTTGTCGTCCACGGACCACTCCCTGAGGACGCAATCGGGCGTCTTGATGCAGGCGGACCAGTTGACGGCGGAGCCGCCGCCGACGGTGGATCCAGCGAAGATCATGGTCTGGCCGTCGGTGGTGGCCAATTTTCCCCCGCATTCGTACAGCTCCTCCAGCGAGGGTGCTTCGAGCGAGGAGTAATCCTCTGCGGCGAAGTAGTTCCCTTTCTCCAGGACGACGACTTTCATTCCCGAGCTAGCGAGGACGGCAGCGGCGACTCCGCCGCCGCAACCGGAGCCGACGATTACGGCGTCGCATTTGATCCTGACGGTGTTGTGCTGTTCGTCTTCACTCACCTCGAGACCCTTTTGGATTAGAGACTGGACGAGAGTGGAGTCGTCGGTTTCGTGGATCGTTTCCACAATCCCTTTCTCCAGAGGTCGTCTCTCCCCTCCTTTCTGTTTGATATGGGTTGTTTTCCTGGTGTCCACTTGGTACCCAATGGCTTCCCAAGCTGGGTTCTTCTGAGTTTCATCATCAATCTGCCGGGGCGACAAACATGATTTTGGGGTTGATTGCATTGATGGGAAGAAATAAAGCAAGGAAGCGACGAGCTCAACTCTCAACTTACCCTGGAGAAGAAGACAAACAAGGAGAAGATTTTGATGGTTGCAAACACTACTCTGAGAGGTATAAGCAGCTGCCGGGTTTCTCCACTCCATTTCTGGAGAAGTTGCTCTCTCTGCTGCAGGGGAATTTCAGAGAAGTTGTGCACGAATGGCCACTTCCGGCTCAAGCAGCAAAACCCGCAGAGCAACAGTGTTCCCAACCTGGAAGACAGCAACTTGAGTACCAGTTTCAGTACCAACACAGCTTCTGGCATCCCTCTTCTGACAATCAGGTCTGCCACCTTCAGGCAAAAGGAAAACAAACCAGGACAGTACAATTATATGAAGCTGCTGAATGACCCACTAAAACATAAGCGAAGGCGGGGAGATAATACTAGCTAGCTACCTCGTCAGGGATAGGTGGGTGAGACCCAGAAGCTCCATAGAAGGAAACAAGTGCTTGCTGCCTGTCAACTGGGACTTCCTGGCTCTGGTCAGGAGGTGTCAATGGAGGGATAAAGGCTTCACAGATGGCTGAAAGGGATCGGATCTGACCAGAACTGAGACCATGGCTGTAGGAAGAAGAAGTCATTATTCTCTTCCTTCCTCCTCTCAACAAGGTACAGCACTGACCTCTCTCAGTTTCCTCACCTAATTAATGAATGATCAGAATCTCTCTGCTCTGCTCTTCTTTCCCTTTCGTTGGTTTTCAAGAAGATGGTCTATCTCTCTGCCTTAAATATACACGGAAGTCAGGAAGAAGTGGTGCAGGAAGGGATTTGATATTGCCTTATTTAAATGATTATCTGCTGTAAGAAGTTTCTGAACTCTGCCATTTGCTCATTTCTTTTAAGTCGCTGCCAAAACCAAAAAAACGAAAGATAGGAAGCAAAAGGACGTACTAGAGAGGAAGAGAGATGCAGGTTTGTGTTACCAAAAAATGGGAAAATATATATAAACGTGCCCGTAAAATATAAATAATATAAACGTCTGTCTTATCTAATAGGATGTTGCTCTCATTCTACCAACAAAAACCCAAAATAAATAAATAAATAAATGTTGCTGTCAAAAGCTCTACTGGTGAATTTTTCTATAGGTTTTTACTAAAAGAATGGTGGTGAGCTCTCTGATAATAAGAAAATAGATTGGGTGCCTGAAAAAGAAAAAGATTGGGATAATTGTTTTCGGCCGATGTGGCAATCTGTGATGACTCACTAATGTTTGAATGAGTTAATCATTAGTTTTGATTGTCAATTCAACAAAACGAGTTAAAGTTGTGTACTTGTGTATGACTATTATTATGAAAGATGGAGCAATCATATCATTATTGAAAGTTGGAACCAAATATCAAATTTACCTAATTGTACAAAGTTTGTGCCACGTTGCAGTATTAATCTAATCAAACTTCTATTCATGATCTTAGGATGGTTATTAAAATGTAATGATCTTATTGGTCCTAAAACGTTTATTTTGGTAGAACTTCCTCTGTTGGCTAAGTCTCAATTCCCAGCTATTAAGCCTATTTCTTATATAAAACCTACATTTATGTGCTTACTATTTATTATTAAGGGATTATTTAGTAAATTCTTATATAGAAGTCACACTTCTGTGCTTATTATTCATTAAGGGATTGTTTCATAAATTCTTATATAAAAGTCACACTTATTTGCTCAGTATTCATTAAACGGTTATTTCGTAAATAACCCCAACTCAAGAAGTACTCTTGATGGAGGACACATGGCAAGAATTTGCGGAGTAGTTTGTGTGTTTTTTCAAATTCTCTTTTTCTTTTCTTTTTCTTTTAAAATTTTAATTTCTTATGTGTTATTCCTATATACAATATGAGTTACTATTCGTTAAGTTTATTTTTGGTAGTTCTACAGAACTTGAGAGGTCCATTCTTAAATAGGCAACATATGAAAATCTTTTAGTGGCATATTCTTTTTTCTGTTTTTGTTTTGTTGTCTTGAAATCAACATCTTTGTTCGTATTTGGTTTTGTATCCTTACTCATTTCTCTCTCACTCGAACTCAAATAGAAAGACCATGGAAAAATCTCATTCTCATCGAACATGATGAAAGTGACTTCGAAACCGAGGAAACCATATACTACGTTATGTAGTCTTTTTCTTCTTTGTTCTTTTTCATTTAAGGTGCAAAAACTTCATAAATTATCTAACAAATCTAGCTCCAAATATGCAAATCTTCCTGGGTCCCGGCTAGGCACCCTGATCCGCTTCCGTGTAATCCTCATGTCAACTTAGAGGGTAATGAGTCGAGGGTAGCAGAGCTTATCGATCCGGTGAGTGGAGGATGGTGTTGCCAGTCCCTTCGACAGTTGTTTCTAGAGGATGTTGTCCGGGACGTGTTGGCAATTCCTTTACCGAGTTGGGGGGGGGGGGAGTGGAGGATAGGAGGGTCTGGCATGATACGAGTGATGGTGTGTTTAATGTCAAGTCGGCATATCACCTTGCGGTTCTGGTGGATAGGCAGGTTGGGGAGTGGCGCCCTGTTGTTAGCTGGATGAGGGTGTGGGAGCTCAAGATTCCGCCGAAGCTTAAGCTATTCCTTTGGAAGATCTTCCATCGGATTTTGCCAACGACTGAGGCGCTAATTGAGAGACGGGTCCAGGTGTTACCTAGGTATCCTGTGTGCTGGGCGGAGTCTGAAACGATGGAGCACCTTTTTTGGGAGTGTCCAGTCGCTATAGCCCTCTAGATGCATGCGGGATTGGAGCATCTGGGCCATGATCTGCCTAGACAAACCTTTCCCTTCTTCCTTAAAAAATGCTTGCTTAGGATGACTCAGCCAGCGTAGATTATGTCTCTAGTTGCTTTGTTGTGGCGTATTTGGAAGTCAAGGAATTTGGCTGCCTTTGAGGGGAAGCAGTTCTTGCTTCCTCAATTAATGCGACAATATCATCAGCAGCTACATGAATGGGTGAGCTTACCAGAGGATAGACTGAACCTGCCTCAAGTCCCCCAGCAGTTGCCTGTGGAGGACGGAACCTTGCGAAATGTCGTCTGTATGTGGGATGGTGCGGTAAGTGCCAACTCTCATTCAGCGGCGGCCTTATCTTGAAGGATGAGGGAGGGCATGTGCTTTTGGCAAAGAGGGTGTTTTTTTCATAACATTGTGAATCCTCTGGTGGCCGAGACTCTTGGTCTTCGGGAAGACATTCAGTGGTGTCAGGCTCTTGGCATCCATCAGGTGAGGTTTGAGGGTGATGCTAAGGTGCTTATTGAGAAGGTTAATGCCAAGGACGTGCAGGATGGGCGTGTGGGGGGCATCATTTCTGAGATTCTAAGTCTGTTAGGTGTAATTGGTGGTTTCTGGGTTCGGTTCGTAGGTCGGAATAGCAATAGGGTAGCCCATTCGGTGGCTAGGAAGGTCATGTCTTTGTCTCCGGCCTCGTGTCGATTGTATGATTTCTGTGCCTGGGTTGGGTCCAGGATGTAACTTGTGATCTTTTCTATGAATGGAATATCTTTTGTAAAAAAAAAAAAAAAACATAGCCGCATTGGACAACGAGTGCAAATGGCTATAAAACTCTCCCACAACAAGTTTGGGATTTTTCTTGCATCTTTGCAGTTATATCTTATGAATCACATTTTGTTAATCCTTTCATATAACAAATGTGTATTGCTTTACAGGTTTTTCTATTAAAAAATTGCAGGGTTCTTTTGCTTGCCGTGAAGCGTAAGCGAGCGAACTATCCCTAGTTGTTATTTACAGGGGCAAAATATCTCGGATACTACTAAAGTATGAAAATTGGTGGAACTATGCCACTTAATAAAGAATAGGGCATCACGTACCATTGAACTCTATTATATGTGCACCCGGTACCACTTAAATTTATTGTTAAGTGCATTCAGTTAAAGTTGACAGATAAGGCATCACGTACCATTGAACTCTATTATATGTGCACCCGGTACCACTTAAGTTTATTGTTAAGTACATTCAGTTAAAGTTGACAAATATTGTTGGAATATTCTGTTTTCTAAATTTAATAATTGGTCCTTCTACTTTTCTCATTGTAAACAATCATTTGGAATTATGAAAAATATCATTTTTTACTGTTTAGTTGGGATCCTGTTTTGAAGACTTGATACCAAATCAATTTTTGAATAGAAAATTTAGAATCAATTATCATTATAAGTATTTTCAATTATCATTATGTATTCTAATAATTAAATTATTCCTTAATACCAAACTAATTTTTAATAGGAAATTTAGAATCAATTATTATTATAAGTATTTTCAATTATCATTATGTGTTCTAATAATTGAATAATTTACTAAAGCAAATATATTCTAATAATTCTCTGAAATATATTTAATTCTTTCTGATTGTGTTCCATTTATCCTTCTTTGGTCTTGTTGTATTGATGATCGATTATGTTCTATTTTAACTATTTTTAATAGTGCTTCTAATTGAATTAAGGATTTAACTAGATATTCTAATATTTATTTTAAATATTAATTATTCTTCTTGATATTCATTTATTATTTTACTAAAATATCTGTTTTATCGAAAAAAATTGATTAGTCATTTTAGTAATACTATGTTTAGAAGGTTTCTATATTTATATTAGATAAAACTTTTTGAATGATATTTTTGTAAGTTTTTAAAAATTTTGAGTACCAAAAATTAATTAAAAGTTTGGGTTGGATGGAAAACTAAACGTATGTATATTTTGGCAACTTTAATATTACGCGACGCCCTATTCAAACTTAAATGGTATTTCTATCCCAATTTTCAAACTTAAGTGGTACCCAAAATATTTTATCCTTATTTACAGAATGATGGACTTAAAAGTTTGACATCAAGTATATGTGATATAACAATTTATAATTTACAAATGAAAATAAATATAAAATATATTAATCTAGCTTCTTAAAATACATATATTAGTGTCAAACGTAAGATCAAAAGAAGGATAATCGCACAAGGCACACCGATTTACATGGTATCTTCAACGAGTATCGTTGATACTAATCCACGAAGAGGAGCAACCTCTAAGAGTCAATTGTATATCACCGAGAATCCTTAGATTACAAGAGTGGTCGGCCGCTCCTATTTAACTAGGAGACCCGTAAACCCTATCTCCCAATCCTACACAAATATGGATTAATGGTTAAATTACAATTGATCCCCAACACTTCTAACAATCATTTTTTTTTAACATTTTGCAAAAACGAGAAAGACCACTCTACGACATTACTGAAAAATAAATATATTTAATGCATATACGAGGATTGTACAAATATCGTACAATATACATATATATTTTTGATAATATATGGAACAAAATTTTGACTAAAACAAATCTCCCATAAGACTGTCTAGTTTCTAGAGTTGTGGCTGCTACTGCTCTGCCGAAGCAGCTTGAGGAAGGTAGATGGCAGGAATGCAGGAGGACATAGCACTTCTTTGTAGCAACGGGTAAGTTAGTATGGCCAATATTATTTCAAGTTCCAAAAAGTAGGAACGACCAACTTTTTCCTTATTTTTTTTCTTATGAACGAAACGACCAACTTTTTCCTCGTTTTTATTGTTGCTTAATGCTTTGTTCTTTTCTATGGTTGTGTATACGTATGTATAGTATCTCGCTTATTCTATAGTTTCGTGACTTCATGCTGAGAAAGTTAATTGCTCTCACCAACAAACCAAAATGCCTAGTGGACCGAACCATTAGCTACTTCTTTTCCCTTGGGATTTTGCTTCAAACTTCTCGTCTCAGTCTTGTTGTTGTGTTCACTAATTGACTTCTACAAAGATAATTTTTGTACCTATATTTTCTCACCAAATGTAGTGATGGCGCATGGCGGACGGGTGGAGCGGGGCGGATATCTTAATTACCATATTCGTTTCACACCAAGCGAGGGTCGGGACGGCGAGTGGGGTGGGTCGACCCATTCTTACATATATTTGAAAGAAAAAAAAACATACAATTAATTTTTACGATAAAATGAAGGGAAGACATTTTACGAATGAAAACCAGTGATAATAGAATGGGTAATTAAGTCTATCTAGTTGAATGATAAAGTCTAGCTAGTTGAAGAAAAACCAAAATAGGAGAAATATAAATAGATATTGTAAGAAATTGAGATGAAAATGAATCAAGAGTTAGATGGGGCAGGGCAGAGCTAATCGAAAATAGATTCTCATGTCCCATACCACGCTAATGCGGGCCGGTTTCAAATTGTCGTCCCTAAACAAATGACCTTTCTTATCCAATTAATAAATGTTTGATTGGTTTAGCTCAACCGGTTGTTTGTCGGGGATGGGGTCTATTTAAGAAATTCATGTTTACACAAAATGCTTTGGAATGGAGGGGAAACATAGACAGAGCCAGACCAAAATTCTTTAAGCGTATTTCAGGACGCCTCGAAAATTTGAAAATAACGATCTATCTGGTTGTAGTTTGAATTTGGGACAGGGATGGACCAATGATCTTCTAGAGGCGCATTGAGACACCTCTAAAATTTGTGAATCTCTTATAAGTAGTTCGAGTTTGGGGACACAATTGTGTTCACTGCTTGAACTCTACGAAGAGAATTTGTGGCACCTATATTTTCTCAACAACTATCTTTATTATCCAATTAATAAATGTTGATTAGTTTAACTCAAGGTTGTTTTCCATGGCTAGGGTCAATTTGAGGAATTGGTGTTTACAATAGGGTGTTGTGGCTTGGCTGCTATGGAATGGTGAGGAAACAAATACCTTTTTCTCCGAGCAGAGGGTTGCAACAAGGATGTTCACTTCACCCTATCTTTTTTAATTATGTAAGGGAACTGGAAAGCAATGTTTTCGTTGGTAGCAGCCTCTGTCTCAGTTTTTTTTTCCTTCATATAATATAGATAGTGCTTTTTGCTTAAGCAAATCCAAAACACATGAATATTTAGGTGGAGCGTGTCGAACTTTTTGTTGTGTTTGGGGAGCTTATTAGTAAGGATAAATCTACGGTCTTATTTTCCATTAGAGCTCAGATAAGAGAGAAATTTGGTATTGTGTAGGAATTCAGCCCTCCCCTAACATGAGAAAGTATTTAGTATTTACAGATTCCTATTCTTCATGGACGGGTTTCTAGGAATACTTATGTTGATGTGACTTGAATCGGACTATTAGCCGCTACGACTGGTAATCGGGGGTCTCGCTGGGCCCACGGTGTATGAGCTCAATGTTATTTGGGTTCGGGCTCTGGGCCTGGTCTGTAACCGTTTCCTTTACCAGATTGGATTAGGTTTTAGACTCACATGGAGAAGTACTATAAATACTTCTCATACTCCTCTGTAATCTGTAATCTCCTCGATATAATGAAACTGGCTCTCTCTCGCCCGTGGACGTAGCTAACACACATCGTGTTAGTGATCCACGTAAATCGTGTGTCTATGTTTTTCGATTCTCGCTTTCGTATTCTTGCTTTATCGATTCCGGCGATTTCCCGATCCGTAGCAGCGCGTTTATAACGACTTATAAGGTCAAACATGAGCACGAAAAGAATCAAATATAGAGTAGCACCAAGCTGAAATCATAACAAACTCGATACCCACCTGATCATTTTAGGTCCAAATAACAATGATTACAAAGGTGAAGGGAGTAAGTTACACAGATTAGGATTGCAATCAATAGCAAGTCAAGCATGATAAAAGATAATACACATTAGAAAACCTGACCCATGGCAGTAACATGCATCAACAAAAAAAAATACCTCAAGGCAGGAGGCCTGTCCGCCATCAACTGCCATCCCCCTCAAGAACAACTTAAGAACATGCCTTGCCCCAAGAAAGCCATAAGCTCAAACCACATTGTAAAATATGCACAAATTACAAAGACCTCATTCCATTTGAACCCGAGGTAAGGCAAACACACATTAGCAACCCAAATCGACCATCAAAAACCAATCTGGAAGAGCAATAGTTACAATATCTCTAACGATCTTCTTTGCTGCAATCTACCAGTCACAGAGAAGTATGACGATTGTAAAACGAACAACCTTTCTGAGGTGGCAATTATTTTGGTGTAATAGTTATCCACCATTATGCAATTGTTCTTTCGACTTTCCATGTAGTGATCAAAAAGTTTGCAATGAGCCGTCCAATACTGTAGCAGATGCGTTGAGGTGGCGATTATTTTTTGTGAAGAATTCTTAAATTAATTTCCTTCCAGATGCTCCAGTAGAGTGTGTGGAAGAGAAGCTTCGAGCACCATTCTTTTGGACTAGCAGGGGGTATTGTGGCCAACCTCTTATGGCTCATGTGATATCTGCTGGAACTAGAGGTGTCAATTGAGCGGGTTTGGGTCGTGTTCAATTGGGTTATGGGTTAGTTGGGTGTTGAATTCATCGAGTTGCGGGTTCAATTGAGTCATTGGTCAGTCGCGTTTTAGGTTCATCGGGTTATGGGTTAGTCGGGTTGCGGGTTAGTCCGTTTGGGTTCATCATGTTGTGGTACAGTCGGACTGCGGGTTCATCTAATTAACGATTAATCGAGTTGCTGGTCAATCGAGTTACGGGTTGATTGGGTTACGGGTCGGATGGGTTGCGAGCGAAACAGGTTTCGGGTTGTTCGGGGCAGCGCATTGTGTTACTTAATCTTTACTTGTTACAACTTACACTTTATTTATTACACTAATTTCAAACATTTTTTTACAATTTCAGACAATTTATTTCTACCTCATATTCGTACTTATAAAGGTTTTTTGAAGTAATTATACAATTTGTATTCTTTTGGATGATTGAGTTATTGCAATCGCATAACTTAACCAGTGTAATTAAAATCTTACAGTTTTACTATCTTACCTGCTAGTTCCGATCCTGATTTTACTACTGAATCTTCGAACATTAAAATTCCGTAGAATCTCGATTTAAAACTATTAAATTCTTATAATCTACAATTATACAATTATGTACGAATCAGGCTTGTCGGGTTAAGTTTGGCCCTCGAACCGGGTCAAGTTCACTTCTCCCATCCCCACATTTTTTTCTTAATTAAATAGACATTTCATTGTTATTGCTAGGGCCGATATTTTGTTCGATTCGGTTATAACCATAGTCATTTAGTCGGTTATGTTACCCGTTATGCAATTGATGTGTATTAGTCGGTTAACTATAATCGCATGATCTAGTTGTTGGTAATCTCATAACAAAGCTAGAAGCTTTGATGGAAGATCGATAACCACTTTCGAGAGCGTTTTGGTTTTTGCCCTAAAATTTTGAAAAACCAAATCTGAATGTACCAAAAAAATTTTGTTCTTTCTTTTTGCAAAAAAATTGAAAATGCGAAAATTTCCTTCATTCTTTCCATTCTCATATAAATAAATGACTATTATTGTCACACACGGGAAAATTGTGTCTTTGTAGATGTATTTTTCCTTAAATAAAAAATAGACATAGCCACAAATGCATTTGACTTTTGAAATTGGCATTATTGTTAGCTAGCTTCACAACGACAGTTCCAGATTTTCAGAACCTATGAATGGCTATTAGTTCCTACAATTGTTGCATATTATTTTAGCACTTATGCTGAATTTTATTGCTTTTATCTTTTCGTTTGGTCTTAGCTGGTTGTTTTGAAGTTTGAACACACTACTTAAAACAATCGGCACCAGATAATGTACAAATGATAATATAGTTATGTATTTGACCCTAAAGCGTACTAAAGTACAAAACTGGAATAATAACATGCTAGTGGTTGCCGGTTCTGCATCATAGCTAGGATGACAACAAATTTGAGTGGGGTCGATTTCTCTATAATCTATATACATCGTAGAATCATGATTTTAAAATTCTAACCATTCTCGAAACCAAAACTAGGCAAGATGTAATATGAATTATCAAAACTTACTCATTTGTGAGTTGGGGAAATTACTTCTGCACCGTCCTTACATAATCAAATATAAAGTTCTTGATATAAAGTGAATTTTTTCTTAGAATGTTGATTTAAGCTTTGTTAACACGTTTATAAAAAGTGAGGGAAAATTACCAATATTTTTGTCTAAGAGATAATTATACTATTTGATGGATATTAACGATCGAGGTGTTGAAGCCGGTGAGTTTAAACCATAGTTGCAACAAGGATTGTAAAACCGTACTGGAGGTTGTGGGAATAGGTTAGGGTGGTTACTCAATTTTGAGTAATCACGGTGGCTACCAACATCTATACCATTCATTATCTTTATTTTATTATATTTTTAAATTAATGATTAAGATTAGCTAAGGGTAATTTAGGAAATGAAAAACATACCACACCTAATTACTCTATATATTATACTCAAACCCTAATACAACCTATCTACCTAGCCGCCGTCTCTCCCTTCTCCCACCCTACAACCAACGTCCTTCCCTCCACCGTGGTTTTGATATTTCTTTCACATATACCACCAACAATACCACCACCAGTCCACCATTACTGCTATTCCTCTCTCTCACTGATAAGAAGAAAAGTTAGCAGAGAGAATGGGGGTTGCCAATTCTATATATGTGCACGGTGTCTTACCCCCCCCCCCCCCCCCCCCCCCCCGGCGTCCCTCCCTCCGACCACCCCAACCCAGTATAGCTCTCAAAAACCCAAACAAGCCATTCACCAGCTTCTTCTTTCACGGCCCAACCGGAGTTGGGAAATCACTGCTCGCTAGAGCATTAGTAATGGAGTTCCTCGGGTCGACAGATTCGCTGAAAAAGGTGGGATGAATAAAAACCCTAGATCTGATTTTTTTCGCATTGGTAGTGATTTTTTCGTAGTGGTAGTGTTTTTTTGCATTGGTATTGTTTTTGTCGCATTGGTATTGATTATCATGTAATGGTATTAATTTGTGTGTATTGGTATGGATTCAATCTGCAATGGTATTGATTTTTTGTGAAATGGTATAGATTTATATTGGTAGTTTTCGTGTAATGGTATAGATTTATTTCTGCAATGGTATTGATATTTTTCAAAGTGGTAGTGATTGTCTAATGGATTGGTAGTGATTTCGTGTTTTTTTTTCTTTTGCAGAAGATTGAGAAAAATAAGGAAACGAGTTCTGGCTGAAGATTATGGAAATGAGAGAAAGAGAGAGAATTGTAATTAATAGATTCTTGTAACTATCTAAAATGTAATTTATTAAAAGAATTCATTAATACAATTTATTTTTCATACACAATTTACCTAGTAATCACCGTAACCTGTCCCGGAGGTTGTGCCGTAAAACTCAGAGATATGGTATTTAATGTTGAAACTGTGCTTTAACTATTGTTCAACCGTTTCATACCGATACCGCTAAAACTCGCCTACCGAACACATATTCGGATGGATTTAACACAGATACTTAGAATACCAAAACCAAACCAAATTCATTACCCTCCCGTAAAACTCAGCATAAATATTATGAGTTGAATTTTCCCCACCCAAATGAATTGGACTCAATTGGATACCACGATGAATTAGTTTTTCATCCCTAATCAATAATCACAGCCTTACTTGTCAATGCGCATTCCACCAATTTTGACAGGAAAAATGGCATCCTCTGGAGAGCAATCGAATCGAAGTGGCATGAACATAATCGATAGGAATCCTGTTTACGCTAGTTTCAATTATAGTAAAAATGTCTTAAGAAGGATGTGAACGCTAGAATATAGTCTATAGACAGTCAATTAAGAAATTCGATATGAATTCGTTCTCGAGTTATCTTCAGACAAACTGTAAGAGTATTGAGCAAGCATAAGAAAAGATAGGCATCATCATCCTCCCATGTCAAACCAACTCAACCAAATCATATACTTGCACCAATACTTTAACTTATTTTCTCAAAAATAAAGAGGCATCTAGCTCAAGTCACTTGAGCTATGAAATTTATCAACAATGTGATATGACTTAGACATTCTATCTGGCTCATTCCAGTACATCTGCAAGCTGTTCTCTCTTTTCCGAACTACCCGAATGGGCGTCTGGAATCAGTCATACTCATAAGAATAATATATGTAAGGTAAGGAATAGGATCTCCATGTAATAGTTTTGCCTCATCTCATGCATAAGAAGTGAACATAACCTTCTGGACTCTGCTACCGTGGCTTACGAAAACCAGAGGCAATCTCAGAGCAACTGAACCCAAATGGTTCACTACATAAAAGAGACTGCTCTCGTGACTACAGAAGGGGTGCAGCTAAATCTTCTTCCTTATTCCTCAAGCATATCTTTAGAAGGCGGAGCTGGTGCCGCAGATGCAAAACCTGCAACTCAATAGCTGAATATGAGAACAGAACGAAAGATATATGCCAGTGTTTTATTTCTTTACCCAGATTAATATGTAGGAACACACTTCTTCATGGAAGGGATAGGGACCAACTTGATTCTAGGTGAATAAAATCACGACAACCGCAGCCACATGAGTAAATGGAAGGAAGGCGACGACATCAAACAGCGTTACAAGAGGACAGAACAAATTGGTTACCTCTTCTTGGAGCAAAACAGGGAGACTTTCGATGGAGACAAGAGTAAACACTTGTTTGAGAAGTTCCTCGTCTTTGATACCAGACCATGTTTCAGGAGGCAGAGCCAATAACAGTGCTGTTAGAACATCTTTGCTAGCTGGGTAAATCTGGCTACTAGGGCCACATTTGCAGGAATTCTGTTCCTTTTCAGATGAAGGAACCAGGACTTCAAGTCCCTGCTGACTTCCACCGTTGACTACTGTTCCAGAGACTACAGTGATGGGTTTTCCATCATGTTCTTTCAAGCATCTTACGCATGTTTCCATGCAACAGCCTCCTTTGAAAGACTTCCCAACCAAAATTTCGGCGCCTTGGCAGCAGAGCTTTGCCGCAATATCAGAGAGATCATCATCACCATTACCCTTAGTGGGCACGTTTCTACAACTAGACGTTGCAGAAGACAAAAGTGCGACAACATGTTTGAAAAGGCCAGTGTCTCTCACTTGTTGTAGTACCTCCTCCTGAAAAAAGTATCCAACAAAACAATCAGTTACTTGCATTTTGAACCCACAGTTAAAAATGACAAAAACAATCAATAATTAGTAGAGGTTTTGAGTTTGTAAAATACCTTCATGGCTAGTCGTCCTTTCTCCTCTTGGCTTATGTTTTCACCACCATCCTCTTGTCTTCTAACTTCAGCAATCCACTTGATGAAATCACCAAAATGTGATGGCAAGGACATAAAAACGACTTGAAGTACTTTGTCAATATCTTTCACGTCTTCTGACTTCAAGAGCACAGGAACTTCATCAATTAGATACTTGGCGAAGCCAGTCCAACTCTCTTGCTTACAGCTCTGTGAAATAAGAAAAAGTACGAGAGATGATACAAGAGCACCAGCAATTAAAACAACATGAGATTACATTGGCAACATATTAACGTGAAAAATAGTGTTGTCGACTATATTTCTTTAGAAAAATAGTGATTCTAGTTTACCAATAACTAATGAGGAAGTGGTGCCAAATGTAAACTTACAAGGGTATAAAGCAGTCCTGGCTCTGTATGCGGCCGTGATAAGAGTATGAAACTGTCGAATCCAAAAGTTACATAAGCAAAAAGAGAAATTTTACAATGCTATATAGTATTGGTGCTATGGGTTTTTTCCTTTATGGTACAACTTAAAATTGTACATTTACGTATGGTACAACTTCAGATTGTACCTATATTTTTTGTGCAAATTCTTTTACGGTACAAATTGAACTTGTACCTTTATGTGATAGTACAACTTCAAGTTGTAAAGTTGTACCATAACATAATGGTACAAATTGCTTTATGGTACAACCTAAACTTATACATTTAATGTTATGGTACAACTTTGAGTTGTACATTAAAGCACCAATGCTATATAGCATAGTAGAAGTGCTCAAGCAAAAAATAAAAAAACAAGGAGAGAGGAAGGGGAGTGAACATTCAACACAAGTGATGGGCCTGTAGCTGACCATTCGATCTGCTCTATCTTGCGGTCTTCAGAGAGACGCAGAGCAGTGGACATAACTGAACTGAGCAGATTTAAAATATCTAACCATGCAGCCTATTCAGATGCTACCAGCTAGCCTAGCGTGTGTGTGATACAGAACCAATATTCTTGCAGTTATAGGTGAACCACATCAATTGTAATGCACTATGATTGAGACAAAACATATCACAAGAAAATGTGACATGAAGGTATACCAATGGAAAAGGTCATTCTGCGCTCAGTTTTCACTTGCAAAGCAAAATACCATGGTAGAAACCAACAACCAAGCGGAACCTTGAAAAGGGCTCCAAATTGGGCTTGAAAAAGGGGATTGGTGTAAAACATGTTAGACTCAACGAAGTTTGATCAAGGAATATAGTGATAAGAGTGGTCATTTTAATGCAAATGAACCTTTTATGCACCCTTACCAGACTTTCCAGTATGTAACATCAGAGGCTCAAGCTATATAGACAGAAATAAGAACCAACCCTCTATGATGTCCAGTTGTCACGTCAATTGCATCCATGGCTTCCCAAAGAAGACTTAGTGGAACCCAGTGTGGAGGATACTTAAATCGCGCCACGTCCAAAATCAAAGCCATGTCCCTTCCAGCATGATACCCACCAATAGGTGAAAAATGACCAGTCCCTGTCTGAAATTATGGGGTCAAGACAAAGAAATAAACAAGCTCTGTTAAGCATGATAGGCCGGTTTCATGCCTAGGTCTGAAATCCAGTAATATAGAAAATGGTTATCTTTATTTATCTGAATAATCTTGCAAGCCAATCTTTCTGATATTTATTATTTCTTCGCACAAACAGAGAAAAGCTGAAGTGTAATTTCTGTAACTGTCAAGAACAAGGATATTGATTTCTACAGAACAACTGACCAAGTGATCTGAAATTATAGTTTCATCACATTAGATTGAAAAGCACCAAATCTGTCATTGGATAAGAACAAAAGATCCAAGGTAAAAGTTCAATTGTTTTAGTAATGTATCTCCCTAAAAAGAAAATTTTTTAGCAAAATAATCAAGCACTATAACACTGGCAGGACTCAGATCACTACTAATGATGAAGAGTCGCTAAGAGAGGGATCATTAGCTAAAGAGAAATACCTGTTTAAAAACCCCTCTATGATATGATGAAATCACATGGCAATTATCAGAAGTGGAACATCTAATGACATGTTTACGAAAGTCATCGATGGTGCTTTGTCTGGTCCGGAAAGCTTCGACTTTTGCACCAGCACATCGTCCCAAACAAACAACTTTTCCAAATGAAATTCCGTCAGCTTTAACCTTTTCCAAAGGCTCACAGCAATCCAGCATGGATTCGTCAAACCACCTCCATGGTCCTGCATTGAGGACAAGACTGTTCTCAATGTTTCCTATTTTATCTCTTTTCAAAATGGTAGAACACATGAATAAATTTTGAACGCAGGAAGAAACCACGCCCTGCTCCATTGCAGCTGTATTTAAGAAACAGGTTAAGTAATTAATACAATTCAACCCTAAATATTTCCAAAGACATAGTATACGACTTACTAAAGCCTTACAAGTATACAGCTTGACCGGGCCAAAGGACTCGCCTAACACACATAATCACCAGTAATGACAACATGTTATGCCCACATCACATGTTTACCTGAACCAAGACTCTAACCTGAGGCAACGCATACTTGAGAAAACATCCAGACTGAACTGCAGTCAACGACCAAATACCGTTACCTTTCCATTTCCTCCCAGGGTCAATTGCGAGTGCATTCAAGACCATAGAAAGGCTCGCCAGACCACAATAGGCAGGCTCAGACTGCGTCTGGAAGTAGGATATCAACTTATAGAAACCTTCCATGGTTCCATTCTGAACCGCTTCAAGAAAAATTTGCTGCAACTCCACAGAGCAAACAATTTCAGATCATTGCATCGAAAACCACAAGCTGGTAGAAGTAGCCAGCCATATCCTCAATGCCATTAACACCGAACTTCGTGACTAGGCAAGACTCTCGCCGTTGCAGACTAGACCATCAAAATCTGCCTAACGACAGATGATAAAACCCTAATTTCTCGAATTGAAACGTGACCGTAGGATACATTACCAAAAAAAAGGGAATCTTAGCTTCAGATGAAGTGAATTGCAGAGGTTTTGAGTTTACCTTTCCTTCCGAAGAAGCGAAATCGATCGCAGGAGGGGAAGGGAGGACCCGGCGGTACAGTCCGGCCATTGCCATAGTTCTTAGCTCCCCGGAGAATCCGTAATTGACAGCGGAGCGTTTGGAGGCGCAAGGAAAAGAGAGGGAAAGCGAGCGAGCACTGGTGGTGGGTTGGGGTGGGGGGAGATTCGAGTTTTTGGTTTTTATGTGGCGGTTGAGCTGAGAAGAAATCGGAGATGAAGTCCAGCGGAAAGCAGGTGGACTTTTTTAAAACCGGAAGTTTAAGAAGATTCGCGGTTTCCAAAACGGCGGTAGTCATCCGGGTTTGAAATCAGCCGTTTGAGGAGAGAGAACGAGGCACTTCAAGACCATAACAATGAGTTCCAAGAAGAGGTTGCTGAACTAATGGTCGAAAGGTTACATCTGAAGCCTAATATTTGCTCAGATGAGCTTCGTATGCATAGAAAGGAGGAGCTACATGAAATTAAATCATGGTTGAGTGTTCTAGAGTTCAAGATGTCTTGTTAATGTAAGCTGGTCAAGAATGAAATTGTTTTGGGAGAGGGGTGTTATGTAAGGGTTGAGTTGTAAGTGGTGGGTTGTAAGCTAGTGAATAATAAATTTGTTAATGTAAGATTGTCATTACTACCTTCAACGATTCCGTCGACTCTAATGCACTTATTGAACTCCCTCTTATTGGCAGTTATTACCCTGGAGTCATGGAGTCGGAAGCAATTCCCAATCCCGGATCGATTGAGCTTTTATCACCGGCGGATTTGACTCCATGTTTCCATATTCCGTCCTATCTGCATGGGAATATCAAAAGGCCTTGGAAGTTCGAAAATATGTGGCTTGAAGACGAGCGTTTTTACAACAGTGTTTCCATCTGGCTCCTTTCTCTATTACAAGGATCTGGACATATCTTTCGTTGGTCGAAGAGATTGCAGTCTCTTAAGCAACATATTAAGTATTGGAACAAACATGTCTTTGGAAATATTCATGATAGGGTTGATGAGCTGTTGAGGTCGGTCAAGGAGCTTGACATCATTGGTGAAAACAGAACTCTTACTGAAGAAGAAAAGAACAACAGAATCATGATGGAACTTGATATTGTCAAAGTAATTTATATGCAAGAGATAAGCTGGAGGCAGAAGTCTAGGGAACTATGGCTTAAGCTTGGCGACAAAAACTCCAACTATTTTCACAAGGTAGCCAACTATAAGAAGAGATAAATTTCGTCAACAGAATCAGTATAAATGGCCAGTTATATGAAGGCAGAATCAAATTATCTCAAGGAATCGTGAACTATTATCTCAACTTCTACAAAGAAGAATTCCGGTGGCGTCCTTTTCCTGGCAGGTATGTTGGTTCTCATTTAAATGATGTTCATCGATCCTCCTTATGCACATCGTTTATTGAGAAAGAGATCTGGGATGCTATAATTGACTGGTGGGAGCAAGGCTCTAGGGCGGGATGGATTTTCTTTTGAATTCTATCATAGATGTTGGGATTGGATAAAAAGGGGGCATCTTTCTTGCGTTCAAGGAGTTTCACGGCTCTGGTCTCCTTCCAAAATCCCTTTCCCACTCCTTCATATGTCTAGCGCCTAAGAAAGACTCAGTGGAAAACATCAAAGACCTCAAACCAATTTCTCTCTTGAGCAACTTTAATAAACTTGTCAGTAAAGTATTATCTAGAAGACTTGCTCCTCTTCTTCCACGGCTTGTCTCTGATCAGCAACATGCTTCAATCATTGGAAGGAACATATCCAATTTAGGGCTCATTGCTAACGAGCTCGTCGATAGCAGAAGGAAAAGTAGAAAACCGAGTCTCATTTTTAAGTTGTACATCAAAAAGGCGTTTGACAACGTCAACTGGAATTGCTTATTTAAGGTTATGTCAAAGCTAGGATTCCCATCTCAATGGTTGAATTGGATTAAGGGTACCATGTGTTCCCCAATGTTTTCTATTCTGATTAATGGTGAGGCGAAAGGCTTCTTCCCTGCGGAAAAGGGTCTCAGTCTATGCGACCCTCTGTCGTTGGGTCTGTTTACCCTCATCATGGATATCCTCTCATTCATGATATCTAGACTGAGCTCCGAAGGGCTCATCAAAGGTTTTCATATGGATGAAGAGAATGGTAGTGGTGAAGTTACACACTTATTGTTCGCCGACGACACTCTTCTTTTCTGTGATGTCTCACACGAACAAGTGCTCAATCTATTGGCTACGCTGGTTTGCTTTCAGACCATTACAGGGGTCAAGATAAACCTCGAAAAAATCTATCATGATCACTGTTGGCGATGTACCCCGAACCTAGATACTATGCTGATCTCTTTGGTTGTAAGTGGACTAACGAGCCGCCGTTTTACCTTGGATTTCCCCTTGGCGGAAAACCTACCAATACAGCTTTTTGGTCTCCTATGGTTGAAAGATACCACAAAAGACTAGACGGGTGGAAGGCTAAATACCTTTCGACGGGAGGCAAGCTTTCCCTTAACAAAGTCGTCTTGTCCAGTTTATCCGTACGCTACTTCTCCATATTCAAAGCACCTAAATCAACAACAAACAAGATCGAAAGCACTATGCGGAAGTTCATGCGGTCTGGTGCTGGAGACGCTCAAAAGCCTCCTTTGGTTAAATGGGATGTTTGCAAGGCCTCCAAGACCAATGGGGGGCTGGGTCTTTTCGACTTGGAGAGTTTCAATAAAGCACTTCTTTCTAAATGGCTATGGAAGTATATTATAGAGAAAACCAGTTGCGACCGAAACAAGCGAATTTCATCCGCAATTTCAGACTTGAGGCTTCCCAGATAGGTACCAACCAGTCCTTGATTTGTCTAGCCTACACAAAGATTGGCTAGCTTCTCGAATTCAGGCTGGTAGTCATGTAGGGACCCCATCTGATGTATTCGTGAGAGAGTTTTGTCACAGATTTCCCTCTCCAATGGCTCGAAACGTGCCCACAACTCCTGCGAGAACAACTCCTAAGAAATTGGCTCCCCAGCGTCCTTGTACGTGCGTTTCAGCTACTGCCACCACTGGTTAGCTTCTCCTTCGAGATGGAAGGATGCTAACGTAACTCGCTGATCAACTAGTACCTCTTGGTACTCAAAAAATTGCTCGACTCTTGGGAACCATGCACTGGGATCATCTTCAGCAAACTTTAGAAATTCCAGACTCGCTAGCTTTGCGAGGAATGTGTCGCCGCCGCCGTTACCCTTCGACCATTGCTTCCCTTGAGCCCGACCGCGACTTCATTGCTTCCCTTTGGCTCGCCACTGTTGCTGCTGCCCTTCACGCCTACCGACCACCAGACCCCTCCTTCGTTGCCATCACACTCTGCTCCCCTTCCTTCTCGCCATCCTTCTCCTTGCCACTGTCCTTCTTCTTTCCGAACTCCCCCACCATACCTTTGTCGAGCTCTAGTTTGCGGAGAGAGCGCTCCACCATGTCAAATTGCCCGCCTAACTTGTTGACGCCGAGGTCCAACACATTCAAGCGATCGCTCAGTGCCCACAAGTTGTGGTTTGTCGCCTGCTATATCCCCCGCAGTTGCTCGATCGATCCCTGGAGTTCTTGAACCGAAGCGTCTAGCGCCGTACAACGTTCTCCAACCATCCCCACCGTTGTATCGATTCAACCAAGCTCTGATACCAATTGATGGCAACTCGTAACCCACAAGTCAAGGGTTTTGCTTTTAACTCACAAGCGAGAGAACGAGGTAGAGTTTTGAAAGACTTTTAGATTTATTATTTAGGTTAAATGAACTAACAATAAATGACTCAGGGAGTAAACTGTAATATGTTAGTGACGATTACAAATAGCCACGTGCCACCACTGAGCTATGACTACAACGGGTCATTTGGATGCATCATTTTGGTTTTGTAGTATTTCAGATCAAACTGTTGCATTATTTTCCCTTTCATTCTCTCTCTATCTCTCTCTTTCTATTATGTTCTTCCTTCGTCCTTGCAATTTTAGTCCATCGTCATTTTCAATAATTTATCGAGATGATCAATTGATGGAGCACGATCTTGGGGAAGGCAGTTGGGCTGGTCGAAGGGCTCATGTGGGCTTTTGGGTCATTTATTGTTACAATCCTATAACTAGACTACCCTTACTTCTGAATTGTTACAAAGAAGGACAATGTGTTACATATAGCCTACGGAGTTGGGCTGGACTCGGGTATCAATTACAAGAATAGCCGGACCGGGCCCGTTTCGACCGAGCAAAAACCCTAGACGATATTCTTTAAAACTTCTCCCCAACCCTTTCCCTCACCTTTCCCTACCAGTCTCTCCTTCCCGCCTCTGTCTTCGATTTCCCTAGCAGATCCGCGAAAATGGTGAGTTCCTCCGTCACTTACTCCAATCCTCCCACTGGTTGGTCGCCCGAACAGACTGTTGCGTCAGTTTGCTCGAGCATTACCTCGACTCACTAGCTTGGCTGGGCATAAATCAGTAGCTTCTCTGTTACTGGGAAACTCCGGTCTGCCGTCGTTGCAAAAACATGACTTTATCGATACCCTTGAATGATGTGTAGGGTTTCAAGAGGTATGTGGAGATTGGGAGGGTGGCGCTCATCAATTACGGGAAGGATTACGGAAAGCTCGTGGTGATCGTCGATGTCGTTGATCAGAACAGGGTATTGCTTTCTTTCTCTCTTTCGGGATTTCCATTACTGCCGATGATGGAACGCTAGTAATTTCCCCCTGAAATGTTGTAGCGATGTTGACTTGACAGTCACATAGTGAGAATTTGGATTCCAGTGGTTTTCAGGATTGTGCATGCATGTCTCTAGAGTCATGATTGGTGACTTAGTTTTAAGCGATTGGCCATTAGGGTTTGGCATCTTTTTTTTTTTTTTTTTGAATGGTAGTTGTTCTAAGTTAATCCTTAAATTTCATAGAACTAGAATTGGTCTTGTCACTGTGAAGATTGTGTCTTGTTGTTCAGAGGGTTTGAATATTTTGGTACAATGGATACACAGGCTCTTGTTGATGCTCCAGATATGGTGAGGAGCCAGCTGAACTTCAAGAGGCTTACACTCACCGACATCAAGATTGACATCAATAGGGCTCCCAGGAAGAAGAATTTGATTGAAGCGATGGAGAAATCAGGTTTGTGCTTCGGCGGTTCCGCCCCTCGCTCTAAAATGTATTTTGCCATTTGATGCTCTGTTACCCATCTTCTTGTGACAAAATTGTTTTCTATTTATGTTGGTGGCTCAGATGTTAAGGGCAAATGGGAGAGCAGTTCCTGGGGAAGGAAGCTCATTGTTCAGAAGAAGAGAGCATCACTCAATGATTTTGACAGGTTCAAGGTCATGTTGGCTAAGATCAAGGTATGCATACAATAAATCACAACTTCGTTCTCATTTCATTTTCATTAGCCCTCTTGGTTACGTGAACGCTACATCGTTGGGATGATGAATATACACGTATTTCCTTCGCTTCCCATTTGCTGCACGATTCCTTTGCTTCGCTTCTTGCGATTTTCGCCCCTGGCTTGTTGTAGTAAGATACGATCATGGTCATCACTAGCTGTGTCTGCATATGCAATGGCGACCTTTGGCTCGGCTTTTTTAGCATATGACGAAGAAGAACAAAATGCTCTGGTGTAATCGTAGTTGCATTGCCATTTAGTGGTAGTAATGATATATTAGCGGCCTGATTGAAAAGTTCTTTTGTGTGTTTGCAGAGGGGATCACTAGTCAGGCAGGAACTTGCAAAACTCAAAAAGGAGTCGGCTTAGAAGATTTCACCTTTCTTTTTATGTTCGTAGTTACATGACCATTTACTTTGTGACTTATTGTAAGCATGATTAGTACTTTCGTTTGAGATATATGGTAATTCAAAGATCATGTGGAATGCAAGTATTCGCTCAACTTGTTAAAACCCTAGTAATATTTCCAATAATATTTCGTAAGCTGAACAATAGTTGACCAACGGAAAAAACTGCCGTGCAAAAGGCCAATTCGCCAGTCATGACAATGAACCAAAACTGAACAATATATGAAGGGAGTGCAGAGGGCAGAAGTATTGTAATAATAGTCTCCACATTTCATAAATAAGAAGAAAAACAGCCACCTCTTAGCATAAGTAGACTGAAAAAAAATTCAAGGGGTTGTAAACAAAAATGGGGCACCTGAATAGGTACGTGAGTACGCAAATTGTTCTCGAGTGAGTTGTCGACTGGGAAAGGCCGCAGTTTTTGCTTCAGAGGTTGCAAACCAAGTTTGGTTCTTACATTGAGGCCTGGTGCTTCTCAATTTGATTAGCGCCAATGCTTTTCTGGAGACACCAGAACTGACTTCTTCCTGCTTTCTCACCACAGACCAACGAAATTTACACATTCAGGGGTGGGATCGAGAATGCTGCAGCTGATGAGTAGCCATTGCCTTCCATTTCACGATATCGGACGAATACCTCTTGAGAAATGTAACTGGATTCAGGTGTGCTAGAATGGAGCCTCGAGAGATTCTTCCCAGACTTCTACGTTTCCATTTGAGACAGCCTCTGAATCCTCCTCCATAGAAAGTCTGACATATTCTCTATGTGCAAAACGGTCCCATTCGGTTAAAGTTGGATCCTCGCGTTCCTGAAGCATCAAAAAAGGCAGACAGATGCATGTCCTTAATGCCAACCAGTTTACCAAGTGGATAGACAACCATGGGAAGCACTGAAGCAGTATCCATCAATTCAAATGTACCTGGTGAATGAGAAATGGGTCACGGCTTTCAAAGGCCATGAATTTGTTGAGATTGAAAAGAATGTTAAATATATTTCCCGAAAGTTTGCTTCTTTTCAAGTCGTGCAGCGTGATATAACCTTCCCTCTGCAACACATCCATTTTGAGTTCACTGAAAAAATAAACCATTGAAGGTACTACGATGGAATTTTTAATAGGAAATAGAACGAAAAATTCACCTCGGGTGAAATCATGTCAACTATTTGACACAATATATCTTCAAAGAGCACAGGTTCCTGGGACATGCAACTCATTCGATGCAGCTGCTCCTCATAGAAGTATTGCAGCTCGCTGGATGTTAAGACACCATTCCCATCCAAATCAATGCATTTGAACCTGCCCCATACAGCTAGTAAAGTAAGACATGTGGCAAAGATGCAAGGAGATGCTACGAGTTCAAAATAGAAAATCATCATAAAAGTATGCTACTACATGAGTCCGCATTATTTAGTCCATTGCCAGGCAGAAAAAAAGCCACAGACAAACTGAAGCACTGTAGAACTGTCGTTTGATAATTGGTAAGACTAACTCCAACCCTAAAAGCTATTTTTAGCTTCCCAAGCTCTCATGCATTTTTAACTTCTCGAAACACATTTTTACTCCAACTATACAAGAAACCAAATTTAGCTTCCCACAACCACTCATGAGTCATGACTCAACCAATCATAGATTTAGGAAGTACAAATTAAAAAAAAAAAATTAAGGCTGGACCCACCGCTAGGGTCCACCTCTTCCTCCCACTCATATTTTGGCTACCAACCAAATGGGAAGCCATATATTACTCTAGGTTTGCCATTACCCTTTTTTGGAAGCTAAAATGTGGTGGGTTGGAGTGAAAAACTAAAAAGGGATTTATAGCTTTTGAGCTCCCTATGTTGGGGTTAGTCTAAGAGTCTACTGCTAGTAAGAGACTAAATGAAGTACCAGAGTAGTAGCAGAGATTTCTATGTTTAGCCTTTCCAGCTTGAGAATTTCATGAATTCTTTTGATATGTTATGATGGCCTCAATGAGTTTGATGAACATATTATTAAAATTCAAATTTCTACAAAGCTGAGCATTTTCTGCTGATTAACTGTAGAACATGTCGGAGTAATCGTGTGCTGTAAGCCAAACCAAGTGGACCTAATAAAGAGACGGAGTAATACTATACCAATATTCAAGACTAGGTTCAGATGATTTATTCTCCTCTGCCAATATGAAATAAACAAAATCTTCATAGCTCATCTTTCCTTCCATATTGCTTGAAAACTTCTTCGGTACCTGAAATCAATTTAGGATATTGTTAATAGTCATCTGATGTGTAACTATTTCATCGAATGGTGAAAATTATCTGATTCATATTTCGAATAATGAAGTTATAGATCAAGGCTGCCAACCTGTGAAAATATTCTATCAACAATCCTGTATGTAAGACAATGATTACCATATCTGATAAGATTCTCTCGGTCCAGCAAGTAATCATGGTCTGTATCCAGCTCCCAGAATTTGCAATATATCACGTAGAAATGCTCATAAGAGAAGTACCTGAATAAAGACAACAGATGCTAGGTAAAGAAAAGAGCTACCTGGTCATGAAGCAAAAGATGTTATCTAATAACTCTATGAATATATCATATTTATCACTGAAGGGAACACAATTGGCACCAGTGATTATCTGCATGTCCGTTTTTATTTAGCTTGGCGCATGTTATATGTTAAAACAAATATAGTGACTTAAATGCAAATACAAGTATTCATAAACAGAGGCCAACCAGACTAAGTTAAAATTAAAAGGAATAGCTTCAAGTAGGTTTACAGTCAAATCCTAGCTCAAGCAACTAATCTAGAAATATCTGCTGGAACACAAACCTCAGAATTTTGTTAATTTCCTCTTCGTCATCAACTTGTTGCATGACAAAGATGAGATTGCTGCGTTTCAACTCCCTTAGGGTAAGACGCCCATTTCCTGATCTATTGATGTAGTAAAATATTCTGTATATGACAGTTTCGGCTGATACATCAGTAGAAAAATTTCTTAAGTCAAAATCATATGACTGCAACATGATTCATCATATAGAGGAAAATGACATATCCTTTGAGAAGTAGTTGCTTTCATTCATACCATATTTCTCTTGAAACTCAGGCGTTCCCTGTAAGAACTCCAACCCGGGGTGAGTGGCTAGCAGTTCTTCCAGAACAGGTTTGAAGTCAGACTGCACAATAAAAGTTCAGCAGTTCAGTCTCACACATGGTTTTGAATGAGAGAAAGAGCCATCATCAAAATGATTAGCAGTCAGCAAGCAAATGTAGAGACAGTTTTTCTGGATAAGTTATGCATCGGAGGACAGACCTTAGTTAGGTAGCGGTGGTTAGGCTGCTTTAAAATTTCAAAGACTTGTGTGGCCATATCCATAGTGAGCATATTGCTCTCCACCCAATATTTTAGAAATGCATCCCTGCAGAAAACCAAATGAAATAGGAACTTAGGTTCTAACTGAGACACACATTGGAGAGGCCGAGAAACTTATCACGTCTATAACCCAAAACTACTTAAACAAACATTTGTTGCCAAGGAAACGCAGCAGAAGAAGTTCAAGAAGGGTTTTTTCGTAACAGGAAATGCCATAGGATTAAACTTCTAAGAGTCATAAAACTGGATACCTTGTGACTATCCCATAGCATTCAGCATCTATCCTCCTGAAAAGCGCAGGCGAGAAGAAGGAGGGAAGCTTGCAAACTTCCCTTGTAACAAGTTTGAATTCTGTGTACCGGGGAAAAATAGCATTAGCTGTTGTACTTCTCTCTTGCCATCCAAAGGGAGACACAGAAAAACAAAGCAACTTAGAAGCAAAAGAAGAAGAAAAATTATATTGGAGATGCAAGCAATAATTGATGGAAATGGACAGGTTATAGTTCTAACCATCTATATGCAGCCCATCGAGATTATTGTTGAAAAGTTGATTGATTCTAGAAATACACTGTTCCTTGAGTTCATTTGCTGGTGGACGACCATGTTGGAAATAGAACTGCAGTAATATAAATAAATAAATAACAGGCAAAGCACATTTCAACCTCCAGAAGCAGAGGAGACAGACACATGCCGATCACAAATGTAGAAATTGAACTCATTGAAATCAGTAAACCTGAGGTATAACTTCTTGGGCTGGTTCGGTAGCCAACTTCCGGGGAGACGTTAGAGAGAAAGGGCTTACTTTCTGCTTTAAAGTGCGTGGAGAAACACAGGAACTCCTGGGGGAAAGTGGAGGTGGACTGGCATTAGTCAGTGGATTGCTTCCACCTCCAGCACCACCACTGGAAGAGATACCGTGAGGATTGATTGGAAGGCCAGCCTTCGCATCCCTAATTAAAGCTTTTACCTGCAATCAGGACATAGGCAAAAAAAGCAGCAGAGCTGAGCCCAACTCAGAAGAATCACTATTCACTACTCTAACTAGGAACTGTAACAATCTGATGAGCAGATAACAAGTTAACGCAGAAGACGAAAAAGATGTACCAATCGGCTAGTGTCAGGTAGAGAGAGCCATTGAGAGAACAATTCTTCAGCGATTTGAGTAGTCGGCTTGAGCTCAAATGAAGAAACCTCGGGAAGATGCAACAGTTCAGGCTCCAAATAGCTAACAACATCATTTCCTCCTGCTGTATCAATATCCATAACTAACTAATACGCGCTCGAAAAGATCAAACAGAGAACTAGCAAAACCTCCTTAACCCTAATTCTTCAATCCTTGAAGAAATCCTCCTCAATAATTCCCAGCAGCTTACAAACTCCAAAAGTTTCTCCACCACAACCCAAACCTCAGTTGCCGTGTTTTTACCCCCACGGTCGTCCCTACTCCTCAGCCTCACCGTTGGCTTTCCGGCGCAGTGCTGCTCGGTTCACACAATAGCAGCAGAGACGCACGACTCAATGACCGAGCAAAAAGTAAGAACTAAGAACAAATGATCGTCCGAAAGAACAAAATAAATACTCTCGACCAAAGCAAACCAGTAACCTCAGCGCTCACTTCTCGCTCCCGAACCCTAGAACTTCAAACGTGAGCGAACAGTTAGACGCGAAGAAGAACCGTGCGGTCTAGTTGAATAATTCGACGAAAACTTGAATTAGAAAAGAGATAAGAGGTGGAATTGGTAGCTCGAAAACGCGCAAAAGCAGAGAAGGTGGTGCAGATTTGCTGAAGGATGATGGGGATAGATAGTCCGCCGAAGAAGAACAGGAAGCAACTAGTCCGCCATGGTAGAGCAGGAGGGAGCTTTGAGGAGGAGACGAAAAGGAAGAGCCGCGCTCCTTTTTTTCCTTTTTTGTTTGTTTAAAAAAAATCGACTTTTTGTGAGAGGTACAGTGATAATGTAGTTATTTTTACCCAACCACTAGGAGACCCGAGTCGTCCATGACCTTTTTTTTATAAGTCGTCTATTACTCGTTACTAGGTATAGGAATGGCAATGGGGAGGGTAGGGCAGGGTTGGGTGCGGGTTTATCCTATACCAACTTCTAATCCGTCGGGTAGAGTCTTCTACAATACCCGATCAAATAACCACCGGGTATGAAAATGATATAACCATACCTTACCCACCGGGTAACCATGAGTACGAATACTAAAATATGAACTTATACACATATATGCAGATACATACTGTTGCCCATTAAAAATTCTCAATACTTGTAACTGTTCTAGTTTCAACAATCCACACAAATAAAAAGGGTAAATTGCAAGGTTGGCCACTGAAAGTGCTAAAATATTCACGTTTGGTTACTAAAAGAATTTTATTCCATTCGTGATCACTGAAAGTGGTTAATGTTTCACGATTGATCACTCTCCGTTAGTTTCCATTAACACCGTTAGTGGTTTGATGACGTGGCAACAAAAAATGTTGATTCATCCAATTTTGACCTACCACATCATAAAACCGGATATGCCACGTCAGTTTTACCAGCTTTGTTAGATTACCCAACCCAACCCTCCTTATTGACCCGCCCAACCTAAAACTAAATTGGCCCAAATGAAAACCGCATTCTGACCACCTTCTTAGTCCCTTCTTCTCGACAGCCATCAACCTCTAATCCCCACCGTCGCCATCAACCATCTCAAAGGGATTCAATAACACCATCGTCAACCCATCTCTACCAGGCCTTCAATAGTAGCAGCCCGATGTGTATTGCACTCAACGTCACCAAAGGGGGGAACTATATAGCCGTGAATGTTGAGTTTTGTAGCATTGAAGGCGAAGCAAATAGGCGATTCTGCCAAATCTAGCTTGGCCAGAGAAAGCAGCGGGATATTCTTGAAGGTCCAATCGGCGTCGGCGTGGTGCGGGATTGGAGTGCGGAGGTGAAATTGTCGATGATTGGGGAGACGGAGACGATAGCAATAGCACTTTCTGGCAGTGAGTTGGGTATGATGATGTGGCAAGTCAAGTTTTATGACGTAGCAGGTCAACATGGGATGAATCAGCATTTTTGGTTGCCACGTCAACAAACCACTAACGGTGTTAATGGAAACTAACGGAGAGTGACCAATCGTGAAACATTAACCACTTTCAGTGACCACGAATGGAATAAAATTCTTTTAGTGACCAAACGTGAATATTTTAGCACTTTCAGTGACCAACCTCGCAATTTACCCCAAATAAAAATAGCAAACACATAATAATTGTTCTTGCTTCTACAATCCACATAAACAAAAACACAATACATCATATTTGTTCTAGCTTCAACAATCCACACATAAACAAAAACAACAAAGACAATATTAGAACCAACCACATCAAATGCTCACTGCTTAACTTATGCTTCATGACATCCATCAAGGCATCATTAGTAGAACAATTATCCATGGTAATCGTAGATACCTTTGTGTCAATATCCCAAGCAAGTAAAGTTTCAAAAAGAGCCTGAGCAAGACCTCACTAGTGTGTGGGCAAGGAAAATCGACTGCTGGGTAGAGTTGGGCTAGGGAAATTGACCCTTTGGTTAGCGGGGCGGGTATAACAGGGCGGGTATTATCGATTACCATATCCATACCCTACCCTTTATTTTGAAACCGGGTATTACCCGTACCCGCCCCTTAACCCGTCAAATTGGGTAATTACCCTCGTTGACCGGTTACGGTCGGGTAGAGTACTCATAGTTACGGGTTCGATTGACATCCCTATTACTAGCTTATGACCCGGCATGTTGGCCAGAATATTCATATATTTTATGTTACGTTTAAGTCTATCAATTCGTTTAATTTTTTTTAACGATTCTTCGATCAAGATGATACATAAATAAAAAAGGGTAAATACCACATTTGGTCATTGGGATTACTAAATCGTGTTATGTTTAGTTATTAGAAAAAAGTAATATCAATTTTGGTCACTCGAATTACTAAAACATGTCACATTTAGTCATTCTCCCGTTAGCCTCCGTCCAACTCCGGTCACTCGAATTACTTTTTCTTTTATGAATGTCACTCGAATAACTGAAACATGTCACATTTAGTCACTCTCAGTTAACCTCTGTCCTACTCCTTTAACTCTGTTAATGGAGTTGGACGGAAACTAACCGGAGAGTAACTAAATGTGACATTCTTTAGTAATTTGAGCGACCAAAATTGATATTAATTTTTTCTAGTGACTAAACATAACATGATTTAGTAATCTCAATGACCAATTTTTTCCAGTGACTAAACATGACATAATTTAGTAATCTCACCGACTCGTTGCGTTTTTCACTTCTTCTTCTACTAAGTCTCCTTATGCTCATCTTGTGCATTATTGATTGATTGTTGGATTCCAAAATTAGGGAGCTGGTTCGGGCTCAAATGTACACATGTTACCCCTCATTTCTTATTCGTTTAGATTAGTATTTCATCGTTCCTCGACATATTTCACGCTAGGTTGTGCTTGTTTTGATACATTTCAGGTCCTCGCACGTGTGGAAGGGTCGAGGACGAGTTTTGGGACATTTGGAGGTCAAAAAGCGCAAAAATTGAAGAAAAGTCCGAAGTCACCCGTGACAATTGCCCCATAGCAGTGAAGTGAAGGCGTCCAGGTAACCGTCGCAGTTCACGGCCGGACAAGGCAATTCACTGTCTCCTTAGACCGAAACATGGACCACAAACCGTGAACATCGAGCAGTCTAGCGAGGTTCGTGAAGTTACTGACGACAAGGCAGTTCACGGTCTCTAAGACCGTGAACTGGGGCCACTAACCGTGAACCCAGGCGAGTGAAGCGGAGCGTTTTGGACGACGCTGATTTCACGGACGCGTTTAGGAGTTCACGACCGTGAACTGGCCAACACGTCCGAGAACTTGTCACTTTCGGACAAATATGAAGACAGCAGCGGGAAGAGAGAAATGGAGAGTTGGGTGGGAGAAGAAACACTTTCTTTCTCTAGGGTTTCAATCTAAACACCAAAGGGGAGTTCTAGTGTGTGTGTGTGTGTGTGTGTGTGTGTGTGTGTGTGTGTGTGTGTGTGTGTGTGAGAGAGAGAGAGAGAGAGTGCTAGAGTGATCTTGGAGCATCATTGGAGGCTTGGGTGGAAGATTCAAGCCTAGAAGAAGAAGAAGAAGAAGATCTTGAGCTCAAATTTGTAATCTCTCTCTCTCTCTCTCTCTCTCTCTCTCTCTCCAGAAACTCACTCTTTTCTCTTGGGTGTTGTAGATCCCTAACTAATACTTTGTAATTACTTGTTTAGATTGAATGATTAAGTGTGGGTTTGCATCAATTTGAGTATTAGAGGTGTTTTCATGGTGATTGTGCATGCTCGTACTTAGCAATCTAAGGATTGTGCATAATTGTGCTTAGCACCCTTAGGTTTGTCATTTGTGCATGTTGGTGCTAGCAATCTAATTAGCCACCTTACCCTAGCTTAGAGAGGAAAATCCCCCTTCCAAGGTAGACTCAATCGAATTGGTTTTCCTTCCGCTTTCTCACCCACCTAAACTAGGTTAAGTTAGGGCAACCCTCAATGTTGAGTTAAGCAAATCGGTTAATCGCGATTAAGCCGTCCGGCCTTAGAGTTGAGTGAGGGAGTAAGTCGATTACCGATTGTCTAAACCGAGAAGGTCGAGTGACACGGCCTTTCATGCTTACCTCGGTTTAGCAATTGAGACTATGGTATTCGACCACATACGCTTTCCTCTGCGATTCGCGGTTACCAGTTTGCATCTAGGTTGGTTGTGATTAAGCCGCTCAAACTCCGGTTTGAGGGAGAGACCTAGGCAACCACTAGTGACCGAGCGAGAGGATCGATCCCTTGACAAATCAACCTCCAGTGAATCCATCCCGTGACAAATGGATCGCTAGTTGCTTCTCCTAGTGGTTCCCCTAGACTTGGTGAGTGGATCGATCCTGTGACAAATCGATCGCTAGTGAATTGATGTCGTGACAGATTGATCACTAGTTGCTCACCATCCGCGGTTCACAACCACCTATGCCACACAACTACATTCAATCGAACGATTCACGGTAGCTAGTTAGGGGGAAGCAACTCCTGGGTGAAGCTCCCTTAGTTAGGATTTTCTTTTATTTACTTTTCCTTGCTAGTTTAGTTCGTAGTTTTCTTAGTTCTAAACCCAAAAGTTGTTTGATAGATAACAATCTAAGCAATTGAAGTAGAAGTACATGGACCAGCCCGGATTGACAATTTAAATACTTGCTCTATATTGCACCGACTAGAGTTTAAAAACTTGGGCTCTCGTGATGTAATTTCGTGCGAATCAAGAGCGGTATCATGTCCAAACTATTATGCGCTTCCTATATTTGTAATTGTATTAGTTCAATAAGTAGAGGATCAATTTTTTTTTTATGCATTAGATTTGTTTTTAAAGAAAATTTTGAATTTTACAAGAAATTTAATTAGATAAATGTAATAATGTAATTTGTATTATATATCTATAAATCTAATTCAACAAAATTCATAATTAAACTCAACAAGCAAATATAGACTTGTTCAAATCCATAATATCACCAAATCCATCATAAATTCATGGTTTTCCAAAACCCTCATTTCTCAAAGCAAAAGACCTGAAAGTAGGTAAGCAACTTTTGGGTTTTTATCGTTACAATATTCCAGATTCTGTGCACAACAAGGACATCCACAACATCAACTGATTCATGATCCAGCTTTCTTTTGGTTTCTTTCTCTTTTCACTGGCCCCCTACCATGATGGGCACGTCATCTCCTATTCAATGTGAGGAACTCGAAGCTCTTTAGACTTTCCTCACGGGAACTTTTACCAGCAGCAGCAGCTCGTGCACCTGAAGATTTGACGACAGGTTCATACCCGGGTAAGATTCTTTGTGTGGAAGAAGTTGTGTGGGCACCAGCAGCACCAGCAGTGTGGTGTGTTCTCGCTGCTGCACGCGCTTCACCATGTTCACCAGAGGAACCTGGCCTCCCATTGGGGAGTATGGCCCTTCTTGAGTTGCTGCCATGCCTCGATGTGCTGCGCCCCTTCTCTGCCTCTGGCTGCTGCATATCCAAAAACCCAAAAGGACATATACTCAAGATCATATCTTTCTTTCACACTAGCAAGAACTAGCACGGAGTAACTTACTGTTTCGTTTGTCCTAGTTCTGGAATTGTCAAGCGGACTAGATCCAGTGATTTTTCTTGTGGAGAAAGCCTCAACAGCACCCGAGAATCTCTCGCGAATTTCTTTTCCAACTGGAAGTAAAATTGTAGTGCACAGCAACAATTAATTGTGAAACTTGAGGCAAAATGGCGGGGAATGATATGAAAACAGACCTGAGACTCTCTCTGGCGGCGGTCTTTCTGCAGAAGGTCCTGCAAGAGCATGACCCGGTTTCCCAGCCACCTACAAAGAAGAGAACAATGATAAATAAAATCGACCTTGTTCTAGAAGAGGATTTATAGCAATAAGCCTACAAGCCCATTCAGCCTTACTCGTGCTCTAGAGCTGGAAGTACCAGCTTGAGGATACTTCAACACCGTCCAATCAAAGACATAGTCAAATTGATAACCTGTATTAATACATTTTTCAAGGAAACTGGATGCATGAATACCTTGATGATAGGAGAGGAAACAATATGCAAACTAAACAAAGACAGTCACTCTTGCAGCTCTTACCTTCCCGAATAAATAAGTCGCGGAAAAGCCTCTTCAAATATGAGTAATCTGGCTTGTCTTCAAAACGCAATGCGCGGCAGAAATGGAAATATGATACGAACTCGGATGGATAAGATTTACAAAGAGACTGTTCAAACAAAAATTTGCATTTATAAAGTCAGTAAAAAAATTTAGGCGAAGAGAAGTAATGAAAAGGAAAACATAATTATTCGGCACAGATGTGATCTAACTGTCTCAGGGACAATGAAGCGCGAAAAAATCATTATAAAGTGAAATATTGCAAAGTATAGCATGATGCAGAAATGTAAAAGGGTATCTTATAAATGATCTATGATATCTACTGTGCTAAGACGAAGTGCTAAAGACCATTATCAAGCGGCACCTGAAATGTGTAATATAATCTTAAAAGATTGTTCTTGAATCTTGCCTTGCAGCCATGTTATACTGTCCCGAGACAATCCTAAAACTCTAGCATGTAAGTGCACAGTTAACTTTGTTATCATAACTACATCAATATCATGGCATCACAACATTCACTATATCTCTTGGATCACCCATCAGGAGAAGCAAACAGCAGATAAAGTTAAAAATTGCTTTGAAGGAAATAAATGCTACCTCTATGGAAGTAGAAACTTTCTTTTCACTGATCTTGTCATATTTCTGTTTTTTTGTGCCAGCCTTTAATCCTTGCCAAGGGAGGCTGAATAGAAGAATGCATGAAATGAGCAATGTGGACGAAGTAGCATAAGGGCCAAGTAAAACATTAAGGGGATGGGAAACATATTAGAATGACTGCACAGCTAGTCAACCTTCCTCGGATGAAATACATCAGCACATAACCAAGAGACTCCAAATCATCCCTTCTGCTTTGCTCTGTCCGAGGAACAGGAGAAAAGTAACTCAGAGTTGAATAAAATAAAAAAGGTAACAAGAACTAAAAAAGATAGGATTCTACTAACCAATTCCAAGGTGGGTGTTGACACTTGCATAGCGAGCAGTGCCTGTGAGGTTCTTATTCTCTCTGCAACCACAGATAGTTTTGAGATGTCGCATCACGAATCGGTTGTACTGCTTCGACATGTCAATCATAGATAACTAGAAGCATCTCATGTTACTGGGATTCCAACAAATATAGAGATTCAAAGAAACCATAATCTGCTTGTACCCGGAACAATCTCTATCTGGCATTAGAATATAAACAAGTTTAGTCTGCTCATTTAACCCTTAACAGCAACCCCAACCCACAAAAAAAGGGTTAGTATGCACTATGCTCGTTCTTAGTGACATATCCATCTGAAATTAGTAGATCACATAGAGAAAACCGAATGGTCTGCATAAAGGAAAAGGTCACTTATTTATGTTCCCGTGAACAACGCAAAGTTGATTTCACTTTTCAATTGATTGTATAGCAAGACTAGTCCTTGTAAACATTCTCGAGATAGAATCTGCGCTGCATTGCCATCAACATTGAAAAATATCTTAATCCAGAGCCTCAAACCCTAACCTCGGAAAACGGGCAATTAACAATCTTGAAGTTCAAAATGCTTTTCTGAATACAACAAAAATCTGCAGCCTTCAGTACTCATTGCAGTTTCTCCTGTATGGTGACTTTTGACAAGCTGCTTATATATCTAATCATGACTTGCATCAGTTCTACAGTCATGTAAATTAGCAACTGGCCTAGAACTAGACCATTTAGATCAACAATCAGGCAACTAACGTTCGCTGCGATGACATTTTCGTTTCAGGAGGCAATAAACTAGCTAAGGCTTCAAAACTAGGCTCTTTTCAAACTGATAACGCTATAATTATCATTTAATTTGTTCTCTTGCAACCTTAACGACTCAGCCTAAGACACACCTGCTACTCAGATAAAAATTCTAAATTTGTGCATCACATATTCCAATATGATCATTCGCATAAACCTGTAAATTCATTAAAAATGCCAGTTAATGATAAAAATTTTATGTTACCTGTATGGAATGTGCTTATGAGTCTGAAGATCCCTGTATTTCTTTGCAAGGCCATAATCAATAACATAAACCTGTATATAACCAGAAACCAGACAAAGGAAAGCGTAAAGCAAAGCAATGTTAAACAATCGTGGGAAGACCTTATGCTAAAAATAACACGTAAGCCTCCCAAAAAAGATACAGGACAAAGTCGGTATAAATTTGAAAGACTTCAGCGAAAGAAATCTATGATATAAAGAGGCTTGAAGTTCAGTGAACTGAAGTCTAAGAAGGATCAAGATCAGAATGCTGACCAACTTTCCCACCTACATAATATACATCTTGCTATGCAGGAAAATCTTACACGCATATTTTAAAGTTTATGGTAGATACAGTAACATACATATAACCTACTCTCTATTCTGACAGTTCACTTTTTCATTTTAAGTCTGTCATTTCGGTTGAATATTGTAGGACAAGACTGGGTCCAGAATCAAGAATAAATTGATGAATTCAACAGTCCAAAAAGGATTAAGAAAACCTTCTCGCCACCAAAAAAGTTGACAATACTAACAGTTCCAGAACTAGCTGTGCAAATAACATCAGGGAATACCTCTTCTGCAAGACAGTGAAAAAAGTAACGATAGAAAGCAACTACCTGATTGGCTTTGCGACCTAGGCCCATCAAAAAGTTGTCAGGCTTTATGTCACGGTGAAGAAACCCTCTTGAATGCATATATTCAACTCTGTTAATCTAAGGGGATACAGTGTAAAGTAAATTATTCTCATGCAACATAACATGCACACTGCTTGTACAAGAGTTCAACTCTACTTACCAGTTGATCAGCTAGCATTAGCACTGTTTTCAATGTGAATTTCCGGTTACAATAGTTGAATAGATCTTCCAAACTCGGACCAAGAAGATCAATAACCATGACATTGTAGTCTGCCTCCACTCCAAACCACTTCAGATGGGGAATTCCAGCTTCATTAAAGAAAGACAAGATCAAAGTACTTGTAAGAACCATATAGCAACATTTGTAAGTCCTCACAGATACTTTACTCGAAAGCCTCACCAACATGGAGTAACAGAGTTACAACTAACAAAATAAATTGTGTTTATGAGACTGAGTCCAGAACCTTTAAGGTTCAAAGCAGGATTATCCTATGGATAAGTCCTTGTAATTTTTCTTTGAAGAAGAGAAACTTACTGCCTCCTTGAAGAAGCATGTATAATTTTGACTCATACTGAAGCTGAGGGTGCTTGGTCTTCACAGATTCCTGAAAATAAAAGAAAAAGGATAAAATCAGAATAAAAGGATACTGTTGCTTCAGCTGAAAAGAATAAGAAGTGATATCTCTATCATTGCAAATCTGATGCCAAAACCAATATCTATCCAAGAGGAAACCTCAGGCAAACAGTGCCACACATAAACTCCTCATCAAGAATTGCAGAAGTTGAAGATAGCAGTCCCTTCTTGGATAATGGTTCACAGATATCACATGGATAGATCATAGAAGGTATAAATGATCTCATACTTTTTTCCATCAAGATGTGACATAGTGCATTGGCTAAACTAACTTGAAATGCTGAATAGGAACCGACTCGCAAAATCTATTTGTTTCAGCTTTAAACCCTCATCATCAAATAATACATTAATCAGCCTTGGAAAGGGTAAGTAAAAGCAGAGGACCATTACAGCCAACTGGTAGCAACTATCGTTGTTTCGGTAACATATAGACCCTGCAACATTATCTTAAATAGTACAACCATGCAAATCGAAACCCAAAGCAACAAAGTATTGATGAATCTGTTGTGGAGACTTGAATAACGATCTTTCAATTATCTATATAAGCACAAACATAAACTCTACTTTGCAAAGCAACTTACCAGCTTAACAGCAACTTCTTCTCCAGTTTGCACATTAACACCTACAATACCAATCCACCATCAGCAGACAATCTAATTGCAGTTAGTCTAATCCACTCTTGTTCACAAGATTATAATTGAGGCACACTATCACACAAAACAGAAGTCAACCATACCTAGATAGAGCTCTCCGAAAGATCCACTTCCAATCTTCCTTCCCAGTTTAAATTTGCCACCAACAACCTGGTCAACCTTTAACTTATCCATTGGTGTACACCAAAACCCGGAAGCACAATCTTACAACAGTAACCAACGATTGATGTTCAAACAGTTCCTTCCCTTCGCCTGAACCCAAATAGTATCTCCCACAAAGGGCCAGCAAATTCACGAAATTCACAACCCCTATTGTTGATAATTAGAGCACCAAAGAGCTCCTGCGTTCGACAACCTAATCACCTGATCCGCGTTCAATTGAAGGTAAACGGAAGAAGAGAACCCAATAAAAGAGAAAGCTCCAAACCCAGATGAGAAGAAGCTACAAAAGATCAAAAACTAGGATGGATAATCAAAAGCAACGATTTTCAGTCACATGCTTGGAAGTTGGAGAGGACAAGGAGGGGACACAGGATCGAATCACAGATTTAGAGATCCAAACCCTAAGAAAAAATTACGGGAGAGGACCTACATTGACCAGAAAGCGAAACGGACAGAGAGACAGAGAGATGGGCGAGCTCGAATTGGGAAAAAGGAAGGATCGATCGAGGAAGGAAGGAAGGAAAAATAAACTGAAACAATAATACGGCAAAAGAGATCAAAGGAGCTTTGCTTTGGGATTGACAACAAAAGCCCGAGGCGAGGAAGCAAACAAAAGAAAGGTTCAGCGAGAAACCACGAATATGTGTTTTGTTTGTGTTGTTATGGAGGTTGGAGAGGAATAGAAAATGAAAAATTAAGAAAACGAGAAAGAGGAGAAGAAGAGCGAGACGAGGAAGACGAAAAAGAAAATAGATCGACTTCACCAGTTTATCGAACAGATAATAATAATAATAATAACTAGCTTGTAACCCGACCCGTTGGTCGGAGGAGCTGAGTTGAATATTGAATTATTGGGATAACCCGTAGATTCAACCATTAAGCTAAATTGGTCTAATGGTGAGTACCGCCTAGCATATCCCTAATAATCATACCAAAGTGAATATATTGGAACATAAACAGTACATCAAAAGTTGGTACAACCATGAAGTTAGACCATTAAAAACATACCAATGAAATTGAATAGCATCGAAAAACTTCAACTTCATTATATAATTACATGAGATCAGAAAGAGAACACCATTAATTTGATTTATAAAACTTTCATCTTGTCGTCATTGTGCTTTCTGGTTTTTGTCAGGCCATGATAAAATCTAAGGAAATCAAGAACGAACAACACGATTTGGGATAGGAACCGCCGTTGTCGTATTCCTAGAGAATGGTGGTAAACACGGACTCACCTGCCAAACTGGTTTGGATTGAGATTTTTATCGGGTATCAGGGAACCATGTGATTATAAATTAGACTTGATCAAAACGGGCCAAAACTTAAAATTCAGCCTGTTTGACCGACCCATGCAAAATTCTAATTATTCGTTACTTTTAAACTTTCTATTTGAAAATAAAAAATAGTGAAAGAAAATAGATGACTGCAATTCGCCATTTGCACATCACTTATTCGGGAATAAAACCATAGAAATTCAAAACAAACTGAAAATGTTTAGGATCGTTTTAATGTTTAAAATAACCAAATAGATCTTTCTGTTTAGTTTTTTACTAACAAATACCAAACGATTCCCTATAAAATACACTATAATTTTATCATTATGATATCAAATAATTATATAATATATATTTGAAATGATAAAAATTGGACTAATTGGGTTGGTCGAGATTGAACCATTGAATAACTTTAAACTACATTATATTTTAGCCACTAAAATATAAAATAATATAATAATATATATTATGCTAGAGAAAATAGCTTGTTTTAGAATGTCAAACCAATGATGTTCATTTATTTTACTTGATGGCCAAATCCGGTGTAGGTCAGGCCCATTCAACTCTTTTATTTTATGGTTAGCGGTTAGCCCTTTAGATACCATGCATTAGTTTATTGTTAATTTTTTTTTATTTTTAGCATAAAAAGAAGTATTGTTTTTGCCTTTTCATATATATTTTATCACCACGGAGAAATACAAGGGGTTAAAGAAAAAAATTGACACTCCTGAACCCGTTTAAATCCGCATGTGTACGGTAAGTTGGCATGTTCCACACAGGAAAGAGAAAAAAATTAACACTACCTATTCTACCCTTCCTACAAACGCTCATGGAGCAGGGAATTTGAAATGGGGGAAGGGGTTTTTCCTCCCTGCTATTATATGTTTTTGATTTAAAAGGATGCAACAAATGTACTTAGTGTGATTAGTTATGTTCCTTGCTTTTCTTTAAAATGGACATGGTTCGAATACTAGTACGTGTCTTTTTAATGAATAAAAAAAAGTAATTGTGAAGACCAAAATGTCCTTCCTACTTTCACTCTCGTTGCAGGAAATTTGAAATGGGGCTCCCGTTTTTCCCTTCGGTGTATTATATTATATGTAGATATAATAATAAACTTTCGTAAATATTTATTAACACAATTGAAAAAAGGGAATATCATGAATTTTGTTTTTAACAATTTAGGGGTGTGCATTGCTTCGGTGATATCGGTATCTTTATTACTCTCAAAAATCAAATTGATTTGGAAACGAATTATATTTCGGTTTGATATGGGCGAACTGAAATATAATTGATTTGGAGTTGAAAACCTGATAACCTCTGTTTTCAGGGAGGAGTTACTGTGCTAATTGTATAAGAGTTAGCACCGTCCTAACCAAGGAGCAACGAAGCGTCTTATTGGTATTTAGTAAAATTAAATTTAATAAATAAATTAAATTTTAATTATCTCTCTCCTCCTTCGCAAAGAACTTTAACGTGAAAAAATACTAGGGAAAAAACTACTACTAGTTTGAATTAATAGTGATTTAGTTTAGATGTTGTATTCATTTTATAATAATCCATAGTGATTTTGTTGTTTTTAGTAGCGTTTTTTAAATAGAAGAAGTTGATGATATTTGGAAAGAATAATACTGTAAATGAAAAAAGTACTACAAAGAACAAATATTACTAACAATATACGAAACACTACTACTACTTTACAAATATCATTGTTCAACTGTTGATTACAGTAACAATAACTACTAATACATATGAAAAACAATACATCACAATCACTATTAACCCAAATACACTACTAATCAAATAATAATATAGATCTGGAAAAAAATCTCGTTCTTCCTCCACGCATGCTATCCATGAGTGATTGACGACAATGGTAGTGGAAAGCCAACGCAGGCAAGGTCGGCGTCGTTGCGGGCAGAAATCGACGTCGCTGCGGGCGGAATCGGGGCAAGAGACGCTGACGACTCGGCGTCGTTGCGCAGTGATTGATGGATTTCGAGCTCTCTGCGGAATCGAACCACATCTCCAGCCCATCGTCTTCGTCTACGTTGGCGGCGAGGGACGCTGACGACATCGACGGCGTTGTAGCGAGGGATGGATCTCGATCACCATCTCGCTGCAGAATCAACCCACATCTCCAGAGCAAGCGGAAGAGAGAGAGACGACAGTTTAAAAAGGAAGAGGAAGACGGAAAGTGTAGATAGCAGTGGAAATTTTGAATATATATTAGGGTTTGGGCATGTTTTGTGACCAAAATAACCTTTATTTTATTTTAATCGTAAGATTATATTCTAATCTAATGGCTGAAACACTAGTTATCATGGTGCTAGCCCTATAAGGGTTAGCACCTAATCCCATTCCCTGTTTTCAAACATGGACCAGAGGCCGAATCGGAAAAGTTAGTGATTTATGGTTCAGTGGTTAACCGTTACAAAACCATTGGTAAAACCGTTCATAATATATAACATAAAGACTTTTATATTACCCTAATTTATGAATGAACTTAACTTTGACCATAACCAATTTCAAATTCATATCATCACCAAAATATCTAGTAAATCATTCAAGTCACACAAAGAGATATCATAATTTTCTTTAAGTATTAATAATTATGGTGCCAGTTGGTAGTGGACCACGTAAAAATGACAACACGATTGGAAAATTAGAAGAGGAACCATATATAAAATTAATAATCATGACTTGATAGTTTTAGTTTATTTGATTTTTTTTCTTCTTTTTTATAGTTAAAATAGTGAACCAGTGGACCATTTAAATTGTGGTGGTTCATATGGTTTTATACTGAACCGTGAAAAATCGTTTGGTCCATCAATAACCGTCCAGACAATGAACTAGATCGCTATCATAAGTGATTTGGCGATTCTACTGGCCCAGCCGTTGAACAGGTTCAGTTCTTATAACAATACCGATAACCAAGCTCTGGTAGAGACAATAGATTCGACAGTCAGGCAGAGCACCCATCAGTCTCAGACCGACTGGACTCTGCCATCACTTCTCTTTGCATCTGCTCTCTCCCCAACGAGCTAACTAATCAAAAAATTCATCGCTGCCACGATGGATTCAAATTAAACCTCTAATCCGACAACAGACAATAGTTTTTGAAAGAGAAGGAATCTCCAACTGGACTACAGTCGAGAGCGGCCTGAAAGAGGCGCCATATTGTCGGAGACCTTGTTGCAACAGCCGCACAAAGCAGATTAGGCGACGACGAGTGGGGCGGTGGCTGTCGAGAGAGTAGAGGAGGAGAAGTGGAAAGATTGTTAGCAGCCTGGGGAGTGGGGAGTAGGGTTGGACTGGTGGATGCAGAGAAAGGAGAGAAGCAACAGACTGATAGCGTTGAACTACGATTACAAACTGCTTTAGGCGTAGCTTTTATCAACTTCTTGGGTTCCCGCAGCTAGGAGAGAAGCAAAGCAAAACTCTCCTGCTAGCAAACACACATGAATGCTTGGCATGCGACGACATTTGTTGTGTCATTATCGATCAAATACCTGAAATAACAGAGTATTCATTTACATCTTGATGAACTGGCAACGGGAGAAAATACCCTTTTTTGCTGTTGTTGTTGTGGTACACAAGAATCGTTAAACTAATGGTGGTGGTCAAAGGAGGGTGAAAAAGAAAAAAAAATAATCAAAATTTAGAGGATGATGATTCTGCATTGCAGGGTTAATCACAGAATGTTGAATTAGAGCACGTATTCTGCAATTCTTGGAACGGAACTTTGTGCTACACTCCTCGTGCCCAGGCTGGGACCATAACTTTACAAGCTGAAGTAGTTGCGCCAGAAACCAGCAACGTTCCATCAGACAGTTCGCACAGGTTGGAGCAACAGAGGCAGAGTTTGGTTGGAGAGGCCTTAAATATCTACGCTACCAGCTCGGGTTATGTTAATTGCTCGAAGAGACTGGAAAAAGGACTGTGTCAAAGGAAATGCAGTCTATAAGGTCACTGTAAGGGGAGCCCTGGACTAAACAGCATCGTGCTGTTTCGGAGTAACTTCCAGTTCTGGAGGCAACAGGTTCAGAAAGCTCCCCTGAACCGGTGGTTGATCGCTGGTGGCCGTTTCTGATGATTCTGACGTTTCCGACTCTCCTTCTGAGCAATGGGCAGGGGAGAAAACACAACAAATGTACAGTTAAATTGAATATGGAGTCGCTATCTGTGAGAAATCCGGATCATAAGTTTAGGCTTTACCAAAAAGCGACTTCACAGACGGCCTCTTTGGCTTTGTATCTTTCTTTTTCAATTCGGCTGCCATGCCACAAATAAGTCAGAGTCAGCTCCCATTAACATATTTGTGACGAAGAATATTGTAATGTAGGGAATAGATGAGCATCCAAGCAACAGACCGAGTAAAACTGAAAGCAAAACACAAAACAAATCAAAAACTGAAAATGGGAGGCAGGATCATTTTCAGGGTTCTCGGAGAACTACATGTGGCCATTTCCTGGACTTGGTACGTTTCAGGATATCCAGCAACTAGAAACTGCAGAAGTAACAGGCTAGCTACCCTCGAATAACTATTCTAGTCAAGTCCAGCAAGACACAGAAAGAGACTCATGTCATTGAAAGCCATAAACTAAAGTCCAAAACGCCTTGCCTTGCTAGGGATCAAAGATATGGAGGTCCAAGATGCTGACTAAATAATTCTTAACAAACAAAGGTACAACAGAAGCGAACATGACCGGACATGGTAATATGTACAAAAAATGTTTCTCCCCAACAAGTAACAAGTCACATCAATTACTTAATCAACACAAATTCATTACTAATTACTTTTACAAGCTCCGACCAGAGTAGGATCCCACCAAGAACTATTCGTTTCTTATGCATCATAAACTAGGAGGCTATGCATGACTGACTGCCATCTAAAGTAGCCGAACAACCTTATAATGCTTCCTAAAAGGAGGAAAGTAACTACGAATGTCACCTTTTTAATTTTAACTGTATCCCAGAATCCATGAAAAGCTGTGTATCTCTCTTTTAGTTTTCACAGGTACGCAAAACCAATGCGTGTTTAATGCCAAAAAAAAAAAAAAAAGCAAGGAGAGACTGTTACCCATTCCAGGTACTTGATAATCATTCACAATTTCAAAGTTTTTGTAAGTGTATCCCACAAAATTTAGGTCCTTGGAGGAAAGCATCTGCAGAATCCAATTAAATTGTGAGCAATATTAGCAAGGAAAATAAAGGCCAAGCTTCTTGTCAATGTGGTTATACAAGTGGACTTCATAAATGAGTCCAGGATCTGTGCCCCTTGATAATAAAAAAAATGTTATTTGGGCCGTATTTCAACCATTTTATGATTCCAAATCACACTTCATATGTGAATTAAGCATGATCCAAGTAAAATATTGCATAAACGGCAAGACTCGCTAGACACTTAATTGCAAGAAAAGCACTACCACAAGTACTCATCGAAGAAGGGAAAAATAGACAGGTGAAACACTGAACCAATCTCATCATGAGATTATGAAATTCTGGCTGAAAAAAAATGAGCTTGTAAAGTTCCTCCCATGCTCTAATGTTCAAAGGCATTCGAGCACAGTAAAGCATTCTACAAGAACCTCAGGCTTTATAACATGCAAGTACCATCAGCATCTAGCGGATAAGGGTTTGCGCTAGCGGTATTATCGCTGGTCTTCAACCTAGAGGTTTCAGGCTCGAATCCATTAAATACCAATTAACAACAAAAACAAACTGATCACTATCATAAAAGAAAAAAGTGCAGTGTACCAACTGCATCTACGATCACCTAAATAGATGTTGGCAAACCAAGCATCTTTTTGCATGTGTTCTGTCTGTTTGGGAACATATGCATTAATTCCCTTTATATGTAATATCTAAAGGTAACACATCTTGGCAGATTGTAAAAGCAGACCCAGAAATGGATTGTTATGGAAAATTATTTCTGACGATTTTTCTAGACACCCCCCTTTCCTGGAAACTGCTTAGACTGCATCAACCACGTTATGTGCAACTAAATTAAAAGCCCACTGGTAGGCGATCTGAGTAAATTTTACTCGATCAAAATCGAAGTTCCTAAAAAAGAATCCTATCGACCTTGGATCAGTAAACAAACTTAAGATATTGTGGAAATCATTCTTTATGCAATCACTGAAGGAGCAATGATCAATGCTAACCTTTCTCCATGGACCAGTTTTCGATGATGTTTGGGGATGGTGCTCCGACTGAAAAACAAGTCAACAGGAAATATTAGAAGAGGAATAGCATTTGCAGGTGCACCTATTATTCACAATACTATGTTGAACAGAGAATTTTACATACCTCATCAAACTTTTCAAAGTTTTGCGTATCCAGCTCATCATTGACTTCTGGAGTAAAGGCAGCTTCCATGTGGTAAATATTATCCCAGTCAACACCGTTGAAGAATGGATGTTCCTGGAAACATAATAGATAGATGGGTAATTCTTCTGATAAGTAGCCAACTATATCTCAAGCCATAGTACTCAGAAAAGGACACACCATACAACACCTTTATTTCATCTGCACCATTTGTCCCTAACCTCTGGTTTACATTGCACAAGAGTTTGCTGATGAGGTCCTTTGCCTCTGGAGATAATCTTGCTTCTTCTGGAAATTTCAAATGGGTTTTCCAGTTTACTATCTGGATAGCAGGAAAGGAAAACGTTAGAACACCAAACCATGTATTTAGCAAGTCAATGTCATTCTGTGAGGAAAGACAGATAGTCTTTTTAGATTAAAAGCTGGTGATAACTAATGTTGAATGCCATGCTGAGGTCTTAACTTTGAATTACAAGAATTAAAGAGAAAAATCTACTCGAGCAAGGAAACCAACAAGAAACCAGAAGGAGACCTGGAGTATAAAATTTGGCAGAACCAGACAGTTTGACAAGTAAGGTTCATAAAAAGCATATCCATGTCAATAAAACTGTTGGTACATCCAGTTTAGCAATCAACAGTGCTGAGGACAGGTTAGAGTAGTAATCATTGTGAATTAGAAATCCAGCTTTGGAGAAATGTTGTGACCAATTAAAAACCGGGGAGCTCCTTTTTCTAGAACGGAAAATGGAGATGAGCCCGACTGAATTTGCGGAAGAAACAGACACATGAAACAAAAGAAAGTTGAATAAATCCTTGGCTGGTACGCAGTGGGAGTTAGAGTCTTAAATGAAAGAAGGTTTCCACAATAAACATAAGTCAGACATCCAAAACTTCAATGAAACTGAAGAAGGAAGTTTGCGGTGTCTCGCTCTACCTTCCTGCATGTTGACATCGGATCATCTGAATAAAAAGGTGGATAGCCCACAAGCATTTCGTACATGATTGCTCCAAGTGACCACCTGAGGTTAATCACAGTCCCTAAGTTAGTTGAAAAGAAAAAAACATGCATATTAAAATATACAATCCATTTGCAACATTTCATAGATATAATAAATCCAGATGTACTTTGATGGTAAACTAACCAATGAAACTAACTTGTAAACGTTCTCCTTCGAAGATTTTGAATAACTACTCACCAGTCACATTCCATTCCATACCCTTTCTTCAAAAGTACTTCAGGAGCGATGTAGTCAGGTGTACCCACAGTGGAATAAGCCTACAAAGCCAAGCATCAACCATTAAAGTCAGGGGGAAATTAATGACGACAGACATAAGGAAAACAGTTTGTCGCCACAAGTTGAGGAAAACACATTTGCTTTCCAGACTGAGGAGCAGGAGCATATGTTTCAGAATTCTCTTTAGCATAGACCCAGTTGAGTCAACTTTTTAAAACTTACGAGGGTCCTCCGATTCTTCTGCCAATGTTGTAATTGCTCTTGTTGAGTGCGCTTTGGAGCTGCTGGGCGGTCCTCGTTTTGTGTATTGCCATTAGGGTTGTGGACTGAAAAATCTCCTTCCTGGATGGTACTGCAGTCTAATGGTTTACATAGACCAAAATCAGACAGTCTCAGATGACCATGTCTATCAAGAAGTAAGTTGTCAGGCTTGATATCCCTGCACCAATTGATGCCAAGAAAGAACAAAATAGATTCAGCGTGGACAAAACCATATCTTTTGGTGTTGACTGCTCAACTACAAACTTGTAGCTTTAAGCACAAACCTGTGGATATAATTATGCCTGTGAATAGACTCGATCGCCAAAACTGTTTCTGCAACATAAAATTGAGCTTCATATTCTGTCAAGGTGTCTTTTCTCATAAGCAATGTCATCATGTCTCCACCCGGCAAATATTCCATAATAAGGTAAAGAAACTCCTCGTCTTGGAAAGAGCAGTATAATTTGACAATACAATTGCTGTCAACCTCAGCAAGCAGATTTCTTTCAGCTTTCACATGCTCAACCTGGAAAGTAACAGGAAGCCATAAATGTGTTACCAATAGACAGATCCTTTTATTAGGCAAGGAAAATACTAATTTGTACCTGGCCTCTACGAAGCATCTCTGATTTCTTTAGTTTTTTCATAGCAAAAACATGTCCTGATGTCTTTTCTCTGCAGACTCTAACCTGACCAAGAGGGAACTTCATATCAAACTTCCATGAGAAATTGAAGGAAAAAAGAGAACCCCAGTCAGCACCTAATTCTAGATCCCACAACAAGAAACAGGAAAATGGCATCGACCATTTCTAGTACAACTGTAGGGGAAAGTCCTTTTCTTGGACCTTTGGGCCGCAATGGGGTTGTCCATTTAGTGGCAAAATAGCCCTCACATGCTGCATTTGGTTACTGAAATTATTATGACTTGTCTGAACTGATTTCCTTATTGGATGCATATGTTAAATGAATGCATGAAGAAGCACGACGAGAATCAGCAAGCCGTTTCTCATTTGTGTCCCTCTTTTGTTTTCGAGGTTAAGTACATTCAACTTCAATCTCGTACTATAAAAAGCAACAGATCAGTATAAGACGGTGGGCATCCGTGCATTTGCTCTATCAAATCCCTTGGATTATCATAAAAAGGAAAAACAAGCATCAGGAAATCTGAAAATTCGAGAAGAGACGAAACCCCAGAACGACAGATATACCTCTCCAAACGCCCCTTTGCCAATCATTGTCAAAAGTTCGAAGTCATCGACGCCCATTTTATGCCTTTGAAGGCGCATGTATTCAGTTTCCTTCTGCTCCAAGAATTTGAGTAGGTTGTTCTGATCCTCCTCTGATACATCAGCATCAGCCAATTTCTTCTCCAACAAATTCCGGCTATCAAAAACACGCACAAGCTTTACCGTCGAAATCCACTTTCAGACACTATCATCATCCACAACCGAATCAGAAACAAAAAGGGGGAGAGAGTAGGAGAGGATATTTACCGCTCCTTGCGCTCCTGGAGATTCTTCATCTGCTCTTTGTAATGGTTCTCAATGTACTGCTTAGCGGCGGCAACTTTCTGCTTAGTGGTGCTGGAGAGAGCTTCGTCATCGTCCCTGGGAAAATCATCCCTGCTGTCCCCGCCGCCGCCGCCGTCGCCGAGCTCCTTCCGCCTCGTGTTGGACCTCATTTTGTCCCGAGGCTGAAACTTGTGAAACCAGCTCCTCGCTGAATCCATTTCCGCCGGTAGATTCGTGATTTCAAACTTCTATCAGAATCATACTACAACTATTTGCCTCGCAAATTCTCAGAGAGAAAAAAAAAAACTCAAGAAAGAAAGAAAGAAAGAAAAAAAAAAAAGCAAACCACCAGATTCGAAGACAAGGGAGGAAAGAGAGATCGGAGAATCAGAATCTGGCTGAACGACAGAGAGAGAAACGGGATCGACAAGAACTCCGCACCAGAATCATAACCCTAGAAAATATTCAGACTGAGAGATGCTAGAAGGAAACAATGTAGTAATGATTCGAGACACAGAGAGAAGGAGCGAGGAAGGAAGAGGTGACAAACAATCTGAAAACAGGAAAGGGAAAGGAAAATTCTCACAAACGGGAAAACAGAGAAAGAGAAAGCAGAGCAGAGCGCGGGAGAGAGGGAGAAGCCGAAATTTCGGGTTACCGCGAAATTACTCCGGTTTGGGATTTGGGAGAAGTGAAAGGAAGGAAAAACAAGAAAATGCAGAGAGGAAAAAGAATGGAGGAGGAGAAGCGCGCGAGATTGGTGCGGGATTCACGGGAGTCTGCAATAACCAGAGAAGAGAAAAATCTATCAACCGCCTGAAGAAAGAAATTTGAGAGCTTTTCCCCTTTCCTCCAATCTACTGGTACGAAGGTAGCTGACCTAGGCGGCCGAGACGGTGGCGGAAGGTAGGACTGTGCGGTGTGAGTGAGAGAGATTCTCCGGCGGGTGGCAGTTGGGGATCGTGCTGACCAAACAACAGAGAAATGGCAGAGTAGCAGACAGCCTTCTCTGTCCCTCTGATCCCTTTCGGATTTTATTATATAGTTTTTCCCACGTCCTGCGTCGTTTTGTGTTTCTCTTCTCAGAAAGTTAAAAATTGTCCTTCTAGGATCGCTGGCGGTGATCGAGCCTTCGTGTGCATTTATCTCGTCTCGTGCTTGGTACTATGTCCGGTCAGTTTTTATGTTGTACTAGCTAATTTGTTAATTTTATTAGGCCCGGTCCTAGCCCGAACACGGTTTGAATTGTGTCGTGTCTATTTGTGCTCTTGCCGCACTCATAATCGTGTTTAATAAAAACGAAGAAAATAAAAGAGACAATGAAAAAAGGAGAAAGTAAATGAAGAATGTAAGTATTAATAGAGGTTGTTTGAGAAATATAACAAATAAGGGTGGAAAAGAAAAAATTGAAAATATAACGAGTTGTGATGTGACTTTGTTTAATTTCTCGTTCGTTTTTATTTATGGTAGTAATTACACATATATCTTTATGATCGCTTCTAACAATAATACATAATTATTTTTGTACTTGCACGTTGTAATATTTGAACCTATAGTTCTTTTTATATTTATTTTTATGAAAGAAATATTATTTTCGTTTCATTCTCGTTCTCATACTCAATAAGGTGCTCGTGCCCATGCTCATGAAGTTTGGGCCCGGCATAGCACGTGAATTATTCGTGCTCGTCTCGTGCTGGCTCATATATTTTGTGTTCGTACTCGTGTCGTGCTCTAATCGTGTCATGTCGTGCTAGCCCGTGGGCGGCCCGGTCCGTTGCCCACGTACAGGTGGGAGTAGGTGGGGTGAAGAACGGTTCGGTATCGGTATCACAATATCAAATGCTAAAATCACGAATATTGAAATACACTCTAAAATCAATCACAATCTCAGTTCTTAAATAATTTTGATATCCCAATTCCAATTACAAAATATTTCGGTATCCCAATCGATATTTCAGTATTTTGTTAGTCAATTTTGTTATTTTTTTTATTAGACAAACCTAAAGAAATACTAAAAACTAACAAAACGTTTTGTAACACGTCAAAGTAATAGCCATTAATCCGTTACAATTAACTATTTCTTAACAGTGCTCCACATCGGCGTCCAACTCAACTACCACCTCATCAATGAATAAAATAAAAACGAGTAAACACTAAGTATTAGCCAAACTTTTCTCGCATTCATTTTTATTAGCCAAATTTATTGAATTACTAATAATTGATCAAATCTTTTGTAATGCATCAAAATATTAGCCATTTTTACGTTATCGTTAATAATTTTGTAACTCTTTTCTTAGTTAAAATACTAAAATTTTGGAATGTTGACCTTCATGTGTCTCTTTCAAGTCAGTATCATGTTACCAAGTCAATATTACTAACAAAATTGTTAACTTGAAGTTAACATTTGATAAATTATGTGTGATTTAACAGGTTTGGCTAATAGAAAAGAACGTGGAAAGATGATCAATGATTAACCGACTGATGTGACATTTTTTTACTGTCACGTTAGAATATTCTTTTAAACTCAACAACACGTCTAACATCTCACCATTATCAAACGAAAAAATTAAAGGAGAGTTAACATTTAAATTTTAACTAATTAATATCATTTCAATAGGTTTGGCTAAAAGAAATTTCACAACTAATCAGAAGCTTGTACAACTGTAGATCGTTGGTTCAACTTCCTATCTCCCCTCTCCCAAGAGTCTTCTTGCAATAGTTACAAAATAAAGGAATAACCAAAAAAAGAAGGGGAAAAAAAACCTCACATTGCATTACATATTTAAGGCTTATGCAGTAAGGATCAAATACTTGACCAAAAGAATAGATATACGATCCCTTTTTTAGGAGGACCAACACATCCCCAGGTTTCACTCTCAAATTAGCTTTCTATAACTTTCGTTTGATAAACTTTCCAATTCTGGCATCAAATCAACGATAGTAAGCCATGTGTCTACTAGATGACATGAAAGGGGAACCGGAGGAAGCCTTCTGGGTTTGGGCAGTAGGGGGTTTTATGGGTTCCTTCTTCTTCTTCTTCTTCTCCTGCTTGGTCTCTGAACGTAGCCAGTTCTCAACTACTGTAAGCAAGTTCGCAGATGTTCTCAGCTCATCCATCTCCACCAACTTAGCGTACCTCTTAAGCTCACCATCCTGTATGTAAGCAAGGTCCGTCGCCCATGCCTCTAAACCGTCGAAGATGTGAGTTGCATATATTAATGTAGCTCCTCTCTGCCATTAACTCAATAGCATCAGTAGAAAAACAGAAAGAGAGTTATGGCGGCTGTTGCAGAAACTTCGAGATATCGATTTTGTTTCTCCTCCTGGGTTGGGATGGTACTTCCCTAAAGTGCTTATCTATTAATCTCTTACAGGAATAATGCAATCATCGAAACCAAGTTGCTCTTGTATGAAGAACCCATACCTGCTCAGTTTCCTCCCTAAAAAACTCCAGCAAATCCATCCTAGCAACCACATCTAGATCAACTGTCACCTCATCTAATAGCAGAACCTGCAATCAGAAATTCATCGGCTACTTATTTGGTAGAGGAGGTGATAAATTGTGAGACGTTTGGCTTAACAACAGAGCTGCTAACACAAACTGTTCAAATGGGTCACGAAGTAACCAAAGTGTCATGGATAGTACATGAATAACTCTGAACTGTTTTAGAATCAGAAATGACAAGTCAAGACACTCTAGTCACAATGGATTTGGAAAGTCATACATACATATCATACAGCCGAAATGTAAGCTGTTATTACTACCATAAAAGGGGAGAAATGTTCATTGGGTTTTCCACATCAATCTCGTTTCAAGACTCAAAATTTACCTTATACGGATAAAGAAGCCCCATACAAATCTGAACCCGTCGACGCTGTCCATCAGATACCTTATGCATACGCCATCGGAGATCGATATCGAGTAGATCAATTAGCTTTTCTCTCCTACTTGGATCAACACCCTCAACTGACACCAAAATAAAGAGTGTGAGGTGAGATAAAAAAAAGAGACCTCAGAATGCAGATCCCTGTGCATATACTCCATACTTAATATCCTTAATTGTAACTATGCTAATTGCTAGATCCACTACCTCCAAATATCATATGCTCCGCAGAGAAATCTCCCTGCAGTGGAACTTCTCCCTGGAGGTTGGCAAGGACAATGATCAAATTCAAAGTAGTAGAGTATGCAGAATGAATATGTGCAAGTCTTGTGGAAAATTTGAGAGCAGAAATGCGCAATTCCTCATTCCAATTCCACAGCAAACCAGCAAGCAAATTGAAACCTCTGGAATGACAAAGAAACAACAAATTTGAACAGCAACTCACCGCCGATCCCACAGTTTTACTCCAGGAACCTCCCAGATAGGCCAAGTCGCCGCTACAAACGAGCTGAGTGTCATGAAAAGCCGAGCTGTTCAGCACTCTGACCACGTCTTTTCCTCCCACCATATGCTTCCCAGCCAGGATCCGAAGCAAAGTCGACTTCCCTGTTCAGAACCCGACAACTACTCTCAATTTATGTTCTTCTCTTCAAATCCAGCTCTCCATTCCAAACGTAACCTCGATGAATCAATCGGATGAAATGAAAATTTCGTTACCTGATCCATTTGCGCCGGTGAGCAAGCAGCGAGATCCGGGAGCAATGTCGAGATTGAAGTCGAAGAAAAGAGGCGCCTGGTTGGAGTCGTACGAGAACTGCATCGCCGATACGCTGATGCTGTTGGACTTGTCATTCTCCAATCCGCCTCTTCCTGCCGGTGGAGTCGCCGAAGCAGCACTTTCCGCCATTTTTCTTGTCCCACCGTTAAGCTACGGGGAAATGAACCGTCTTACTCTGGGCCGTCTATCGTTGGTCTCTGTATTTCCATAATTGGGCCGTCTGGGTGGTATTAACTTTTAAGTTTTAATTAACCTGTAGAGTATTGTCTGGTGGACGGCGACTTGGACGCACCGTTTTGCTACACGTCTCTCTTCGACGAAGGGTAGCGTTTTGCTGATATGACAGTCAACTATTATAGTTGATCGTTAAATGAGTGACGTGGCAATTAAAAAAATAATAAAATTAAAATATTTACAATTTTCACCTCATTTTACAACTATTAAAAAATAAAAATAAAACTTACCTCCTCCTCTGCCACTGGACCATCCCCTTCTTTCCAAAACCCAGCTAGCAATGGTGTCGTTGTCCCCCTTCTCTTCCCTCCTCCTCTTCCTCCACTCAATCTACCCATCCACCGTCGCCGCCGCCCGGCCGAATTAGGACTACTTCCTCAAACTCCAATTGCTCCACAAACCCCCATTCTCCACCCCACTCCAAGCCCTCTCCTTCGACGCACGCCGCCTCTCCCTCCTCCACCACAGTCACCGCCATCGTCGCCCCTCCCTCAGATCGCCGCTCGTCTCTGGCGCTTCCTCCGGCTCCGGCCAGTACTTCGTCTCCCTCCGCCTCGGCTCCCCACCCCAAACCCTCCTCCTCGTCACCGACACGGGCAACGACCTAATCTGGGTAAAATGCACTGCATGCCGCAACTACTCCCACCACTTCCCCGGATCCGCGTTCCTCGCCCGCCATTCCTCCACTTTCTCCCCTGCCCACTGCTTCAATCGCCTCTGCCGGTTCGTCCCACACCCGGATCCGACCCGATGCAACCTGACCCGGCTCCACAACCCCTGCCGCTACGAGTACCAATACTCCGACGGGTCGCTGACCAACTGGTTCTTCTCTAGAGAGACCACGACGCTGAACACCAGCAGCGCCTTGGGGGAGACGAAGCTGAAGAATCTGGCGTACGGGTGCGGGTTCCGGGTCTCGGGTCCGAGCGTGACGGGTCGGAGCTTGAACGACACTCAGGGAGTAATGGCAATTCGAAGCACATGCGCAGGTGGAGAATGAAATTTTCGGGGCAATAAAAACAGCCGTGGAACTCCATTGAAAATTTTCGGGGCAGGTGGAGAATGAAGCAAAGCGAGGCGGGCGTTGAGGAAGGAGCGGCGGCGGAGCCGATCGCGTCATGGCCACGGCGCAGCAATCAAAGCTGAGTGTATCGGAGAGCAGTCAAAAACGAAAGGAGGGGGGGATCAGAATCACGATGGCGTAGATGGGGTTTTAACGGAAAAATTATCAAGTTGAACATATTCAAGTCACTATTCTAAATTTAGCCTAGAAATTTTAGTCCCAAAGATTATGCGTCTTAAAAAAACAATGAAACCTAAAATACTAAAAAGTTTAAAACGTAAAAGACTAAAAGAAATATGAAGTTTGTTCCCTTACAAATTTACTAAAGCATCTGGTGTGCAGGGATGGACACACAATGCAAATTGATTAGTCGATTGAGTTATCTAGTGTTGATGCTGCTCATTTCGACAGCTACTCCGAAGAGAACCTTTAACAATGAAACATGTGAGAACTGATTTGCTCAACAAAATGAGCGATGAATTTCTCGCCGATTGCTCAAGTATTTTATTTGAAACAGTGTATACTATTGGTACATATGTAGACTTCATTATTGATGCATTCCCTAAATTAAAATACAGTCGTGTACAATTTACATTGCAAAAAACTATAATCATTATATTTTTTTACGGTTCTAATTTTCTAATGAAATGCGGTCCAATGCTCTTCTGTGTTCTGGATCCGCCGCTGAATACAATCAATGTCTAAAGAGAGGATTTGGGGTATGAAACACATGGACCCCAATCAGGGGCGGACCCACGGGTGATTAGGGGTGTCCCCGGACACCCCTAAATTTTGGGAAAACGATTATCCAACTCCGGTAGTAATTTACGTAGTGACAAAAAAATTATAATTGATAGTCGGGGACACCCCTAAAGTTAAAAAAGTGATTATCCTACTCTCATCTTTTAGTTTGAGTATGAGAATATAAGTCGTAGTTTGGGTAATTCAAACCTAGGACACTTTTATTATTAATAAACATAATTTTCATTAGGCTACAACTCATATGTTATTCGATTTTAAACACTGTGTAATAGTATAATGTCATTCTCTATCTCTAATTATTTTCAAAATCTAACAATTAAACAAATTTCAAACTACCCTTAATTTAATTTGTATTGATTTATGGTTGTACAACAAGTATTGAAAGAGTCTTTTCAGGTTTGGATTACATCAAGAACAAGTTTAGAAATTGAATATGTGATCAGTTCGTGAATGATTGTCTAATATGATATACAGAGACAATTTTTTTTTTGAATAGTGTAGACCCCAAGTGTGTTCTACAATCATTTTTTAATATGAAAACACATTGTGAATTTTTTCAAACTGTATGAGTAAAGTATTTCTTATTTAAATATTATTTTTATTAATTATTTTAGAATTATTTGTATTTAATTTATTTTTTAAAAGAGGACACCCCTATATAAAATTTCTGGGTCCGCCACTGACCCCAATAGGTAAAGAGTGGCCGATAGTCGGTTGTTCATAGTTGACCTGCTTGATGCCGCCTAGCGCTGGTTTAAGCGGACCACATTTTGCTTCTAGGACTTATCTATATCTTTTCTAATTGATAACATGGCTAAGCCTCACTACATAAAGTAATAAAAAGATAAGGTGGTAAGGGACATCCTGATGTAAGCCTCCAAACGGTGTGAAGAGTTCAGACTCTCCTTCGTTCCAAAGTACTTGCATTTCCACTGATGTCACGCAACGCTTGACAAGGTCGATATAAGATGCATTCTCAGCATAGGAAGGCTCCTCTAGATAAAAGTGGCGAAGCTCTTTTTTTTTTGACATTTCACGAAGTGAAATTGTATCATATGTCTATAGATTATCCATATGTATCCAATCCCAACGAAAAGTGCGGTAAGTATGATATATACATTAGGTTATGCTAATTCACATCATTATACTCGATAAAAGAAATGAGGAAAGCATTACGATCTTAAGCCAATTGGCGTGTCACGAGGTGATATATACAATTTAATAATTATATGCATCATTTAACAAACCAACTCATAAAATATAGATTGATTTTCTCATAATTTGTAGTCGAGTTGGCTCCTTAATCACAATGTTTGGACATTTCATAAGCTCAAAACGAGACAGTTCATGAGTTGTATTAACGAGCCACCTAATCAAGCTAGTTCACGAGCTTCACGAGCCGAACAAGGTAGAGCTCAACCTCGGCTCGTTTGTTAACGAGCCGAACTTTTGTTTAATCGAACGAGCTTTTATCGAGTTCGAGACCGGTCCACTCACGAATAACTCGGGTCATTAACAATCCTACTCATAGGTTAGTAACCAATAATGAAGAAGGGTTACTAATAGTATCCAATCCTACAAGCATATAGATAAATTTGGGAAAGTTCGGTGAGTTAGGTTTGATTTAGGCATGCCCAATCTTTCCTTGTCAAAGAAGTCTTGACTTTTTAACATATGTAAAGGTGACGTCACATAAAACAATGACCTAAAGATGACGGTTGGACTGTATCACAGGAAAGATTTATTTCATCACGAATAGTTTTTTGCTAGGGCTAACAAAAAATTTAAGCTTTTTGTGACAAGCAGTAAATTTCGTCACACAAAATGTACATTATGTGATGAAATTTGACCCATCACAGAATATTTTGTCACAGAAGAGTAACTTTGTTGTAGTGAGCATTGGTCACTAATCTCTACCAATATAGAGAGTTTCCTCTCTGGTTAATTTAACGGCACACAATATCAAACAACTAATCATAAAATCGACTTCATTTTCGTGAATAATATTGATGAAAATATGAAGCGACCAATCAATTCATCCTGAAATCGAGGTTGTTTGGTTGGGTGTCAGATTGTCAATCCTTGAATTGCATTTGTTGGGGTAGTTGGTAGCCCAAAGCTGCAAAGGCCTTAAGCAAGGACAGAGTTCAATCTGAATTCATACTAACAGACCGTTTGGTACCAATGAAGTGAGAATTCATTTACTGTAAAATGAACTACCGTGTAGAATTCATTCTCAAATGAAATCTTGTGTTTGGTATTTTATATTCAAATACTTAGAAATAAAATAATTTGCCGTGTAGAATTCATTGTCAAATGAATTCCTGTGTTTGGTATGTCATATGTATAAGTAATTTAGTTAATAAAAGAGGATAGTTATATCATTCTATTAAAATAGTAAATACTTGTGGAATTGATTTGGAAATTTCATCTCAATTTCTCGGAATTGCTATAACTAGTCCCAATTCTATAGAATTCAAAGTTTAGAATTGAAAATGCATTCTTTCAAATACCAAACACAAAAAGATTTCATTTCAAAATTAATTCTTCAAAATTTATGAAATTCATTGATACCAAACGTTATCTAAATATGATTATACCAAACGTTATATAAACATGAAACAAAGCCCATCAGTCCAATAACAAAATGTCCTTAGTCCCATTATTATCTAAATTCTGGAAAGGTAATCAACGTGCAATAAGAATGTAATTTATGAATAAATGAATGGACAATGATCAGGGGCAGTTCATCAACAAAATAATTATAAACTTTTTCAGAGGAAGAACTGTGAAGGGACAAAAATAGTAATCTCTCCTTAAAGCAAAAGTAATTTTATTGCTGATAATTGAGGCAAATGAATAAGTTGAAATTTAAAAGGTTAATACCTTATTTTGGTCCGAACCATGGTCATATAATCAATTTTGGCTTGTGGTTTCAGAAATTAACATTCTGGCCTCAACTATGCAGCTTATAGACTCAATTGGCATGACACATAGTTTGACCGTCAATTTGGATGGTCAACACCGTTGATAGTTAGTCAACACGCCATGTCATTGCCTCGTCAGCCTAAAAATTATTTAAAAAAAATCAAAATAAAATTATTTTCATAATTTCTATTATTTATCATTTTCAAATTAACCAAAAAATAAAATTTAGAAAATATAAAATACAATTTATTTATTATTTTTTGGGATATTTGAAAATGATAAATTTGATATATTAACCAGAAATTATCAAATAAATTTTATAAAGTTAAAAAATATGATATAAATTATATTATTCATTTTTGGGTAATGTTAAATATATATTCAATAATTTGGTAATTTTTGGTTAATTTATAAAAGTAATCGTTTTCAAATTACACAAAAAATAAAAAAAATAAATTTATTTTATGTTTTTTATAAATTATTTTTTGTTAATTTGATTATAAATAATAAAAATTAAAAAAAATAGTTTGAATTTGAATTTTTAATGATTTTTAGGTTGACGAGGCAATGACATGACGTGTTGACTAACTGTCAATGGTGTTGACCATCCAAATTGATGGTCAAACTAGGTGTCGAGCCAATTGAGTCTATATATTACATAGTTGAGGCCAGGATGTTAATTTCTGAAACCACGGGCCAAAGTTGATTATATGATCATAGTTCAGGCCAAAATAAGGTATTAACCCAAATATAAACCAAACAAACACACCATGTGATTGTTTGCTTTGAAAAGAGAGACTTTTTTGTTCTTTTACTATGGGAGGAAAAGACCAAAAGAATACTGATTAGTTACATTTGTGGTCATTGAAATTATCATTTTACTTTTTTTTCTCATTAAATTTCCTCATGATTATTTTCATATTATTACACTACTACCATTTTCATGTTGGTTACTAGAATCAACTATATACAATAAATTCAAACACTTCTTACAATTTCATGATTTATATAACTGCACATTATGAATTTTCTTATCATAATAAGCACGAATTAAACAATTAATAATTTTAATAAAATTTTGACGTGATTTATCCAATTAAAAATGAATTAAAAGGACAAATCCATATTGCAACTTACATAAAACATGACCAACCGGCAACCACCCCCACTATACCCAAATTTGCATATATATTCGTGAGGCTCCCCTTTGTTTTATTTTAAATTTTACCATAAAAGGCTTCTCCTTTTTGTTTAAGTACATTATTTGATTTTTTTATCCTTTTCTAACATATTCAAAATGCTCATACATTTTTACTCCTTTGTCATATGTCCAATCCAAACTTACAATTTGTTCGAAACGCAAGGATATAATCGTACTTACCATTGACTCTTTACAAAAACATTAAAAGGATAAGTGGTTTTTGCTAACAAAAAAGTGTGGCATGGTATGATTATGATCCAATGAAAAAAGTGTGGTATGAGTGTAAATTTTGAATAAAATGGATGGCAATTCTTAAGGTAGCTAAATAATAATAGAATCACGTTATTATCATTTTTTAATTATAAAATAAGAGATATAACATGACTCTCTTCTCGAAACAAGACAATTGTGATCCTAATAATTGGGAAGAGAGAACATAATTTAACGGCGTAAAAAACAAATAAAAATTGTTTGCTTACAAAGCAGTGTTTGCAAAATTCAATGGAGTCTAAAGAATCAAACACACCATGTGATAGTGATTGTTTGCTTTCAAAGGTGAATATTTCTCTTGGGTTTTCACCATATTGCTTGGGAGGACAATAAAAAGCTATAAGAAGGATTTTTTTTAACTTCTTATTTGTATTCATGTAAAAAATGTCAAATAGAGTCATCAAAAGTTTTTACTCTATCTCGGCAAATTAGAACCCAAAATTTAGCTCCTTGAGACCCCAAGAAATAGGGGGAAACATGCATTTCAATTTTCAATTGTAGGAAATAGTGGAAGGTACATCCATCTTAATGACACCTGAGGAAAATCTTGTGGGCGTGTCACCTTGCCTTATAGCTTAAACTTAGGTCAATCTATGAGAAAGAACTACATAGTATGCTTAATCATATCACTTAGAGTTAGGGTTATTTAACGGTCCCAGCTAGCGAGTGAAAATCCAACTTATGTAGCAAATTAGAAATCTCAAGGAAATTAAAATTAAGTCTCTAAATGAAAATGTCGACATAGAAAATTTGTTGAATGATGAGAATAAGCGAGATGATGTTCATGGAAAAAGATCTTGAGGGAATGGAAATGTTCTATGGTTTGTGGATAGCTAAATTTTGTACAAAGTTTACGTTAAAATGAAAAAAACTCAAAACTCATAATCATTTGGGTAAATAAAATTTAATAGTCAAACCTTTGTGTTTTAAAAAATATAATAGCTAAAAATTTTCAAAAAATAATTTAATAGTCAAACCGTCAACTTTTCGTCCGTTTGACCATCAATTGACTCGAACGTGGCAAAAATTGAGTTTGCTGATGTGGCAAAAAGTCAAACATTTGACTATTCCACATGTATTTTAGATAATTTTACTTGTTAAATTAAAACTAAATATTATAATGGTTTTTTTTTTGTCAAAAGATATTATATATTGATCAAAAGATAGTTACACCCTGGAAACCAGTCAGGTCTGGAAATCAAAGAAGCGACTCATAGTCGAATACAAAGAGAGGGCTTTCCTAGCTACCAAGTGAGCTACCCTATTGTTCTCCTGACCTACAAAACGCACACTAAAGACAGGCTGATCACGAAAATAATGAACAATCTCTTCCAGAACAGCATCCAACCGGCTATCTCTTGTGTTGGCCTGATTAATTTTGTCAATTATCACCTTCGCATCGCCCTCAAATCGGACCTCCGACAAACTTTGCTCCACACACCAAATAATAGCTTCCCTAAGCACAAGCATTTTCACCACTGCAGGATCATCCATTTGAGCAAACTGGACCCCTTTAGTTAGAAAGAGTGTCCGTGCTGGGTCAAAAAGAACCATCCCACTAGCCGAATGAGACCAACCCTTAGTAGCCCCGTTCCACATGCAAACAAAATGGGAATCATCCAATTGTGTTGTAGAGTGCATTATCGGGGTTTGTACCCTAGGCGCCTGATCCGCTGGTAGACCCACCCATTCCTCATACTGTTGGTTAAACTGTCGCATGAGAGCTGGGATCCCAAATTGTTTGCCTTCAAAGACCACCCAATTACGAGATCGCCAGATCCTTCAAAGGATGGCAACAACAGCCATAACCACTGACGGTTGCTGGATCACACCCAACAGACGTTTGAGAAACAAAGGAAAAGTATGCCGAGGCAAACCCTCTCCCAAGTATTCCAGCCCAGAATAATCCCAGAGAGCCCGTGCCACTGGACAATAAAGGAACAAGTGTTCGATTGGATTTCGCAGAATCGGGTCAGTCTCCCGCTGATCCCGCCCAACAGATCCGTGAAAACTTCCGAAAATCTCTCCCTACTCTCCCCACGCAACCGTATCCCCGTCTGCCAGCGCTGAACGGCGGCGCTGCCAATCCGGCCGATTGAACCCATACCAGTGGTCGTGGGAAGGGGAATCGTCGAAGCTATCACCGCTTCGGCACTATTTTGCAGACTCCCACAGAAACCATCCCCGAGGGAATCAATCTTATCACCATAATCACTCTGATCTTCGATGTTTTTAAGACGTTCTGATTCAATCCTGGACCAGGGTACACTAATCTCGGTCTTCACTTGTACTTGCGAGCCGGGAATAGTCCCCACCCCGAAGGGAGCACTAGGATTGAATCGATTGAAATTAACAAGCCCTGCAAATGGACCTGCAATTGGATGTCGAGAGGGCACAATTTTGCTCCCCGCGAACGAGGGCGGGGTTGAATCATCATCTTCTAGTTCATTCGAATGGGGAAGAGAGAAACGCCATTGAATCATTTGCCCAAGCCGACAACGTTTGATTGGGTGTTCTTCTCCGCTACGAGACTCGGCAAAAGCCGTTCGAAAAAGTCTCTTTTTCAGGCGGAGCCACTTTGCTCTACGCCAGACCCTCCCCTATACATCCCTCCTTGATAGGGATGACAACAAAACCCGAATCCACGGGTACGCACCCGATCCAACCCGGTCAACGCTGGTAAAACCCATGTTGACGGGTTTTGGGCCGGGTTTGGGTTTAAACCCTCTACACTATTCACCGGGTCAGGTTGGGTTTGGATTTAGGTAAACCCGCCCCATGGGTACCCGCCCACACACATATAATTACTTTTCCGGTATATTTAATATTCTAAATAATATATCTTCCTTAAATAACTAATATTCTTTATGTTGTGGAGACATGTATAATTTGTTCTTTCTAATTGTTTAGAATGAAGTTAATATTATGAAGTGGAGAGTGAAGAAACTTAGTTGAAGAGGAAGAAACTTTCAATTAATCTTATTGTTTATAGATGTTTATCTTTAATTTTGAACAATTTGTATTGATCATTTGCGGTTTGCACTGCTCTAGATTGGTGTTTTTTGTATGAATAATTTGTATGAAAACTTCTATGAAATGGTTTCACGGGATTCAGCCATGCGGATTATTACCCCAACTAAGGAAGAGATCTTGGCGGAATTGCCACATATGAAATTGAGCACAATTTTGCAAAGAAATAGCCCACTTCTTTCTCGAGAAGAGATGGGAAACATGCTCAATATCATTTGATTGAATAGTTGACTCAGCTCCTTCTTGGTTGAAGAAACCCTCTACTTCAATTGGTATTTTTTCACGAAAAGCTCTTTTTTTTGAAAGAAACTTGTTATTGTAAATTTTTTACCACAAAAACCCATGGGTACCCAAGAACCCGCGGATACCCAGCGGGTTGGGTTGGGTTTGATTTTTTCAAACCCACTGAGTTTTACCCCGGGGGGTTTTTTTTTTTTACGGATAAACCCATGGGTTTGGGTTTGACTAAACCCGCCCCAACCCGACCCATTGCCATCCCTACTCCTTGAGAAGGGGAGAGCCGATTTCTGGAGCGTAACCCCATCCCTGTTGACGAACGGGGACTCCAATCTTCCACGATTATTGTGTCGATTTCGTTGCAATGGATGTGGGATTGAATCCCAACAATTCTGATTATTTAGGCTGGCCGTGAAAATGGCGACGGCGGCCCGCGTTATCCACCAATAGGAGAGAGCTCATCGCATCCTTTTTTTTCTCGCTAATACCTTCTATTATAATGGTCAATAATGAAATAATGTAATTTCTATTAAACTAAATATTATTATGGTTAACTAATTATCATAAATAATAATAAATAATTATTCAACAATTTCTCTCTCCTCTCTCTCATCTCTCATGGAACCAAAAAAAAGAAGCATGTGGGAGAAGAATTCTCAAGTGTGAGAAGCAAATAGTAGATAGTTAGTTAGCAAACGGAGGAGAGAAGAAAATTAAAAAAAAATGAACAAAAGATAATAGAGATGAAGGAAACCGCCGACAGAAGGAAAATATTAAAAAAAAAAAATCAGTAAACACCGAAACTCTGCTTTAATATTTTAATTAATAAAAAAAAGATTATTATTCATCCGTATCAGTCGCAGAATAGGAATAGGTTGGTTGATGGTCCCTATAAAATAAAAGTAGCTAGCTGTGTTGGGAGAGTTCAAGTCATCGATCGAAGATGACGAACTCCTTTGAGCTTATTTTTCCAACCAGCCCAAAGATGCAGAAGAGAGGATCATTGTCATCAGCCGGAGGAGGAGGCAGCAGCAGGAGCAGGACTGATATTAATCTCTTGATGGAGCATGGAATGATGACCGAAATTCTGATACGTCTGCCTACCATGGAGGAGATACTCCGCTGCATGGCCGTATCCAAGCAGTGGTTGTCTCTAATTCAAAGCCCTTGTTTTTCAGCGGCTTATACTCTTCATAAGATGAAGGAGATGGCGGTCGCAGACAGCCGCAGTCTGGTCCTGAATACCAACGGCCGCGAAACAGCCTCAATCTTGACCAGCCCCAACATCCACAGTGGCAACCATAGCAGCCGGCTGAGCAACTTCTCCATTGATTTCCTGCCCTACCAATCCTACGAAGACAGCTTGCAATACTTTGAGCTGAAGCCTACCAATAGCAATACACCCACCGCCGACGAAAACCTCTTTCAACTAAGCCGTGTTGAATGGAGGAAAGCATGGGCACGATATGACGGCAACTACCAAGGCCTGTCGGTGCCGTTTCAGCTGCCGGAGCCCCACTCGGACCCAAGTCCAGATACTGGACTCAACTACGAGGACCGCACTGGCCGACGGAGATTCAGGCACCACTACAACCACGTCGTCGGCTCGTCCAACGGCTTGCTTCTCTGCTCGCCTTTCCCCGGCTACCCAAACATGTACGCCATCTGCAACCCTCACACCAAGCAGTGGTACCCGATTCCGATTCAGCCCCCCGATTTCTCCATCCTCGCCCACATCGGTTTCATCGTCCTCGATCGCTCCTTCATCATCGCCCGGATTCCCCTCAGCATGGCCCCGCGCCGAACCCAGCTCGACCTGGAAGTCATGTCGTCCCAATCCGCCGAGTGGACCGCCAAATCGGCTCCCCTGCCACGCCCGCTGCTCTGCCCCGACCCTGACTACTCATTTTTCGACGACGGCAGTGTTAATCTCGCCGTCAATCTACACAACCGATGGCTCTGCTGGATGCTCGGGGGAAAGCAGCAGGTGGTGCTCTACGACGCCGTCAACGGTGTGGTGGATTGGGTGATCGAGCCTCCACGGCGCACACTAGACGGGATTTGCGTCAGCCAGGGCCGCTTGTGGGCCGCGAGCCTCTGCCGTTCAACCCTCATCGTCTTCGTGGCTGAAAATCTACCGCCACAATCATCATTTCCTCAGCAACAACCATATTTCAAGCGGATGAACAAGGTTAGTTTGACCGGTCCATGGGACTCGCTGATCCCGTTCATAGCTCAAGATTTCGTCAACCCAGATGATCCAAACACCAACAACAAAATCCAAAACATGATCCAGGGGCCTAAGCTCGGGGACGTCTTCCTAACTATGAACCCACATGATTCCAATCAGGTCTACCTTACTTTCCACAACCGTTTCCTCGCCCTCTTCCACATAACTCAACGAACCCTCAAGTTGATTGGAGGACAAGGAAGCTTACACACGGAATCGCACCTCTTCATATGTGACAACCCCTCCTGGCCAACTCCACTCCCTACCCTTCACTTTCCTCCTGCTTCATCTAGATAGAGAGGCCAGCTAGGCAGTTGGCTTCACGATGACTAGTTTATACATTCAATTCAAGAACGTTTGTTTCATAACATTGTTTGGTTATTGATTTATTTTGTTTGCAACCAAACTAGTAGTAAATCCTCCAACATGTAATAGCAGAGCTTTTTTTTAGGATTCTCAGCATTTCAAATTCCTGGTGCTGAGAGCCACAAAATTGACTTCCCACCTTTAATAAATACACAAAGTTATGATTTCTATATGCTAGACATATTCTGATTTCAGCAAAAGTGGTGAGGCTGCAGCTTCAGAATTGAAGGACCAATGAGTCTAGTTCTTTTTTTACAAAGTGGTAAGCAGTTAGGAAGTAATCTCGAATGGTTTTTCTTTTCAAGGAAGAGGGAGGGTTTAAGACAGAAGAAGGGCTTTTCATTGCTGATTCAGGGGTTTTTGTCTCAAAGCTCTCCATTGGATCATGGTGGAGCCTCTTCTTTTGAGCTTCAGGAGTCCCCATGGGAGGCATTATTGATTCGGAAGTTGGTAAGTGTTGGGCTCATAGTTAAGCGGTGTTGGGCCTAAGAGACCCGTGTAAGCCCACAAGGAGACAGAGGCTAAGCCCACAAGGAAGGGACCAAGTCAAAGAGCGAAACCCGAGGAGGCATGGGGAAAAGAGACACCACAGGCGGCCTCCGTATAAAGTGACGGAAAGTAGGCTGGCTGACACAAGAGACCGTTGGTGTCAGGAAGACGGATCTCCCTAGGATTCTATCCTCGTACACAGCAGGACTGGGCATTTAATGCCCGCCGTAGGCGGTCTAGGTAAAGTCAAGTGTGCTTAGGCCGCCTGACATGGCATTAAATGCCTCATACCTAGGCTGGCTGACTATAAATACACTGGTATCGGCATTAATGGTAACTCAACTACTCTCTCTCTATCTGAACCTAAACAACATTTTCTTACTTCTCTCTCTAACTTAAGCATCGGAGAGTGTCCGGGGAACCGCCCACGGACCCTTGTTTTGCAGGAATTGGAGTGCGCCTTTCATCTGGAACAGACGTCTTGCTTGCCCTGCACTCAACCGCCTGGAACATTCTAGGCCTAAACAATTTGGCGCCCACCGTGGGGCAGGAAAGACACTGAAGAAAGGATGGACGGGAGCTCCAATACTCCTGTCAAAGACGTGGTCAGAGGAGATGGCTTCCGCAGCCAAGAGATCGCGGCGGGAAGTCTTCGCGGGATGGAAATGCCCGTGGTAGAGGAAGAGATGGAGATGGAGGACCGCGTAAAAAGCCAAGGGCAGCAGATATCAAGCATGCAAGAGAGTTTGAGCCAAATCCTGGCCATGCTCAGAGAAAAGGAAGGGGAGGCCCCAGAAAGTTCGGGGAAACGAGCAGCCAAAGGAAAAGGAAGAGAGAAGGAACCCGACAGCCCTGCTCCGACAGAAGGCGGGGATTCAGACGAAGAGGAAGGAGCAGGAGACGACAGCCTTGGGTTCCTGGAAGAACATCTAAAGCCCACATATGGGGGCGCAAAGACCCACCACATCTTGCAAAACCCGCTGGCCAAAAGTTTGTTTAAAACTCAAGTACCACCGAACTTCTCATCACTCGGGCTGCCAACTTACGACGGAAGCTCTGACCCCGCCGACCACCTGAGCGCCTTCATACTGAAGATGCAGCTCATCAATGCCACAGACGCCGATCTGTGCAAAGCGTTCCCAGTCACATTTGGGGGGCATTGCCGAACCTGGTATACCTCCCTTCCCGAGGGAATAATCGAGGATTTTGAACAGTTTGCCACCCTCTTCTCCTCCAAGTTTGCATCCCAGCGAAGGAGGAAGCTAACCGTCTCCGCCCTAATCAACTGCAAGCAGGGCGGAGAAGAGACGCTGACCGATTTCTATGACCGGTGGAACGCCATAGCTTGTGAAGTGCAAGGGATATCGCCAAGCGTAGCAGCGGGGAACTTACGAATGTCCACACACAGCCGCGAATTGCGGAGAGCGCTCATAAAGAAAGAGCATGCACTGAGAGAATGGCCTGATTTGGACCGCTTAGTGCGGAAGGCGATCCTGCTGGAAGAAGCCATGATAATGGAGGATACCGCTAAGCATGTCAGCACGAGGGAAAGACCGGAGAAGAAGAAAGGAGGATCGCCCAAGGGAAGAGGGCGGTCTCCGGAGAAACGCAGCTATAAGCCGCGGTTTTCTCACCGCGACAATCGGAGAGAAGTTTACACCGCCAGCAAAGAAGAAGGGAGAGAAAGAAGGGGCGACAACAGCAATGCGCGTCAGACGCATAGAAGGGAGGAAGATCGAAAATGGTGCGACTGGCACCAAACTCCCACCCATGACACCGCAGAGTGTCGGGAGTTCAGGGCCAGTCTGAAATACTTGGCGCCTGGAGACCTCAGAAACCGCCTGGACACGCGTCCCCACCGACAAGAAGAAAAACAACACAGGGAGAGGTCGCCCAGCCCGAAAAGAAGGCCGCATACGCCAAGGCGCCGGAGGTCAAGGTCGCCGAGAGAAAGATCGCCGAGAAGGGAGAGATCCCCGCGGCGGGAACGACTACCACCACCACCTCGAAGGTCACCTCAACGTCAGCCCCGACTAAACGAGGATGCCGTAGAAGTTATAACTATCGCAGGCGGTCGAAAGCGGTCAAGGAATGAGGGAGACCGCCTAGTTCAGTGTCTGAACGTCAATAGAGGGGAACAAGTGGACATCAGTTTCTCGCCCACTGAGCTAGCACCTGAGGAGAGCGCAGAAGATCCACTCGTTATCTCCTTAAGAACTAGGAAGTTCAAAGTCACAAGGGCGTTGGTGGATAATGGAAGCTTGGCAGACATACTGTTTTACTCCACGCTAAAGAGTATGAAGATGAGCATACAGGATCTGAAACCCTCGACGACCAGCCTTGTGGGATTTTCAGGATCGAAGATCAGAGTGCTGGGCATGATTGCCCTACAAGTAACAATCGGAGAGGGAGACGTGACGAAGACGCGCACCATGGAATTCCACGTAGCAGATTGCCCATCAGCATACAATGCAATTCTGGGACGCGGTTTTATATCGCTGTTTTCGGCGGTTCCATCAACGTGTCACCAAATGCTCAAATTCCCCGTCGGAGGAAGAATAGGGCGAGTCAAGGGAAACACGGAGCAAGCGAAAGAGTGCTATCAGGCAATGATAGAAAGCTTGGAGGTAGACTTGGTAGACACGCGAGGGGGACACCCCCGTCCAGAAGCGGTTGAGGGAGATGCAGAAGTGGTCCTTGATGACGAGGAACCTGAAAAGAGGGTAAGAATCTCCTCTCATCTGACAGAAGAGAAAGCCAGAGAGCTGTTGGCACTCCTCAAGGAGTACAAAGACCTGTTCGCATGGACCTCATAGGACATGCCAGGCGTTTCGAGAGAGCTTGCAGAGCACCACCTCTCAGTGAAGAGTAAGTCGAAGCCCATCCAACAGAGGCGGCGAACGGCATCCCTGGAAAAGCAAATGGCTTTGGAGGAGGAAGTAAGGCGGTTGCTAAAAGCCGGCTTTATTAGGGAAGTCAAGTATCCAACTTGGCTGTCAAACCCTGTTTTCGTTCGCAAGGCGTCCGGGCTATGGCGAATGTGCGTTGACTTCACAAATCTGAATGCGGCATGCCCAAAGGACGCCTACCCACTGCCAAGGATAGACCAGCTGATTGACGCGACCGCCAACCATGAAAGCCTTAGTTTCTTGGATATGTTCTCAGGATATCACCAGATCCGCTTGTCTGAATAAGATCAGGAAAAGACAACTTTCATGACCCACATGGGGAACTTCTGCTACACGGTCATGCCATTTGGCTTGAAGAACGCCGGGGCAACGTACCAGAGAATGATTGATGCGGTTTTCAAAAGCCAATTGGGAAGGAACGTCGAAGCGTATGTTGATGATGTCTTAGTAAAGAGTAAGAAGGAGGCAGATCACCTGAAGGACTTGAGAGAGACTTTCGAAAGCCTGAGAAAGGAACGCCTGCGGTTGAACCCGCTGAAGTGTGTGTTTGGGGCCAAGGCAGGGAAGTTCCTAGGTTTCATGATCACAAGCCGTGGCATTGAGGCTAACCCGAAACAGATAGAAGCCATAACAAGCTTGAGACCGCCGCAGACAGTTAAAGAAATTCAAGCTTTCAACCGAAAAATGGTCGCCCTAAGTCGGTTCATACCGAGGTCAGCAGACAAATGCTCCCCGTTCTTTCAAATGTTGAAGAAAATGGCGTCCCGCTCACAATGGAGTGCCGAATGTGATAAGGCCTTCTTTCAGTTAGTGGAGCAGCTGACTTCTCCTCCTGTCCTGAGCGCTCCACTACCGGCTGAAACCCTGTACCTTTACCTAGCGGTCTCGGATCAAGCGGTCAGTTCGGTCTTGGTGCGAAGAGATGGTGATGGCTCAGATCGCCCAGTCTACTACGTAAGCAAGGCACTTCTCCCAGCTGAGAGGAGATAAATGCCTATTGAAAGAGCAGTTTTGGCGGTTGTGACAGCAGCAAGGAAGTTGCGTCCTTACTTCCAAGGGCACCAAGTCGTTGTCTTGTCGAATCTGCCGCTGAAGAAGATCTTGAAGGGAATGGACGTGTCCGGCAGGATGACCAAGTGGACGGTCGAACTAAGCGAGTACGATATTGCATACGCTCCGCGGCCGTCCATCAAGGGGTAAGTGCTTGCAGACTTCGTCGCAGAAGGTTTTAGCCTGGAAAGCACCGGGGAGAAGGAATCAGACGTGTGGCGTCTGTATGTCGATGGGGCAGCAGGAAAAGGAGGAGCGGGAGCAGGGATCATCGTCGAGACACCGGCGGGAGTGATACATGAAATCTCTCATAGATTCATGGAGTTGAAAACCAACAATGTGGCGGAGTACGAAGCGCTTCTCAGCGGGCTCAAAATTGTCATCAACATGGGCGCTTCACACCTACACATCTACTCCGACTCACTGCTGGTAGTGAATCAAGTTCTGGAAAGCTACGAAGTAAAAGAAGAAGCCCTAGCAAAGTTGGCGGGGAAAGTCAAAGGAACCTTAGCTCAGTTAGACTCGTGGAAGCTTGAGCATGTAAAGAGGGAAGATAATCACCATGCGGATGCCTTGTCAAAACTAGCAACCGCAATGGATTTTGAAGGGGAACGCAGAGTGATAGTAACGAAAGAGGCGGTCCAAGCATATGAAGTCATGGCCATCGAGGGCGAGGAAGATTGGCGGTCACCACTGGTAGACTACCTTCAGGGTG